AAACAGCGAGATAAAAGTCCCGTCACGTCTTTAGATCGCAGTTATTTTTCTGGAGCGGTGGGGGGGTTATTGGATACCGGCCACAGGCCAGACAACTGTACCCTAGTCCCCAATGGAGAGGTAAGCAAAGTAATAATAAGACGCTGGATAGTGGCCGGGATACCAGCAAGATTGGCCCAGTGGTGAAGGAGCAAAGGAATAGGATTGCGAGTTGCCCTGCCAGCGCGAGTAGGAGAGCCAGTCAAAGCAAATCAACCACAGGTTGATATCCGCGAACAAACACGCAGCCCCGAATCCCCGGAGGAGCCGCTGGCCCGTAACTGGAGAAGAGAGAGAAAGAAAGCTGAGCAGGTGGGAAAAAAAAGAGGAGAAGAGAATCTACCTCAAGCAGAGGATGAGGTGGTTAAAGAAGAAGGAGAAAGGGAGAAAGAGAAGAGAGAAGAAGAACTCTTCTGAAGCAAGCGGTCGGTTTGAAGGGGAAAATGATTAACCATAACCATGTTAGCCATGTTAGCCGGCCTTTGCCTGGGGTTCCTGGGTAAGTGTCCTAGGGCGTCTCAAGTCCCATCAGGGCATGGCATCGATATCATCGAGAGGCCTCATTTGGTTCTGAAACAGCAGCCGACCAGGGCTGACAACGGGCAAGGACGGGGGATGCACCGCCGAATTCAACCTCCCTCGGGCTGCATCCACTCGATCCATCCACCATCCACCACCCTCTGCACCCATGTTTAAGCCGCGGCACCACGCGGTAAGGGAGGAGAAGGTGGGTGTAACGAGTGTTCAACCCGAAGTCATCTGTGGATGGGATGAATGCGAGAATGCAAGATCGAAGCTAGTCCTGTCCTGTTAAATTCGGTTCCGACCTGCCATGGAAAAGAGCCCAAGGAAAAAGGAATATCATATCAAATGGCAAAAAATGCAAAAAAGAAAAACAGGCCGAAGCAGCAGCAGCAGCAGCAGAAGACGAGGATGAGGCCGATCTCCACTGCTTCGATGCCTCAGAGTTTGCTCGAATACGGACCAACGCCGACTCACCGAAACAAGAGTGCATATGCATATTTCCTGCGTCCGAGGGCAGGCAGAGTCTAGTAGTATCACCCTGTATGGTCCTAACCAGGGGAGGCTAGGGATATGTGTTTAAATAGCAGCCGTCGAACGCATTTTTGCAATCAGATCTGTCGATTCCTCATGAACTGGTCGAACAGTCGGAAGAACGAGACATGAACCACCCATGAACCCTGGCGGCCTCTGGCTCGTCCTGGGCCTCCCGAGCTCGGCCATATATTCTGGCGTGTAAGATTAAATCCGGGGGGGTCGGGTCGTTGCCAGGTAGACAACGGGGGACGCTGCCGTAGCGACGACGTTGGAGAACAGGGCGAGGGAGCCCGGAAAAAGGGGAGCTCCTCAACTCGAATATATTAATGGAGAAAAAACCGGACAGTTTGCTGGCGACCCGGAAATACCATCATCTCCGGTGTACTTATATTTTTCCTAGACAGTAACAGTAGCAGAGCTGTTACACGTCCAGGCCCCAACTATCAGCGCATTATACGCAGCTAAGCTCCCGTTGCCTAGGGAGCTGGATAGTGGATTAAGACACTAAAGGACCGCCATCACCAGTTCTTTTTTCGTCTCTTCTCCTTTCTTCCTCTCTTTGAGGGACACCTTTTGAGTATATCTTCGATGGCAAACTCGTTCCATTCCTTTTTTCCTTTTCTCTCTTCTTCTTCTTTCTCTTTCTTTGCTGTTTAGACCATCGTTTTGCCTGCTCTCGTTTTATTATTATTATTGCTGAATCTCCGCGAACCACCAGAGAATCCAAAAACGCCGTACACACGCACGTTCATTTTTCGTTTCCGCTCTCATCATTTGTCTCCAGTCGTTGTTTCTTTTGCATATTTGCTGGTTGAGAAAAAAGCGAGTGACTTGCTCCGGTAGCAGGCACGTCCCCAAAGACCCCTCCGGCCAATCCATCCTCAGTCCAGCGTCCAAAAGAAAATAATCGTTTGTTTGAAGAAAATTTTTGCTGCCTTCCATACATAGATACCGTCGTTAAAGCCGTTTCAGAGCCGTTCAGAAAGCCGTCGGTCAAAAAGAAATTGTCCATCCTTGGGTCCGGAAGAGTCGGCCTGGTGGTTTGTTGATATAACTAAATAAACCGAATGTACAAACCTCCTGTTTATTCTGGGCCATCGAGAACATAGGCTTGGATTGAACCATTGAACGAAGAAGCACTATCCATGCCCGAGCCAGCGATCCCGTCGATGTCCAGCAAGCTTCAGACAGCTCCCAAACGTAGCCAGTCAACCATGAACGGTTCGCAGGCGGTCCACGGTAAAGGTACATTGTGAACCAAACTTCCCATCCCTTCCTGTCAAACCATGTCCACACGCCGGCTGTTCTTCACGGCCGAGATGGAGCCAACCTGGTCTCTCGTTCGTTGTGTTGTCCATGTGAAAGATATGTATGTATATGCAGCACGCAGCTGACTGGTAGATATATCCACCTAGCAGAGCGCTGGGGAACCTGGTCACATCCCAAGCGGGCTCGAAAGCAGATCCCCACGTTCGCACAGCGTACGCCGTCCTCGAGCCAGCGCGAGCCAGCATCGTCGTCTCTGAGACGGGTGTTTGAGCCGCCATCCACGGCTGCAGCCAGCTCGAAGCCGCCGCCGCTCCGCGAGAGCCAGCAGCAACGCCAGAACAAGTCGGCTTCTGCGCCGCGGCCTCGCACTGCCAGAGCTCCCATCCCGCATTTCCGTACGTATAGCCACACGCAGAGCAGCGCGGCGAAGTCGAAGGCGGCCGTGGCCCCGGAGCCAGAGGACGAGGACGCCCTGGCGATAGCGCGCATCCACGCCTGGCTGGACAAGGTCGACGACGAGCATATTGCGGCCGAAGTGGAGGCAGAGCGACGAGCAAAAGCCCGCCGGGTCTGCGAAGAGCGGCCGGCAGAGCAGCCGACCAAGCCGGCTGAAGCTGAAGCCGTCCAAAATGCGCCTGGAGTTGGTGATGTTGAGGTTGACGTCGAGGCCGACGTTGAAGTTCCGAGTAAGTCACAACATCACCACATCTACACTCTACAACTACAACTACAACACTATATAAGTACATCCACGTTTATCTGTATAGAATGAATGCTAACGGGACGGCAGAAACCCCCAAGGCTCCCAAGACGCCCACGAGAAACCGCCGCCTGGACCTGGAAACTGACGCCCCCCGCGTCGACAGCGGCTGGGGCACCGCAAGCCCAGCGAGCATCGGCATGGCCTTCATGACGCCGCGGACGATTCCTCGCATCGAAGAAGACGACGCCGTCTGGGAGATGCTCAGCCCGAATGTGACGCCGTTCCGCAAGGGCAGAGGCCCGAAACGCACCCGCCGGCGCAGCTACTACGACGAAGACATCTGGCCGAGTGCCTACAAGTCGCCGCAGGCTCTTGCTCAGCCAGTCCATTGAGACTGATAACTGACATCCATTCTGATACTCGCTACTCGCTACTTTGATACCTGATACTCGATATCCCTACATTCTTGCTCTGTTTCTTTTGTTCTGCATACCCGTTTGTTTGGTTCGTTTTGGCATCGTTCTTTATACCAGCACTTGTTGCACTTTTGCATCTATCAAATTCCCCATTCTTACTTGATCATTTCGTTACTCTTCTGCTTATTTGGCTGCTATTCTTTTTTATTACTCGGTTTTACCCCTTTGCATCAAACATAAAACACTCGCAAGCATTGATTGCTTGACGGTTAGGCATCCTTATATTTCCCCATACACCGTTTTTTTAATTCTAATGGCCCGCCAGCGCGGAGCTTCTTACCCCCAGCTTTGTCCTCCTTAGCTTGGATACTACTAGTTTTTAGACATAGAATTCCAGTCATCTGGTTAGAACAAGATGTTGATTCATCGAGTGCTGAAGCCATCTAGATCCGCCTGTCACGGACGAAAGGGGGAAAATGTAAACAAACGCTCAGGCAACAATCTCTGACGTATCATTTAGCTATTTTATGCGGAGCAGCTGTCGCAAACCTTCAACCTTGTGCTCGACCTCTCTCATCTCACTGACAACACCCGCTAGCGCTGGAATCGGGTCAGCCACAGCACCAACGAAAGCCTCCTGGGCGTTCCTCAACGGAGGAGGCACCAGAATCCCGAACCAGTGCAGCGGGTTGGACGTGGTCTTGCCCTTGCTCTTAGTCTTTGTCTTTGCCTCCTTTGTCTCTGTCTCTGTCGGTGTCTGTGCATGGTCCTCGTCCTCGTCTTCAGACGGCTTGTCTGTGCCTTCTTTGGCGTCTTTGTCTCTGCTAGAGTCGGGCTTCGTTTCGATAGTCACTGTCTTGAATGCGGGGGCGGAGGACTCGTCCAGAGACGCATGCAACCCGTCTGTGGGAGCGGTCATTGTAATTTCTCTAGTGCCGTCTTGTCAACCTTGATGTCTTCGTCATTAACTCTGGCTTGTCTTCGTGTCCCAACATACACCTGTCTGGTTGCTTTCATCCGTTCGTCGTAGTAGTCTTCCCCATAGCGCCGGCCGGGAGGACATGCATGGTTCGCTCGAGCAAGAGAGAAAAAGCCCTAGCCAGGTCAGTCAATAAACAAGCTGTAAGCCAACAAGAAAATAGACCGTCGTACGCTTGCAAACTGCCTTCCTATGGCTTCCTGGAGCTTCTGCTGCTCGTCCAGCAGATGGAGGTATCGCTCCAGCAGCTCGTCAATGGCCTGGACGAGCTCAGCTTCCGAGCGAGCCTCTCGACCGTCAGCCGGAGTCGCGGGCGGTGTCGGCAGCGTCTCTTCCATCTTCTCCCACCCGCCGACTGATCACTCTATCTTTCTTCTGTGTCTCAACAGCGACTCACACATGTTGTTTCTTCTGCGTCTTCCTCGTCTTCAACTTCGACCTCAACTTCGAGATCTTACGTAAGCACCAGCAAGCCCAAACTCGACCAGCTTCAACTTTCAGCTTTTTTTTCCGGCTTCATCAAAAGACGCCTCTGCAGCCTACCGGCTTTTCAACTGCTCGCCGTCGCCCGGCCCTGTATATAGCGAATACCAACTCAGCCTCGATCTATTCAGCGACGACACTGCGTCCGCCGCTCGATACCCTCCCCCTGTCTCTGCCGCTCTCGCCCAGCAACGCCGCGGACCAAGCTTATCTCCGATGCCCGTTTTGATTTCTTCCGTGTCTTCGTAAACGAGTCTTCGTTCATGCGGCTCGGCGGTCTGCTGCTTCAAAAGATATGCATCCGATAGCAAGTCCGCAGTCAAAGAGGGGACACGATCGATACTGCTCGCCAGCGCCCATCTTTGCTGTTGCTGTCGCTGCTTTTCCCCCGGAGTAGCCTTTGGCCGGGAGCTTTTCACCGCAGCAGGCAGACAGATATTAGGCCGCAACCAGGTCTTTCGGCATCAAAACAGCTCTTAGAGACATATATTCAGCATGTCTGTACAGTCAGTGAGCAGCAACTCTGCCTTTCAGGCGCGATCACTCGTACGTTCCCCGTGGCTGTCCTATTATAACAACTATGTGCCTCAAGGTGCATATTGCTAACAAGAAGGCTTGAACTATACAGTTCCGGTCTCTCCTCCGTCAGGCAAACCAATTCTCCGCTTACAACTTCCGAGAGTACGCACGAAGACGCACCATCGATGCGTTCAGAGAGCACCAGCATGAGACCGAGGAGCGGAAGATACAAGAGTTGATGCAGAAGGGGTTGGCCAATCTGCAGATGATGAAGGTAGCTACCTCTTTTGTTGGCTTCCATCTCTATCAGATCGCCGGAGCACTGGCTAATGATACATGCTTTACAGAGACAAACAGTGATAAGTCAGTTCTACCAGCTCGACAGGCTAGTTGTAGAAGGACAGAAGACGGTACGTTGAAGACTTGGGTCAATGTCTACCAGTTACAATTGGACTTAACATCCTCTAGGGCAAAGAAACCGGAGATCACGGCAGCATAGTCAGACAGAATGACTCTGGGTAGGTCGTTCTTGATAGCCGGATTCCATACTGCCGTAAAAGCTGCTGCTGACTTCCCTCTCCAGGTCAAACTAGATACCAATAGCTAGGGAAATGGACTAGGACTGTTACGGACGCTGTTTCAGGGACAGATACTCTCTTTACCCACTGGAGGACCATGTAGAATATAGATTTAATGCTGCGTCTCTGCCCGTTTCTTGCTGTCTTTCTTCCTCCGCCTTTTGCGGCGCCATTGAAAAATATTGTCTTAATAAGCTGATGACTAAGCATCTCAACTTCATCGCAAACTTGACGCTGAAAACCGAATTTCCAGCTGCGAATCTCGGTCTTTTGGCAGAAGAATTCACCAGCGCAAGCGACAGAAGCAGGATGGGCCTCGTAAGTGCTCCTACACCTCTACAAACACACTGCGTTACCGTCCAGTTATCCCGGTTACGGCGGTTTTGGCGGGTGGCTGGCGGCAAAATCCCTGGCGCGTCAAGCCTGTATTTCTTGCGCGCGCATTCTATTATTCACCCACTAGCAGTGGATTGTTTGCTTGTATTAGTACTGATTATTATATAGAATCGATCATCTCGCTCCCATCGATCGGGCCCAGTCGACCACGATGTCTTCGAGGGACTGCCTGTCCGCCGCTGGGCCCGCCAACTCACCACCGTCTCGCAGGAGCCGAAGTCAACAGAAGAAGAGACAAGCATAGTAGACTCTCAGAGTCTGCCAGAACTGCCAATGCCTAGGGACAGCAACCTCTTGACTCCTGTCAGTCGTGCGCTCCTTCGCGCTGCTAGAGCTGGGTGCACCTACATACGACCTGTCCGCAAGGATCCCGAGCCCGAGGAACTTGAACAAAAGGACGATGATGATACTGTGGTAGAGCCAACGGTTGACGAGCGGACGTTTGCAGCTATGAAGTGGACCGCTTTACCCAGAACAGTTGAGCTTCCAGAGGTGGAATTCTTAGCTCCCAGGAGAGCTGGGCTGCCGTCCTTGTATGGAGCTGGAGCCCAGTCAAACGCAGCCACGGCGGCTGGCTCGTCGACCCCAATGCGCAAGACAAAATTCAAGAAGATAGATCCTACAACTGGCGTCATATCAATATACGAAGCTTGGGTACCGGAGGGGTATCAGGTCGAAGGAGAGATCATCCAAGAAGCCCAGGTCATAGCTGAGAATCCAGACGCAAAGGTCGTCAATGTTGAGCCAGCTCCCGGAACTGTCGTTGCGGATATCGGCGTGGTGAACCAGGATGGTGTCGTTGTTGCCACCGCCGAAGGCAGTGCAGTTATACCCAAAGTGAACAAGGGGAAGCGGAAACTAAAGGCCGGCAAAGCAAAGAGCAGGAAGAAGGTCATGTTTGCTTCTGGCGATGGGAATGGACAGCAAGAGGCCCCAGGAGCTGAAGGCCCTGCCAATCCTTCCGTTTCAGAAAATGGGGGCGCTATACCTTCTGGAACAGTATCTGTGCCAGAAGACGAAGAGGAAGATGAGGAAGAAGGCGATGAGAGCGAGGAGGAGGATGAGACTGCAACTGATTCCAAACCCACTCCAACGGCTGACGGCCCTGTTGATGAGAATAACATGACTCCAGCTGGTGACGTCCCGTCAGAACCGCAGGATATACCACAACAACCGCCTACTGTTGAGAAGGAATCTCTAGAACCGACACCATCAGAACCTCCTCAAACCATCTCAAAATCTCCAGATCTACCCATCCTCACAAATTCTACCTCTGAACAACCTTCGAAGTCGCCCACTGAGGAGCCTCCTTTGGCTCCTGCTTCCACTGAACCTTCAAATGAAGCTGTACCTCCCATCGAAGCGCAGCAGGCAGACCCCGAGACCGTTGAGCAACCTAAAATTAGCGCTCCCCCAGTGTCTGCGGCAGAAGATGCAAAAGCTGCGTCCCCAGTAGCGCCTCTCCCGGAAAACCTTGACAATAAGATGGACACAGCTGAGGATGAAACACATCATCAACCTGCTCCCGAAAAGACAGCTAGCCCCCCGGCACCCGCCAAGGAAGAGCAAGTTTCACTACCGACTATCCCGCCGAGCACCACCGAAGCAGAATCCAAACCCCAAACTCCTGATGCACACACATCAAATCCACTTTCCGAGACTATACCTGTATCTACACCCACTACAGGCCCCGGTGAACCTGCAGCCGAAGAGCCGGCTGGCCCCAGCTCTTCTCCTCCACCCCCTGAAACAACCGCAGACAGCAAGCCCGAGCCTACGTCTAGTGGACCTGTTCGATTCGAAGACGGTGAGGTTGATCTGCTAGGAAGCCTGGAGGCAAGCCTGGGTAAGGATCCAGATGCTACAGTGCAAGATAAACGTGAAGAGACGTCAGAAACGGCTGCCACTACTATAGAAAAGAAGGAAGATGATACCGATACGAAGCCTGAAGCATCCCCTGCTAAAGAGGAAGAAAACAAGGAAGATGATAAGGACAAGGACGTTGAGATGACTGGTTAATGTACTCTATTTCGGATTGGCATTTCTTGCTTATCCTAAATTCTTGGTTGGGGTTTGAGCTCCCATTGGAGTGATCGTCGTTATCCGTAGAGCACGTTTATTCGTTTAGTGTTCGTTGATATGGCTTTGGTCTGACTGGATTGGCGTTTATTAATTTCATGCAGCGTACTCTACGGAGTGAACACTATATCCCATTTGCGCTCAAAGTTCAAGGTTATAGCAGGCCTTTCTAATTGAAGTACCAAGATTGCTGTAGTTTAAATAATAGTACATATGTTGAAATATTTCTAACCTCAATAACGCTCATAAACTAGCTGAAAACGAATTATGACTATGGCAAAAGTTGGCTTAAACAGAACCGCTAATTGACAGCGGTAACAAGAAAATTAGAGAACGCCAAAGCACGCTAGAAATCAATCAAACAATCAGTCATCAAGACCTGGTAGATGTTCTACGTCCACCTCTACCCTTTAGGGCAGTTGGAACAGCAGTCTTTGCAAGCCTAACCCGCGACCTAGATGGCATCCGAAGCTTGGTGCTTGATGCGGCTTGTCTGCTGGTTCTTGAAGAACGGGAAACAGATTTGAATGAGACATCCGCAGCAGCCGTAGTCCTAGTCTTTGCAGATTTATTGAATTGAACACCCACTCTCTTCTTGGGTACCCTTATCGACTTAGCTTGGGACTTTATGCCTTGGGAGGCTTTAGAGGCTACCCGCTTCAGACCAGTTTTGACAGAGGACTGCTTGGTGGTTTTCTGTTTCTTAGAAGCTGGCGAATTGGCAACTCCCTGTGAATTACGCTTGGTTCCAGTATTAGCCTGTTTGGCGGTAGATTTCTCCTTGGAGTCTTTCCCTTTCGGTCTTGGTCCTAGAACCCCACGGCAAGATGGTGTGCCGCAGCGGCATTCTTGGACATTCTTATTGGAGTAGGGACTTGGATTTCAAGTTAGCTGGGATAATTCTAAAAGGAAAGGGGAAGGTGGTCATACTCAAAGTTATAGTCATAAGTCAGCTCTTCGCCGGTCATGATACCATTATCACCGGCAAAAAGGGCAATCCTGGGCTTCCCAGCAACAATCCATTTCTCCATCTTGCAATTAGGTTCACATGAGTGATTGACGAAGCGTGCGATTGAGCCCCGTGTGGCATCAATGATCATATCTTGGTCAAAGTCCATCAAATAAAAGCACTGTCGAAAGAAGTTAGTTACCAAAAGAATAACTGACTTAGCTAGGATAGACGAACCTCATTTTTCTTATATATCGTTTTCATTCGACGCTGGGCCTCAATCTGAGTGAGTATTTCTCCGGTATACTCAACAATGATCTGATTCGGTTCAAAAGTTCTATTGCTTCGGACACCATATCCGCGGCTTTCTGTCTTAATGACTTCAACTCCAATGTTGTATTTACCTCCGGTTTTGATCCGTTTGCGCAGCTCAGAGAAATTGCGGTTCCTGCAGAGGTCTTCTCCTAGTTTGCAATTATTCTCGTCACACTCATAGAACATGTGGCGGTTCTGGCAGTTCTCTTCGCACCCCATTTCAGGGGTACAGAGACAAGTGGATTGTTCAGTCGGCATGGTAGCTTTCCAGATACCAGCGGCGTCTCCGATAAATATATCTATACCCATTAGTTTGGTAGTCGCCATTTAGAGGTAGGTTGCGGTGCTTACTTTTGTTTATCTTGCGCCATTCATCTGGCTTAGGCTGGCCGCGAGGCAAGGGGGAGAATATATCATAGGGTAATCGAAATGGCCTGCCCTTTTCCAGTAATAAAGCTCCAGAGTACTTGGGCATAGGAAACAGAACACGTTCACGCGGAGCTTGTCTGGTCCCCTTTCGCTTGCTTTGGGGTCCTGGTAGTTCGAGTTTAGCAAATGCATTGGGTCCTGCGTAGAGGCCATGCGTGAGCCATTTCTTCCTCTTTGGCGCCGTTTGGACAGGAGCAGACGAATGTGATTCCTCTACTTTCTTTTCTTTCCTGGGAGAAGTAGAGACATCCTCAGATACGCGTCTCTTCTTGCTAGCAGACTCTTCCTGGGTTTCCTTGCGCACAACTGTCCGCGAGCGTAGACTGGATCTTCTATCCTCAACCTTGGACTTGGACTTCAAGGACTCCTTGTCATCTCGCTGTCTTTTTCCAAGAATGGAAGAAACCTGGTTCAAAACTGTCTTTGTTTTCTCCAGGAGTGTCAGTCGACCAGACCGTCTCCTGGGTTGGGCAGGGTCAACCTTTGTTGACGATTGTGGCCTCGATCCAGTTTCTTCCTTTATACGCTCATTCTCAGCGTTACTCTTGGTGTTTTCCAGTTGTATCTCTGCCGTAGTCTCTTCTTCGCATGGCTCCAATGCTCCCGCCGGTAAACCACGCCGCCCCCTTAGTGAACGCCGTTCATTTTTTCTGGCCGGCTCACGCTTAACAACAGTTCCCCCCTCAGAAATAGACGCGGATGGATCCTCTCTCAAGCCATCTCTATGCTTATTCCCGTTATGTTCAGTGTCGTTGTCTATTCCGCCCCTGGTAGATGCTCGAGTTACGCGACGCGTTTGCGGCGGCTTGGTCTGAGAAATCTGAGAAGCGGGCTCTGTAACCGGAACGTCGACATTGCTTGAGGTCTCTGAGACGCTTGTTGCCGGTGTCAGAGTGTGTCCGGTCGATTCATGAAGGGTTGAGTCGCTGTCTGGGGTTATAGATGTTGATGTTGTCGACTCCCTGGTGACACGCGACATGGCTGCATAAGAAAGGACGCCGGGCCAAACAGCCACCGAACGAGAGCTTCTAGATCAGTTCTAAAAGGTATCTGGTGAATAACTGGCACAGAGCAGAGTAGAGGGTAAACGACGGTTGTTTCTTGAGGAATAATCGGGCTCTGCGCCGGGCGAGAAGGGTGAAAGAGCCCTAGAGAAGTTTGATAGGACAAAAGGCGCGACGCGGGTGTTGGACAGCCTTTTTCATGGACCAGGGGAGAGTAAACAATACACGGAGTGCGAGGTGCAGACCCGGGGCAGCTCGCATTATAAACAGTAGCGGACTCTCAAGGGGACGCAGGTATATAATCGCAGTGCATGGTCCATTACTTATGAATATAGGGCGGAGACGTGTTACGTCCAAGTTTGGCGGTTTCAGGAAGACAAGAAATGCGCCACTGGTGAATTTTATATTGGAGTCAATGCTTTCCGGGAAAAGGGGGCGAGAGTCAGGACAGGAAGAATCAGGAGTTAGACATTATATATTCAAATTCTAGCTTAATTCTCTTATGATAAACATGTCACAACTTTTGTCCGTAGCAGGTGGGATTCTGTAAGACATTGTTGGATGAAGGACGCTGCCAGAGTCGCCCCAGAGACAGGACGGGTACAGGTCTATCTAGCAAAAAACAAGCAATCAGACAGCAAACGCAGAATAGCGCGAATGCAGCCCGTAGAGAATGCAAATTCCCAGTCAAAATGGGCATGAGGGGGGTATTAGAAACATAAATCAGTCAGGAGATAGATCAAATGGTAGAGCCAAAATGTACACAAGAAGCAGAGGCTGGAGGAGACAGAGCGAAATAAATCCATGAAAGGGTGCTGAGGACACGGCTGGCAGTAGAATACATGGTTAGACATTGGTTTCGGGGTATCGGAAGTAATTTGGGCATTACGCCCATTTTGCTCGTTTACGAGGGTGGCGGTGCCGCTCCGCTGGTCGGGTGTCCATTACCGACCTGCTGCATCTCAAGGCCGCCGTTTTGTGCCTCGATGTCATTTCGTCGCTTGTTCACCTTGAAAGTCGCAAATCGCTGGTCACCTTCGACATGGGAGTTCTTAAATTGGAGGTAACTAGGAGTTCGAGGCTTTCCAAGGACAGCAGCCAGGTTCCTGAAAGCACTTCCCTGGGTGAAGGGGCGGTGTCTGTCTTCCTTCTTAAACTTGCGGGAGTTCAGGTACTCTCGTGTGGTCTCACTTCGGCTCATCAAGAAGATATGGTAGACTGCTAGAGCGGCAGGGTACGTAGCTGCAAGGCCGCCATACACGACCATGGCAAAGGGAAGACGCCACTTATCGATGGCTTCACCAAAAGTGACACCTTCCATCTTCATGTAGCCAAGGACATGAGCAAGACTAGCAGAGAAAAGGAAGACGGCGAGTACAGTGCATGTAGCAACGAAGGAGAAGAAGTAACGGTAATTTCGGCGTCCAACGCAATTGTTGAGCCAGACACAGTGATGGTCCAGAGTTTCAACGCAGTTGTTGCATACTCGGCAGTGATAGCAACGCGGTGGACGCCAGATGCTGCAGGTCTTGCAGTACTTTACTGGCACATCCATGGCAGCAACTTCAGATGTAGCTAGTTTGATCATAACCCAGTCACTGGTAGGAGGACCCAGGGCTAGAGGATCAGCATCGGGGTCGGAAGGGGGTATAATGTGAAGATTTCGGGGAAGAATCTATCGATTTGCTGTCAGTTAGTAATGTGTAAATAGTAATATGACGAGTCAGAATATCACTCACTCCAGGATCGACTAAGGAAGCATGAAGAAAAGACGAGACGCAAAGGTAGAAGAGGTATCCAAAGACAATGGGTATTGCTTTTGACATGTTAGTCCACAACCAAGGTGCCCTAGAGATAGATGTCAGCAGGGTCAGTTACTGAGTATCCTGGGGGAGTGTGGGACTTACGAGGAAGCAAAAAAGAGAATTGTAGGTAGGACGATCAAGAATCCAGTAACAATGTTAATCGGTCTATCACGAGTATTTTGGAACCTGCCGCCACCGAAAAATGCAGTATTCCCAGTAAAGTATTGATAGTTCTTTCCCCTTTCCACGACCGGTTTCACCTCAACCTTTTCAGGCTCAGGCTCAGGGATAGACGTTGCATTAGAGGCGAGTCTTGTGTGACTTCTCTGGTCACAACGGCGTATGGTAGCCTCAGATGCATTCCCACCGAGAAGTCCAGATGGAAATGAGATAGGTGACTTGGAAGGCAGCTCGTGTGACGCAGTTGGGTTGGTATAGTTCTCCCCCAAGTTCACCTGGACAGGAGTAGACGATCTCTGAGATCTATCCTGTAGCAGCCTGACGTTGTCTCCCAGGCTGCGAATCGTCGTATGTCCTGAGGGACTGGTATTTGTCATCAGCCTGTCAGGCAGTACTGGATCCGTAAACTCTGTTCCTCTTGTTGGTGGCCGGATATCGTTATCTAGATGTGCCGTCGTGTTTGATACCATACTCCTGCGCGCCTGGCTGGCCACATCACTCTGGTTGTCTTCAAATCCAGTGGTACTGGTTGCCGTCGTTGTAGGTCTCCCACCACGCTGTGCCTGTAATCTCTGCGAGCTCATGGGTCGAAAGAAGGCCTGGGAGGTGAGAGAGGAGACGTGGGTTTTGCTCATCTTGCTCTGCGCGCTGGGCGGCCGGGCATTCAGCTTTGGGCTCCGCGTGGGTGGAGGCCCTCGATGAGACGGCATCGGGCCAGACTGTGACCATGTCGCCGAATGCTGAGTCTGCTGCCCGTCTTCAGATACGGGTCCGGTGATTGGGGAGGGTATGTTGACTGCAGACTGAGCAGCAGTCTGGGGTGCAGGACCCGGGGCACGGGAGCTCGAATCTTCGGGATTCGTTTCAGATGGAGTCATTGTCGCGATTGATCCGTGCTATTTTATCCAGAATCAATAGTATCAACGCATTATCACGTCGATATATTAATATATATAGCAGGTTTCAAGCTCCCATCTATTTGTTTGTTGACTGGGGAGAAGGCTGGAGCTTTTTTGTATCGAGCAGGGCGTGAGGGCAGGAACCAGATGAAGCAGCGGCCTAGAGTCTCAACACGGCGTCCGACACAGCCGGAATCAGTCTCGTCTTCGCTTCTCTTCGTCCTCTCTCCGTCTTCGTCTCTCCGTCTCGCTCGTTTGTTGTCCTCAAATCGTCGACTCTCCGTCTCTCTCTTTTTTTTTGGTTTCTCCTTTAATTTCAAGATTCATCATGTGATCACAGCTGACTCATCTATCACGTGACCATCTAAAACAAACCGTCGGAAGCGGAAAAGAACAACCAAAAGTCGAAGTTCCTTGAACGACATCGAGATATATCAAAAGACGCAAAGCCTGCCGAAGACGACCGAGACTCGCCCAGATCAAGGCAATTGACAGCAGTGTTGGTCAAGATTTGCCTCACCATGTCCTCTCTCTCTGCCATCATGGCCCGCCGGGCCGTCCTGCGCCAGCAGCCTGTCCGAAGACTCGTCACGCCACAGCCAATCCGACGACATGCCTCCTCCAAGGCCGCTGAGGCCGGCCTCGACAAGGGCGCCAAAAGGGATCCCGAGCTCTATGTACGTCGACAAGCGTGTGGGGACTGCAATTGATGCGGTCCTTGTCCTGAACTCCCTTTTCATGCGATATATGAAGCTGATCGGTGGTGGTGTTGCACGAAATTATTAGGTCCTTCTCACTGTTATGGCCGGTGCTTTTGGAATTGTCGGCTGGTATCTAGGCAGCTCTCCTACCAGCGTTAGCTCCGAGAGCAACGTCCGTGTTGGCGAGAGCGGCGCTATGCCATGGGAGACCGACGAGAAGGATTCCGAAAGCAAGGGCAACTTCAAGTACAGGTACCACCCTCACGGAGACAAGACCAAGCCCCTCAAGGAGGCCCCCAGTGCTTTGAACGAGGTCATCATTCCAAATGTGACCCTCCCAGCTGTATGTGCATGGTCATACCCCGCTGTACGATACTTGTTTTAATACTGACTTATCGGATAGGACCTCCACGAACGATTCAACAAGTATGGAAAGGATCTCTAAATCAAATTCCAGGCTCTTTGCCTATGCCGTCAAGGGTGGATTTGATACCATGCTAGGAATTAATTGCAGCATCGAGACTCCTGTACATATTCCTACAATTGTAACATCTTGTCTCCGTTACTACCTCCCTCTTGTCGCTGCTGCCCAAGCAGCATCACATCATTCCTTGTATCAATTCCTGGCCTTTCCTTGATATGTTTGGTTAGTCTCTCACAATTACCCTTTAGATCTCAATTGTGTAAAATCCAGTTTAATTCAATCATTGGTTTCATATGTTTATCACTGCTACGGGGTATATATATCGTACGACATTAGTAACTAGCTTACTGTGGGCCAATTGAGGCAATGATATTAACAATCATATTTCGAGCTCTTAAGGGCAACGGCTGGATCCTTGGGGACAACACCACAGTATTGACATCCAGAGTTGGCATTCTAGTTATTTAATCTAATTCTCTTTTTTGGCGAAGCCATGAACTAAAAAACACCTGAAAGACATAATCTTCGCAACAAGCAGGCCATAACGGGATAACAATTAATATAATACAGGAAAAGACACTGGACAAGAATGAAAAACCCATTAAATATCGTAGAGAGCCAATTAGTTTGTAGCAGCCTTAGCCTCGCTGGCGGGCTTTGGCTTATTTTCTTTCTTTTTGGGGGACTCGTTCTCTCCCTTGACCTCAGCAGGCTTGTTCGCTGGAGCCTTTAGTTCGTCCTTAGCAACGGTTTCTGGGTTGGCGCCCTGCACGTCTGGGTGTTCAGGGGCGATAATAGCTTCCTTGGGGAGTTCTCGGCCTTCGTTGTCGATTAGTCTAGTGCGAGTCTCATAGCGAGTTTCAAAGGATATTTCTCCCTGTTCCTGGAGGGCTTTGACTTGTTCCTCGCTAAGGATGTTGCCCTCTGAATCGCGGTATTCGACTTCACGAACTTTACGAAGATCTGGGTCCACTGCCGGTGGCTGTTGTGGCGATTCGGGCTGGACAGGAACTTGGTTCGCCTGCTGTTCAGGTTGCTGCTCCTGCTGTTGTCCTCCCTGTTGTTGTTCCTGCTGTACGGGTGGGGCTGCGATGGAAGTAGGAGCGGCTTCCGAAGTGTTGATAACTTCAGGGATAGCATATTGGGATAGCTGACTCCAAGTCAGTAACTCAATTCAACCACGACCACGTTGGGGAGCCTTCCATGTTGGAACACTTACGTCATTATGGAAAAGGTTGCAGTCAAAGTCCCATGTAGAGATCAACTTGGTCTTCTGGCACATGCCTTTGGTCCAAGGGTTGCCGTACGCCAGTGGTGAAAGGATGCAGAAAGCAGCAACGCTAAGAGACAAGAACGCAACAGTGAATAATTTGCCAAAGATGGATGGCTTGTTAAATCTGTTAGCCACAAAGTCGTAGATCTGACAGAATGCCAGGATGGCGAAGTACAGAGCCGGGAGATAGTGGTGGAGGAAAAGCTGTCGGGCCATGAGGTAGAATGGGAAGTAGTGAAGAGCCCAACCGAGAAGAGTCTGGCCAATCTCGTAATCAAAGCGCTTGAAGTGGACATGGTTGTAGTCCTTGAAACCACGCTGCCATCGAAGAACGGCGATACCCTTGAAGACGACCCAAATGACAACTGCGGCGGTAGAAGTCCACCAGATAACTGGGTTGCCAATGAGGTAAACGTGGCGGTGGTGTCTGCCCCAGAAGTTGATACCACGGGACAGGATGGGCCAGGATGGTGGACGTGAGTCCCAAGCATGAGAATCGACGAGGCCAGCGTTTGTCCTCCACATGACTTTGTGAAGTTCCCAGAATTTGGCGAAGAAGTTTGGAATCTTGTAGTTCACTTTCTCAACGTCATCAGGGAGAGCGGGCTGGCTGTTCTGTTCAATGTACCAGATGCTGTTGGGTAGGGAACCACCCTTGGCACAGGTAACCTCTTGTTGGTCAAAGCCCCATTCTGGCAGTTTCACTTTATGGGAGAACAAAACACAGCCAGTCATAACATGCACAAGCTTGAACTTGGTCTGGATCGTCCTCAGCCTCTTCTTTGCCTCCGCTCCGTCAGACATGGAAGGGACAATTTCCACGCGGAAGAGGTCATTGGCGTCTCCCTCGAATCCTTCGTAGCCGTACGCGGAGACTTCCTGCTGCCAATCGGCTTCGGTAACCGGAGGACGAACGTCATGAGAGTGAAGGCGTCTGTCAGTAGCCATGTGGTAGAGCCTGATGGTGTCGCCGTCCATGATGTGTTCGGTAGTGATGTTATCCCAGGCCCGTGGTCCGGGGACCTGGCCATATGGTCCTAGAGGCTGGGTCTGGTTCTCGAGAATGAAGATGTTGTTGTCATCCTTGTGGGGGTAAAGGGTGATTTGTTGCTGCTTGCTTCCGCCTGGATACATGTGGCTGTGCGAGTGGAGGTAGCCTCCCTGTGTATTGTGGTGTCTGATAGATACCCTAGAGCCAAAGACAACATCGACAGGAGTATCACCCATGCCCTTTGAGTTGAGAGTTGCTTGGAATTCGGATGACATGAAACCGTCACCTTCACCGGGGTTTCGGAGACAGAGGAAGTGAATTCCGAACATGGCCATGTAGAGGCCAACAGGGATAACAATCAAGCAGAGGGCACGAGCAAAGAAATGTTTAAACCAGAGGTGCTATAAGAACATTAGTATGCGTTGAAATATGTTTGGTTAACGTTGGTGTGAAAGCTTACTGGAGTAACGGTCTTTGAATCACCGAGAAGAACCCATAGTTGGATGAGAGTCAATGATCCAACCCACGCAATCGTGAAGAGACCAACCCATTTCACACTAGCAGTTGCTCCCAGGAATAGTCCAGATGCCACCAGCCAGAACCACCAAGAGCATCCAAAGGCCTTTGGTGGGCCTTGTTCGTGCTGGTTGGAGAACGAGACGAAAGAGAGGACGGTCAAGGCAGTGAAGATGATCAGAGGAGAGTCCAAAAGAATGAAGCGCGACTGGGTGACGAGTGCGTTTTCTAGTAGTTGTTAGAATTGGAATTCCACATGTTCGAGGTTAGGGTGACAAAACTCACCAAAGGTGACCAGGAGAGCACCAAACGAGGCGGTTGAAGTCCGACAGCCAGTTGCTTTCAGAGTAAGAAACATGGTAGGGACGGTCATTATACCCATGATAGCAGGAAGCATGCGCATGGCAACGTAGGGAACACCAGGTTCTAGATAATCCTTGCCAATTTCCTTAAAGTCAAAATCTCCCTTGAACCCGGCGAGGTGACCAGCGAGGGTGATAAGCAGTTTAGCTAGCGGCGGGTGGACGTCCATGAAGAATTTGCCCTTGATATACTTGGTAGCGAAGCCTCCGAAGCTATAGATATCCAATTAGCCTTCCAATTGGGGGTCAGCTATGGCAGGGGAGGCGGCGGAACTTACTGGACCTCGTCAAAGACGACGCTGGAAGGCTGGTAGATCCTGAACAGCCGCACCACCGTTGCAATTGCAGTGATGACGAGCATTATCTTGTAGTCTGAGACGGGCAGGTTGAGGACATCGTAGTCCTTGACGCCATCGGAGCGGTAATCGTGGGTTTTCGACTGCTTGGAGGCGCCCTTGGGGCCAGGGGATCTGCTCTTCGAACGGCTCTTCGAGCGACTTTTGCTGGGCGTCTTTGCCTCCAGACCGGCATTCGAGGCCTTGGACGCCATTATCACGGATTAAAGTATATAACGAAGCAGAATAAAGAGCGAGAGAGGAACTGCGAGTCGTCGGAGAAGAGTGCGTTGGACGAGCTGCTAAACGGGCCACATTGATTAAAAGAGACGATAAGTAGACGCCAAGGGAGGCTGAAGTAGAAGTAGATAACGCAAGCGAGGGTCAAGAAGCAGAAGAAAAGGGTCGACACAGTCAAAAGCGAAGAAGAAAAAGGGAAGAAGTCCACGCAGCCGTCTCGAAGGAGCAGAAACGACAGCGAGAAGGTCGTGAAGGGCTGAGGCTGCAGAAGGAGTCGAGGATGAAGTTGGAGGGTGTTCTTTTTTTTCCTGCTTTGCGGTCGGCGGGAAGAAGAAAAGGGGTGCTTATGTAATCAGCGACGTTGAAATTGAAAGCTACCAAAAAAAAAGCTGGAGAACAACGACGAAGCTGAAACAACCAAACTGCAAAGGAGACCGGAAGGCCGACACGCAGGCGGCAGAGAACGGGATTACGGGCAGAAGAGCGAGATGGCGCCGTCGGCAGTGAACGAGGCTTCTGGTACGCCGTCAGAGCTGCCGGACGAGGTGAACAAGCCGCCAGAGGGCGTTATCTTGCCACCAAAGGACATCAAAGGTAGGCTGAAGAGGAGCTATTCTACATGAGATGCAGATGCTGACTGTGGGAATAGTCATTGTTGAGAAGACCGCGGGCTTCGTTGCGCGTAACGGACATGTTTTTGAAGGTAGGGCGGTATAACGATACAGCTGCATTGGGATTGAGATACTGATGATTGATAGACCGAGTGAGGGAAAAAGAGAAGAACAACACCAAGTTCTGCTTCCTAAACCCGAATGACGCCTATGCCCCGTTTTACGCATGGAGACTGAGTGAGATCAAGGCCGGTAGAGGGACGGATGTGTCTGCCGGGCGCGTCGGAGAGGCAGCACCAGCTAAGAAGGAAGAAGAGTCAAACGCCCCCAAACCGCCGCCGGAGTTCCAGTTCTCGGCCCGGATGCCCAATATCAACGCACTGGATCTGGAGGTAGTCAAGCTGACGGCACTGTTCGTGGCAAAGAGAGGGAAATCATTCATGACGTCTCTATCCCAGCGCGAGACGAGAAACTTCCAGTTCGACTTTCTTCGGCCGCAACACAGTTTATATCAGTTTTTCACCAGGCTAGTGGACCAGTACCGGGAGCTGCTACAGGTTGAGGGACGTGAGAGTGCCGTCACAGAAGAACAGCGGCTGGCAGACCTGCGAGAGAATGTGACGAACAAATACAACGTTCTTGGGCGCGCAAAGCAGCGGGCAGAGTGGGTGAAGTACCAGGAGATGCAGAAGCTGCAAAAGGAAGAGGAGGAGGAAGAAGAGAAGGTGGCCTATGCGCAGATCGACTGGCATGATTTCGTGGTGGTTGAGACGGTGCTGTTCACAGAGGCAGACGACCAGAGCGAACTACCGCCGCCTACATCGCTGAACGACCTACAAACGGCTTCCCTGGAGCAGAAAGCGATGATTTCCCTACAGCCGCATGACAGACGAATAGAAGAAGCCATGCCTACCGAAGACGACTCAACGACATACTACAACGCTACATCAGATATATCACATCAACCCTCTCTCCCGATCCTACAACCACAACGTCCCGTATCCACTGGCCCTATACAACCGCAAGCACCGTCACCGTCCCCTTTCCCTTCAACAGCAGTAACTTCCGCCTCTCTCTCACCCGCCCCCATGCCAGCAACCGTATCTCCCACTCCTCCCGCACCCCCAGCAGCGCCAGTACCGGCAGCAGCAATACCCGATCAACATCCCGCTCGGGACCGGGTACGCGCCAATCCCTCACCCTCGCCCCTACCCGGCCAACCGCCCATGCGCATTCGATCAGACTACGTCCCTCGTGCACAAGCCAAACATCTCTCCAACGCCAACCAGCCTACATCCATATGTCCCAATTGCAGACAGCAAATCCCCATTGCAGAAATGGAGCAGCATATGCGCATTGAGCTACAGGATCCTCGCTGGAAGGAACAGCGCGCGAAGGCCGAGGCCCGATTCGCTAGCACCAACCTTTCGACTGTCGACGTAGCTAATAACCTTAAGCGTCTGGCCAGTCAACGAAGCGACGTGTTTGATCCAATGTTGTCTGGCGTCGCCGGGTCGTCTGCCACCACAAACGAAGAGGACGAAGAAGGCAGACGCAAGAGAGTGGCTGTTGGTCCGAACGGGGTGCCCGTGAATATGAACGTGCCTGTTCAGCAGCGCTCGTTCTCGCAGCCTATGCCTGCGCATCCTCAACCGCAAATGCATGTTCATGCCCCAGGCACAGTACCTGACCTACCCCCCGGAGCACCAGGGACAATTCCGCTGCCCCCGGGCGTAGCACCCCCTGGTATGACACCTGCACCCGCACCTGCGCCGGGCGTGAGCGTGGGCGCTAGCATTTCCAGGCCAAGCAGTGCTAGCACCGGCGTCAGCGCCTACAAGCCGCCTGCCATGCACGAGCTGCCTCAACCGCCTATCCAGAAGCCACCGCCTGTGCAGCCGCAGCCAGCCCCCGAGGAAGCCAGACCCGACACGCCGCCGGTGAACATTAACGAGCAAATAAGGAAGATCCACGAGAAGATGGGCCGGTAACGACGTGGTATGTCGTATTTTTACGTATATGTATTATCAGCTATTTATCTAGCGGCGTTAGGAATAAATTGGAGCAACATAGGTACCTCTGCTCGTTTCATTTATATCTGCTTGCTACCTACGTAGGGTAACTAAATGACAGCTCCAGCTTCATTTCAAGCTCAAGTTCATCCGTCTATCTGCAGTATTAATTAAACCTTTCCGACCAATTGTCCACCCATCCAACCGACCAACCAATTAACCACTAACTGACCCCTTCTATGTAAGTGAATAAAAAGCAACTAAATAACGAAACGTAACGTACACTCTCCCGAATTGAAAAAAAAAAAAAAAGATGAACAAGAAGATGAAGTAAGTCCGCGAAGGGAGAAGGAGAAGAAAGGAAGCAGGTAGGTAGGGGAACCTCAGCTGCCTGTGGTATGGCGGTGGCTAATGGGCGGTATGTTAAGTAAGTTGTGTATGAGAGAAAGGAAATGGTTGATAGCGAGCGAGATCGAGCCCAGACGGGCCGATATGAAGCATTAAGAATAGCAGTAACAATCAAAGGCAATGAATCAGAATCGAATCGAATGCAATGCAACAGAATGTAATAGAATTGAATGGCGTGGTCTCAAGCGGTTGGTAAGAGGTCGGTAAGGGGTATCATCAATTTCTTCAAAACGGATGCTCAGCTTCTTCTGGTGTAGAAAAACGGTCTTTCGTCTTGCTTTTGTTTATGTTCATTCACTTTTTAGGAACAGAACGCTGTACGTAGCATGCATGTTATGCATGTATGTTGTGAATCGGTCATGACATGGTGATGTGCTAATTATCATGCAAAAAAGCAGCGGGGATCTTCACCTTGAGCTTGCCTTCTGCTGGTGCTGGTGCTGTGTCGGGCGTGGACAGAGTAGATGTAGTAGATGTGCCGTTGGTCAGACTTGCACGAAGAGAGACAGGCATGACCTTGGGGAATTTGGTATCCGGTGAAGTCACTGTGGATGAGGATGGAGGGGTTGAAGAAGGCGGTGGTACAGATCTCAGACGGCGTAGGACTGTTCTTGGAGTCTGGGAGGTAGAGGTAGGTGTGGGTAGTGTTGCAGTTGCTGGTCTTGAAGATGGAGCCGGCTTGGGAGAGGGAGACGGAGAGCGAGATCTGTACCGTGATGGAGAGAGGGAGAGGCTGCGAGTAGTGATAGTAGCTGTTGTTGGTGCTGAGAGTGTAGATGTGGATGGAGTATCTGCTGGTGCTGTTGGCTGTTCTGGTGTTGTTGCTGGTTCTGTTTCAGCAGCGGGTGCCGGAGTAGGCGTCGGAGTGGGCGTGGATATACTTGAAGCCAGCTGTTCTGTAGTCTCTGTTTCCGCCTCTGGTTTCGTCGGCGTCGATACAGGTGTCTCCTTAGCATCCACTGGAGAAGTAACAGTGATATCCTTGATGACAAGCGGCGCATCATCAGACTGTTCAATCTTCTCCTTCTCCTTCGCGCTGTCGTCTTCTGCCTTCTTACCAGAGATAAAAGCCGGGACGACACCACCACCGATCCTAGCCCAGAAGATCCTCTCTCTCAACCGCACGGTTTCCTCCCAAGCCTCCCTCTCCCGCTCCTTGATCTCTGCCTCCCCATCCCCACTGGTCCTAACATGTCCATCGACAACCAGTCTTAGATATCCCACAAACTCACAGCAAGCCCGCATCTTTTCTAAACATAACAAGCACAAAGCATGTTTGGGGGCCGAGTCGGAGCTCGAAGTACGAAAACGGTGGGTGCGCGGGTTGACTGTCGTCCGTCTATCACCGCACAGTGCACAGGGTGTGGATGTACTCGACATACTTGAGGGTGTTGATGGGGGAGATGGCAAGTCTGTAGCCGAATTGGCTGATGAGGTGTTAGTAGGGATGGGTTCGATGATGAGTTCACCCTCGACGAGACTGCTCATGACGGAGCGGCGAGTGAGCCAAGATATGCCTGGTGCCATGTCGAGACGGAGCGTGGGCTCAATGTCCTCTGCGAGAATGCGTTTGTAGAAGCGGGTTTCCTTGAGCTGCATGGAGGAAGTGATGTTTTCTCGGGGAGAGGAAGAGATGCCGCCGTGAGATGTGGAAGGGGACGAAGCAACGGACGAGCTGGCTGCTGCTGGACTGCCGGTGTTGACATTGCTGCTGCTGCTGCCATTGTGGTTGGTGTCCTGAGAGTTTGTGGGGGTGTGGGTGGTGGATTTGGGACGGGAAGAGGTGAGGTTAGCTAGGTTCATGACGTTGAGGCCGCTGTAGGAGCCGCTGCCGACGCGGCTGGGCGGTCGGGAGCGAGAGAGCTGCAAAAGGGTGTTAAAGTCTTCGTAGGCGAGAATGTCTGTTCGACAGACGGGTTTGAGCAGGTGAGAGAAGCTTGTTGGAGGAGCAGGGGGGATATCGTCTGAACCAGGCGTGACGGGAGAGAGGTTCATGGCTTCGAAGAGACGGTTGATGTTGTGGTTGTTGCCATTGCCATTGTTGGGGGTAGGCTGGTCAGGGTAGGGATCCGAGGGTGAGCTGATGGAGGTGGCTGTTGTAGCGGTGTCCTGGTCGTCGTGTCTGCTGTTCATCTGCTCGATGACGGACTTGAGCTCGGCCAGCTGTTCCTGGTGCGAGGCCAGCAACAGCTCTGTATCTTTGATCTGGGCTCGTAGCTGTTCGTTTTTCCGCTCGACTACTTCTCTCTCTTGCTTTGCAGCCGCTACCATCTAGATAGACGTCAGCATTGACCAGAAACTAATAGTTGAATATTCAAAAAGACCTACCTTGTTAGCTTCTTCGAACAAGGCAGCAGTGAGCGTCTCGAGTTCGGTCTCGATGCCCTTCTTCTCCTTCTCGACGGTGCTGCGACGCTTTCGCTCCTCCTTGAGCTCCTGACGAGCCACTGCGAGGCTGTCATCGAGTAAGGTCTGGTGGTTGATGGCCTGGATAAGCTTGTCACTGAGATTGGCGACCTCGTTGCTGAGGTCCGGGTGGTGTGAGGCGGTCGACGCCGACCTGGTGCGAGACAGGTCTGAGGTGCTAGCTACTCGAGGATCTCGCAGGGTCGACAATGAGTTTTCTGGCTTCTCTCGGTCTCGGTCTCTCTCTCTGTCTCTGTCCTTGGGTCGACGGACAGAAGACGGGCCCTGGGCAACAGCGGCAGCCATCTCGGTGAGGGCATTTGAAGATTTTGCGCGCGAGACGAGCTTCTTCGAGGACCGGTCCGGGTGCAGCCCGTAAGCAATGAATCTGTTGTTTTGTTGGTTGTCAGTCAATGGATGCCGGAAAAACCATGCAGAATCAGAATCAGGGTAAAAAAGTCCGTGAGAAGATAAGAGAGCGAATGAGACGGTTGAGAGGCTGGAAGGACGAACTCTGCCATGGCGGTTGGGCTGCTTGCCAGCCTGCGGACTGGCGGCTCGTATCGTGGGCGAGCAGGGGCTGTCGGGTGGGCGCTAGTGGTGAGCAGGATCGAGATGGCCTGCTAGACACGCAACATGGCGGCAAGGCGGCGCCAGCAGCCCGGTATCCAGTCTGTTCAATCTCGCGGCCGCAGAGTAAACGGTGCTAGGGCTGCCCGTCGGATGGCAGGACAAGCGCGAGAGCAGCTGGTAAACAACAGCAGCAGCTAGAGCTCGAGCTGCTGAGCCACGGCGGAGAAGTTGACGTATGGTCGAAGGCTGGGGAGATCCACCACGCCGGCGGGCCAGGGAGTCCGCCGTCTCAGGTCGTCGGAAACAAGTGTCTGCCCTCGTCTATAGCAGCGTAACTCAATGTCTGTTTATCTCTCGGCCTTCTGCTGGCTGGCTCGCGGCTCGACTTGGGTTGCTGGCGGGAAGAACCTGAAGTTGGAGAAGTTTGGAGTTGAAGTCGAAGAAGAAAAGAAGAAGACGGTTTTTGACAGGTCACGTGAGGCAAGAGGCGAGATGAGTTAACTATTAGATATAAGATGTAATTATAGATGATTAATGTCATCAGATGAGAGCTATAAGTATAAGATATCATAGAGATGTTATGGTGTCATGGATGTTGTAGAGATGTGAAGTGGTGATGGTTGACAGGAGGAGGAGACAGAGACAGAGACAGAGACATGAGGATATATAGAGAGGGAGAGAGATTGGTACTTCTGCATCTACAGCAGTATACTTTTGAATACTTACTTCTACTATCTCTTCTTTGTCTCTTTGTCTCAGGCTGATCATCTTCCTGTCATTGATTATTGCTTATGCTTATCCTTGTAGTTGGTGGCCTGCTGTCTCTTATCAGCCATCTAGTTGGCATTTCTCATGCATAGATGCTTTATTAGACAAGAGAGATAGCCTATGAGAAGCTTCTTCTGTCTGTATCTGCCTGTTGTGCCTGTCTGTAGATACTCAGTGTTGGTGGTAGATTTGATAGACTTGAAACACCTGCATTTAAGCTTCTGCAGCAAAAGATATCAAATATTCCACTACAGCAGACAGACAGCTTGATAACCTCGATAACCCAGGCAAGAAGTCCTCAATAATAAGACCCAAGACCCTCTATTTAATACCTACTTCTACTCAACTTCTAAAGACCAACTATACTCGCTGGTTAAATTTGATATCGACCTCTCGCTGCTCCCCCGCCATCCCACCAAAGCCACGCCCACAACACAGCCATGGCAGACGCAGAGCTCGAAGAGGTCAGTTTTCTTGCTGTTGCCTGTCTATCAGTTACTAACTAGCTGTACCAGATCAGAAAAGCCCGCCTGGCCCAGCTCCAGCAGCAGGGCGGTCCCTCCGGTGACGACGATCAGCGGTAGTCCCCCTACGCATACGCGCGCACATATTACGATATTGTATTATACAGAGTCTAACTTCAGTAGAAACAAAGAGTCTGAAGCCCGCCAGTCCATCCTCAGCCAGATCCTCACCCCCGAAGCCGCAGACAGGCTGGGCCGCATCAGGCTCGTCAAGGAGTCCCGCGCCACAGACATAGAGAACAGGCTCATCATGCTCGCCAGGTCGGGCCAGTTACGCCAGAAAGTAACAGAAGACCAGCTCAAGGACCTCCTCAACGCCGTGGCCGAGAACGAAGAGAAGAAGAAGATAGTCATCAACCGGCGTGGAGGCTGGGACGACGACGACGACGACCTCCTGGACCTATAATATACAAACACTCATTTCATTTCCTACTCTCTTTCTTTAAGCCAGTTCATTCTATTGTACAGCCTGTTTCTTCTTCTCTTTATCCCGCTTTCTCTGCTGCCGTCTTATCTCTCTCAGATCAGGCGGCACCTCTATGCCCAACTCAGCCCGTATCTCACCCACATCCCGCTCCAGCATCTCCTCCCAATAAACGCATATAAGCTCTTTACTCTTTGCTCCGCTCCTCACAGCCCACGGCAGATGAATATCCCAGAACCTCTCCCTCTCGGCTCCCTTCAACCGCACCACAGCAGCAGCAGCCAGGCCCGTCATCGGAAGACCCGTGTTCATAAACTCGAATATCTTCAGCGCCAGCTCTCCCTCAACCACGATAGGAAGGCCGGTCACAGCATGGTAGAAATCATGGCACTCGCGGTATCGCTGCATCACATATGCGCATTCTTCATTGTCAATGTACCGCACGCTGCTGCGGGTGTCGGGGGTGACGCCCTCGCGGTCCAGCCAGGATGCGTACGTGTAGCCCAGGCTGTTGGGCGGGAGGGAGCGTAGATAGGGTAGTGAGAGGGTCTGTGAGGTTATGCGTGGTCGGTCCCGGAGGATGCGCCGGCCGGTTGCGTCGGAGAGCATGGCATCTCGCAGCCGGTAGATGAAGTATGGTGTTGCTGTTGTTTCGCCTAGCGTGGCTATTAAATCTATTCCCTTGTTAGTATCCACCTTCTTTATATTGTAGTATACCAGTGGAAATTCAAGTATCTACCGTGTCGTCGAGGGTTGAGTAGTGAGCCGATGGCTGACCCGATGGCCATCGAGCACCGTTCAACGGTCGTCAGGGGAACATGGCCGGGGTAGTTGGGTGCTGGCCGGTTCAGCACTGAGAATTGCCGGCTGCCTCGAGCCAACTGACGGGGTATCCTCAGTGTCCTTATTAGTGGTGGCATTTTATCTGTTATAATATTTGATCTGCTTCATCGAAGCTTTTGATAGTTTAAAGTCGACGGAGCTATCATGCCACTGCTGACTAAGCAGATAGTTAGGTAGTGAGAGGCATTGATGGATCTAGAGGCATCGAGAGAAGAGGGTTGGATATTAGAGATATCAGCGTATTAAATATAACTGCTTGATAGATATGGTTACAGCTTCGACAGGTCAAATGGAACCTCTTCGTTTCTCTGCCTCCCTGCAATCCTCGACTTGGCCTGCACAAGCTGCACAACCATGTAGTTCAACGCACACCGCACCCCTACTTCCTCTCCCCTGCGCACAATATACCCGTTCATATACTCGATCTCGCTCTCCTTCCCCATCCTCGCATCCTGCAGCATAGAACTAGTGTTCTCGCCCGTCTTACCCGCAACACCCACCGCAATTGTTCGTAGTCTTTCAGGTGAGAAGCGTGATTGTAGGCCTGGAACCCCCTGCAGCTCCGGCAGTGCGCATATCACGGCGCTTATTTCGATGAGCAGTAGTCGTTGGACACGCGTCAGGTTGTAATGGTATAGTAGTTCGCCGTTCTTGCAGTCCATGAGCAAGGTAAGCGGGTTGATGACGCAGTTTACTGCCAGTTTTTCCAGCTGCAATAAGAACAGGTCTATTGCATTGGTGGATATGCATGCCAGCTCGGGGGTTTGCGTAAGTGTCTTCAGCAGGAAATTCGTCGACGGTGCGAGGGTAGTTGAACTGCCATCAGCAGTATGCTCCATATCATCTCTTGGGGACTGCCGTACAACGCCTATAGTAGTAGTCCCCACCCCTGCATGCGTAGTTTCAAACAGTCCCGACTTAAAGAGCCCATGACTCGTGACGCCAAACAGATAATTCGGCCGTTCGCTCTCATCAGGCCATATTTTCTCATTCACTTCCTCCAGCACCCCCAGCCCATTCGTAAGGAACAGCACAGACGACTCTGGTGTCAGTCGGTGCCGAACAGACTTCATCGCTCGCTCAACCTGCGTCGTCTTCACGGTAACAATCAAATGTTCAATCCACTCCTCGTCCGCGGGGATAAGACTGCCGTCGCTATCAGCTTCCTCCCCCTGGCGTAGAGCGAATTCTTCCTTAACCAGATCATCTGGTGCTCCCTCGATTTCGGACGGGTAGTACCATTCGTGGTCCTGCAGGACGTTGATGCAGAAGCCTGATCGTTGCTCGGGTATCCCGTGGCGCTTCACAGCAACGACCCGCCCAAATCGGTTCCAGTCCTTGTAGAAAGCTGGGTGGTGGAAGAGAAGGGTTATGCAGGCCCGTTCAGATACGGGGCGGGCGGCGAGTGAGTGTGCTACGAATGAACCTACGTTGCCCACGCCCATGATGTGTATTTTCTTGTGCATGTTGTGTTTATTGTTGCTTGAGCTGTGTTGAAGTGTTCGTCCGGTAGAGAAGAAGTGTATTGAGCCCGCCTTCGATTTCCACGTGTGGGTGTGGGTATATATGCGTGGATTTACTTCGTTAATAGATGAGAAGCTCCTGAGCTTCGCCCATAGCCTCTTGGAGGTGTTCATCTCAAGCCCTTCCTACCAAGTATGTTGTTTCCGGAGGTTTTGTGGATGTACAAAAAGAATTTCATAAATCAATGGTATATTCTAAACAGTACAACCAGTGAGATTCAGCTCAACTGCAGGTCAACTTCGATTGATTCAACAATGTTCGAGCTCGTAGAGGAAAAAGTTGAAGTCGCGAATTTGATATCACGTGAATCAACTTTGGAGATAAGGTTTACTAGCAACCAAATATTACGTAATTATAAATATCATTTTGAAGAAAAGAAATAAAAAAGAAAAGACAAGAAGTTGATGATTTTATGCAACCAAAAGACTATCACAGCAGACCATGGCTACGGAGGCTTCAGATTTGACGCCGCTGTTGGAGCAGCTGGAAGATAGCATTGATGATATAGAAGAAGTCCTGGAGCCGCTGCTGGAGCGGGGACTCACTACGACGGCGCAGAAGCTGCCTCTGCTGGACAAGGCAAAGCTCCATGTTCTGCTCTCATACTCCATTGAATCCCTAATATTCTGTATGCAGCTGCGCCCTTTTGATATATGCCCTTGATTATCAGCTAACTTCCTTCTTCCAGCATACCTAAGATTGAATGACGTAGATGCAAAAGAACACCCGGTATTCAGGGAACTGAACCGCGTGAGACAGTAGAAGGGTACAACAAAGTTGCATGCCTTGTTAATAGTGTGGCGATATGTAGTAAGAAGATGCTGCAGGGAGATTCATAAAGCACGGTCTTGTAAGTCCACTTTTTCACGGTTGTATCTGTGCCACCACCTCTAACGGATACAGGCTGGAAACGACAAGTATGACCTCGAGCGCGCCGAGAGAGAAGCAAAGGAGAAAGCGTTGGCCCAGCTAAGGGCTGCGCAGCTAGCTAAAATGAAGGCGAAGGTAGCTGCTACAGTACCGCAGAAACGCTCCGCTGAAGAATCCGAAATGTCTGGACGTGATAGTACAGCAGTGTCGACACCGGAACCAAAGAAGAGTAGAATAACAGACCCGGGGGATGATGATGAAGAGGACGAAGAAGAGGAGGAAGGGCAAGAAGATGGCGAAATTGAAGAAGAAGAAAGTGCCGAAGATGATAAGCAAGTTGGTGAGGTCAAGGAAGAGGCGTTTATCAAGCTGCCTGCCGTCGAGACCTCGAAAAAGAACAAGAAAAAGCTGAGCAAAGCCGAGAAAAAGGCCATGCACGGGAAGAATGGAAATAACGCTGCGAAGAAGAGGCATAAGCGGAAGAACAAGAAGGTCAAGAAAGCTGACGCTGCTCGGCCCCAAAATAACGGTTGAGAGGTGGATGTGTCTATGCTTATGCATACACTTTACCAGGCATCTCGATGAGCCATACATATACTGTTATATCTACAGTATATTTGACGCTCCAGCCGATGTCCAACGCAGCATTGGGTCTTGATATTATTATGAGCTACAACCCATCGTCCATAGTAGAGACGAGTCCCGGCCAAGCTCTCAACTAGATATCAACATATCTCCCACCATACCTGTATCACTACGACTCCTATAAGTACTCTATAGACCACTATTCTTATTCCTAACTCTTTTACTTCTACTTCTACTCTCTTCTATCTACTTCTTTTCTTCCTCATGCGAGATCGACTGGCAATCGCGCTCTGCAGCTCTCGACCAATCGGAGTTAAGCCTTTTAATTTCGTACACGGCCCGACTTATCTCCGTCTCCAACGTCGCTCCCCGTATTTTTCTTCATCTTCAGTCAACAACGCCGACTCTACCAGCCCAGATATCCCACGATACCAACCTCTTTGAAGCACCGTATCAATCCCCCATACACACATCTACAATGGCCCGTCAACGCCGTTCCGCTGCCCCCGCTCGCAGCGCCCCTCCCAGACCTACCGCTGCCCCAGCTAGACCAGCTGCTCCTCAGATGCAGCAGCAGAGACCATCTTCTACCGCCGCTGCTCCCGTTCAGACCCAGCAAGCTCCCGCTCAGTCTAGCGGTGGATCCAGCTTGTTCGGCCAGATGGCTGCCACCGCCGGGTAAGTCGCATTTCCGAGCCGAGCGAAGAGATATACGTATCAAATCAGGCAGACAGGCACCGACATTCAGCATGTGAGACTAACCGGGTTATTCTATGTATAGTGGTGTTGCTGTCGGTTCCTCCATCGGCCATGCTGTCGGCAGCTTCTTCACCGGTGGCTCTTCCAGCGCTGCCCCAGCCGAGACCCAGCAGGCTGCTGCCGCTCAACCCATGGACAACTCATTGTACCAGGCCAACTCCACCAGCGGATGGGCTGAGGATGCTCCCTGTGCCGCCGATGCTCGAAGCTTCAGGAAGTGCATGGATGACAACCGTGGTGACCTCACCATCTGTGGATGGTACATGGACCAGCTGGTACGTTCGAACAACCTAGGCGTATATATCTTTTTGGGAAAATATGACTAACTTCTCTATAGAAAGCCTGCCAGCAGGCTGCTAAGCCTTACTAGGACGATACGAGGATGTAATTCCGTCTTCTTACTTACGTCCTGTTTACGTCCTGTCTTCCAGCTCTAGACTAGAACGATCTCATGTCTTTGTAATAATATAGAATGTAAACATGCATCAGCGTGGCCTATGACAATCCTCATCCATTGGTTTTTGTTATAGAATCCATAGCGAAATACATTTGTTAATAAGGAATATTTCTTGCTGGAAGTGTGCAAGTGGTAATTAAATAGTAGAGTCAGAAAAGTGAAATGAAAATACAAGCATGCAATATGCAAAATGCAAGATAGAAAGTCATTAATTATCGTCGTCCTTTTTTCGAGGCTCAAAGTTCAACTATCAAAGGTTAGCATTGGACGAACGTTTTCATTTGACAATGTAGACCTACCTGATTGCCGTTATAAAACTGGTGGTCATTTTTGCCCGAGTTGGCATCATGCAGAGTTCGAACCCGGTTGCGTGTAGACATTCTGGGAGATGTCTCTTCTGTGGCTTCAGTCTGCGTTGACGCACCGCGCCCAAAAGCAGCTGGGTTCTGTCCAATTCCCAAGGCAGACCCTACCGCGCCAGCTACAGCGTTAACCGTGCCAGCAACAAGGTTGTATCCCCCGGAGAAAACTCGATATGGCAGTGAGGCACCCGAGTCTGAATATGCATATGTATATGTCCTTATCGGCACCATGACCAGTGTTGCCGTGGGACCAACACCCAGCTCCTGGAGAGACTGGTGCTCTTCTGAAAGTGAGATGGCCTTATTCTCAAGTGGCGTGAGTATATGCTTCAGGGTATACGGTGCATCACCATCAGAGCGTTCCCTATCCAGCCATGACCGGACAGCGGTACCTATAGTCTGATTGGGAAAGAAGGTGTTTCTGATCGAGCTTCCGTCGAACAGACGGACCTGAAGACGGTACTTTTGTGCGGCAGGGGTTGGTGTGCATGAAGCTTCATGCTTTTCAGCAGCAGCCGCCCTCTGTCTCTCCGCTTTCGCCTTTCGTACTTCGTTGTCCCGTCTTATTCGTTCGAGAACACGCTCTCGCTCTTCTCTTTCCTGTTGGTGTCTTCTCTTCTGTTTGCCCTTCCACTCTGCTTGTTCTTTCTTCTCATTGTCTGGCTCCGCCGGCCGTTTTCCCTCTCGGACACTGTCCCGTCTCTGTTGGTCGTTAGCCCGAGTATCACTGGGCGGATCGACGACGTTGCTTGGTGGTGCCGGCGTGGCTGGAGGGGGAGACGGAGCTGGAGGCGTAGCAACGGGAGTTCCAGAAGCCGCGGGGGTAGCAGGAACAGTGGTTGGAGACACTGAGGAGCTGCCTGTTTGGCTAGCCGTTCTTTGTGCCTGAGCCTGAGCCTGAGCTTGCGCCTGCGCCATAGCCTCCCGCATCCTCCTCGGCGGCTTATTGTCTTCCAGAGCAGCTATCAACCTCCGCTTGAACATAGGCTCTTCCGTCCTTGCTGCAATGTACTCTCGAACGATGCCATTTCTGCGGAGGACCTTCCGTCAGCGCCACAAAAAAGTAACTCAACTTCACAGACTGCTTCACTCACTTGATCACGATGAGCGTAGGCGACTCATTCACTGGACAGAAGGTCGAGAGGAACTCTGCCTCCTGCGAGTCCTCGATCAGCCGCAGCGCCACCGCATTTGTCCTTATCAACCGAACGATCTAGTAGCCCAGATTAGCCCGCCTGTACGCCCAACTGGCACCAATGAACCATGGGACGCACCCTCTCGTCCCTGAGATAGTTGTTCTCCCACAGGTTGCTGAGCTGGCCGTCGTCTGAATCACCGTCAGCAGTCAATCCGTGGCGTCAGCAAGAGGCCAGTGGAGATGAAGATCTAGATAGCTAGCCGGCGCTGCCTGGAATACGGACCTGTGATGAAGCAAACAACCTGCTTGACGTCCCGAATCGCCTCGTTGATCCCGCTCTGCAAGTCTCCTCGGTAGAACATGGCGATGTCTCAATGCGTATCTCGTCGACAAGCTGGCTGACGCTCTGTCTCTGCGCTTTTCCGGCCGTCTTTCGTCGTATAAATAACTTATATCGCCTTTTTTTTCCGTCTCGCCGTCTTCTTTTCTTCTTCCGGCCGTCGTTGCGATTAAATACGAGAAAAAGGCGAGAGAGTTGGATGGTGGTGCACGGGCCAATCAGAGAGAAAAAGCATCAAGAAAGATAAAAAAAAAAGTACATCGAAATCCGAAGAATCCGACGAAGTTCTTGGTTTCTTTTCGTCTGCAGCGATCGAGACGAGACAAGGAGCCGGGAAGGCTGGACGATATCGAAATTCGATTATTGGACTCGGAGAGGCTGGAGGTTGGAAGCTTTCGCCGCCGGATGTCATAACCTACCGACTAGCCAGCAACAACAACAACAACACCCGCGAGCGAGTGAGCTTCTTCAAGGAAGACATGGCAGCACCATTCACTCTACTACGGCGGTTTGCGCCCTCGTCGCTGGGAATCAGGACGGTGTTTCGGTCTGCGGGTGCTGGCAGAGGTACTGGTCGGATACAAGGCCTGCAGTGCGGGAGGACTCAGGTTCGACGAGCTCACACGCCGGCGGAAGACCCCAATTGGACATCGATCGTGGACAACCCTGCAAAGCTGGTTCGGACAGGAGGGAAGCATGGCTACGGGTTGATCATACTAGGTACGGAGCATATCTGAGACTGCGTGCTTTTCTTTTCTTTTTTACTCTTTATGGTTATATGGCTGTGGTGTTGTTGTGGTGGTGCTTGTATAGCTAACATGTACAATCTAGCTATCATTCCGGTCACAGCATTCGCCCTGGGGACATGGCAGGTCCAGCGCCTCGAGTGGAAATCAAACCTGATAGCGAAGTTCGAAGACCGTCTCATCAAGCCGCCGCTGCCTCTTCCTCCGGTCGTCGACCCTGATTCCGTCGAAGACTTTGAATATCGACGGGTATATGCAAAAGGCCGTTTACGACACGACAAAGAGATGTTGATTGGGCCCCGCATGCATGAAGGAAAGGATGGCTATCTCGTCGTGACGCCACTGGAAAGAGGGGATGGTGAAAGCACAATCCTTGTCAATCGCGGTTGGATTGCAAAGTCGCTGGAAAGGCAGTCGGAGCGGAGGGAAGGGCTGCCGCAGGAAGAGGTCGTGGTCGAGGGGCTGCTGCGGTCACCATGGAAGAAGAACATGTTTACGCCCGATAACAAGCCAGAGGAGGGCAAGTTCTACTTCCCGGACGTCAAGCAGATGGCTGAGCTGACCGGCAGCCAGCCGGTCTGGATAGAAGAAACGATGGGTGAGTCTGCCTCGTAACCTGTAACCCCCATATCCCGCCCTTTCGCAATCCTGGCTGCAAGACTTTGTCCGTGTGACTGTTCTGGCTGACAAGTCAACAGTGCAGGACATCTTGTCCATGTACACAAGAGAGGACAAGGGTATACCAATTGGTCGTGCAGCGGAAGTCAACCTCCGCAACAACCATGCTCAGTACATCTTCACCTGGTACGTTAGATTGGAAGCACCCCGGACACATGCATGGGAGTTTTGAGCTAACGCAGTAGATCTAGGTACGGGCTCTCCCTGGCCACCGCCATCATGCTGTGGATGGTTGTCAAGAAACGGCCGAATGAAGCAGTTCGACGGGTCCGTCAGAACAAGAGCTGGTAATCCCAGCTACCAACCTCATCCGGACACGGCAGCTTGCCACACAACTCAATCAACCCTTGGGCAAGCGTATGTCCTGCAGAAGCTCTTTGGGCAGATGCTTTTGCGCGAGAGCAAACACCGAAGCATTCCTACCCACATGTCGTTGTCTTTCATTTCCAGGTGTTAGTTCCGGGTTCGTGCATAATTCGAATGACACAAGCTTACCTTCTCATGAGAGCGATGACATCTGTCTCGTCAATTGTTTTACGCCCGGAGTGTTCGGAGTACGTCGACAAATCCCCGCTTGCTTGCTCAAAGAACCAGTCTGTGGCCTGCTGGATGGCAGCCATGGTGTCCTTGGTGATTCTCGTTTTCTTGTTCCCGGACCTAGCAAATCGCATTGCCAGCTTCTTTACCACTCCTGCAGGCAGGCTTGGGACCGGGATACCATGTTTAGAGACCTTTTGTTTCTTCCGTGGTGGTTCAGGCTGGTCTTCCTGTTCCATTTCCACCTCTTCCGCTTCTTGTTCTACGGGTTCTGGTGTCCCTCTGTTAGGTGACACGTCATCCATGGCTGGCTCAAAACCGCCCGTCCCGAAATCGCTTCCTGACGGCGGACTATCTGGACCCCCGAATTCTGGCGGCACAGTTTCTAATTCGAATGTGTCCTGTTCATTTTCATTCTCAATTGACACAGTATGAGGCGCTTCTGGAGTTGGGAAAGCAAAATCGAAATTAAAACGACCCAGATCCTCAGTTTCTCCCCTACAAATGTAACATTAGAACCTGCAGAGGCTGTATGATTAGAATATAATGCAAACTCTTACCCAGCATCTAGCATTGGTTGTCCAGTCGTATTATCAAGATCCTCGTCGAAGTCGTCTTCTTGCCCAACACGAAAGTCCAAACCATCTTCAGGGTCTTCAATGTTTGTTGTGTCTCCGTAATGGTCGCTGAACCGGTTACTGGCGAAGCTTACTCTCGACAACCTAGCCAGATCGCGGCCTGACCGCTCTCTCCTAGGCAACTCGATTGATCCCCTAGTAGCATCCTCGTCGTCAGGAAGAACTGATAGCCTAGGCGGAGGCATCGGTGGGCTGTTATCATCCTGATCCACGGCCATTTCGTTGAGAGGTAACGAAAGCCGAGGGGGTGGGATAGGAGGCTCCTTGTCTAGCTCTGCGATTTCGTCCATCGGTGGCTCTGGCTGCGGCTCCGGCTCAGTCGGCGGAGAAGAAGATACCGTCTTGGATACTGGTGCGAGAACTGCATCGTAGGTGTCAGCATCAAACGTATTCATTCTAGCACAGGCAGCAATAACCGACCTTTTCCCAAGTTCTTTAATATATCCATCGGCGTCTCCCGCTTGAAGCGCTGGCTCTTCCGCCTATCTCGGCCAGGAGTATATGTAGCTGCGCGCCTCTGTAGTGCCCGGATTGCATGGGGAGTTACTGGAATGCGTTCACCTCCCCTAGCTCTGGACGGTGTTATCCCTGATTTCTGTCGGCCAGTCCGGGGCGCCGACGGTAAATTCGAGTTAAAAGAGGTAGTATTCTGCTGGGCTGGAGTCGAAGGAGCTCCAACCAATCTTGATAATTTGAATAGCTATGCCAGAATGTCAGGTCGAAGCTGTAATATCCACAGTTGAAGGGGGCATCATACTGCATTGTGAGGTGTTTTGGCAGGACTGGAGCTTGGTCCCGCCGAGTTTAGCGGAGTTTCCCCATTGCCACGGCCGTTAGATGTCGGCATATTGGCCAGACTTATCGTCCTGGATGCTCCCGAGCTCCAGCAGCAAACAGATTCCAGGATAGACTAAAAGTCGAGATGCTGTTGGCCTTTGTTTCTTCGGCCGTTTTTGATTCTTCGAAAGTCGCGACGCGGAAAGTTGCGATAACAAGATGACTAAGCATGATAAGAGCCGCAACTTTTTTTTTCTTATCGCAAAGGAAATTTCGATGGACGAAGAAATGAAAGACGAAAACGCAGGATACCACGATTGACGGGTGACGCAGAGAGATATTTTACAATGGCGGCATCAGTAACTTTACAGGATATGCCCGCGGGGTCAAATAAGCGAAAACGTGTCGAGGAGGAAGATGGCGCAGAAAACACATCCGGAGCAGTTCCGGTACAACAACCCAGCAAGAAGAAAAAGAAGAAGCGGTCGAAGGGTGCGAAAGGTGGGGATGAATACGATGCGAATAAGGTCATGGGCAAAGACGGAGGTATTGACGAATCCATTGGGAAGATGGACGGGAAGCTGCTGGGAGATTACTTTGTCCAACGAATCAAGAGGCATAACAAGAACTTGACAGCTGTGGAATTAGACGATTTCTACATCCCAGGTAGGTTGAAGTTTTGTAGTATCAGATTATTTTGATGTACTATATCTAACTTTCCTATAGAACATGCATTTCTCGACACCTCATCCTGGGAATCCTCTCGGGAACTCGATAATATGCCATCCTTCTTAAAAGCGTTCAGCCCAGGGAAAGGCGAATCGCTTTCCAAGGCCTCTGAAGTCAAAGGATCCCCACATACCCTGGTCGTCACTCTAGCCGGTCTCAGAGCAGCAGAGATAACGAGGTAGGATTATCAAAATCGCTCGATCAGGGGATATGATGCTAACCTCCTTCAAGAGCATTACGGCAATTCCAAAACCAAGACTGTGCAGTTGCCAAGCTCTTTGCCAAACACATAAAGCTAAAGGAAGCTCAGGAAACAGTGGAAAAGACAAGGTATGTCACTTTGGCCAACCCGCTATCAGATCATGTACTTGCTAACTCCGAATAGAATAGGCATAGGTATTGGAACACCGGTCAGGTTAAACGATCTTGTTAACTCAGGTAAGATCAATAGTTATATTCTTTTGAGAATATACGATTAACAGACGGTTGTAGGGTCACTAAAGCTTGATTCGTTGAAGCGTATCGTTGTTGATGGGTCTTATGTTGACCAAAAGAAACGTGGCATATTTGATATGAAGGAACTTCATTTTCCTCTTATGGAGTTTCTCAATCGGGCTGAACTAAGGGAGCGATATCAGTCTAAGAAAAGCGATAAAGTGCAAATTATTGTATATTGATACCCTCAGACTAGCACGTCACTACTATCCAGCATTTCGTTGATACAGGCCCTATGATAGGGAATGCAAACATCCTCCAAAGCGTTTCTAGGAGCCACTGTGCTCGATTACCCTATATTACCCAGAGTCTATAGGTTAGGTCTTACAGGTATACGGAGGCTTAAACAATATGTATCAGTTAATGCTCCCTCAAAATTCCCCCTCAATGCCATTTTCTTCTTCTATGTAGAAAACCTTTGAATATTCAAGATGACATAATCAAAACTATTACTAATCAAACTAGGTTCTAACCTTAATTCTCCTCACCGCCTTTAATTCCTCGGCCGGCAGAATTTTGGATCCACAAGAAGTTTTTTTAGTTATTTTTTTTTTTAAAGAAAAAGAAGAAGCAAAAGATCCAGTCGTGTTGATGCGATTTATTTTGGACAATCAGTGGGCGTTAAGACGTGTGTTTTCTTTAGATTGCAACATTCAAGGACCGGTGATCTAATTGTTTGGCTGAAACTACTATACCCCCCCGGGAAGACGAGATATCACTGCCACGATCATGGGCGATAAGCGAAAACGCGACGAAGCTGCCGTCGACGAGAACGATGGAGCGGTGGTTGATCTCGGGAAGTCGTCTAAGAAGATAAAGAGCGGCGATAAGGAGAAGGTGAAGAAGGAGAGGAAGACCAAGAAGGACAAGAAGGAGAAGAAGGAGAAGAAGAAGCTAGAGAAGGAATTGAAAAAGAAGGCTAGAGAAGAAGCCAATGGTGCCGCTGGCGAGGGCAAGATGGAGGTGGATGGGGAGCCAAATGGAGTCCAGAAGGCAGAGAAGAGCAAGAAAGTGAAGAGAGAGGAAAAGTACAAGAGAGCGAAACAGGAGAGGATGGAGAAGAGAGCGAAGCTCGCGGAAGAGGAAAAGGCTGAACAGGATGAGGAGAAGAAGGAGAAAAAAGAGAAGAAGAAAGAGAAGACGGAAAAGAAGCTGAAGCCCGAAGAGAAGGAAGAGGAGCAGGAAGAAAATGGTGTCAATGGCGCAAAGGCAGAAGAGGAACAATCTGCACCAGCTGCACCAGCTGATACAGAGACACCCGCCGAGAACGGCACCGAAGAGGCTGCTGAAGGTGCTGTGGGGGATGCTGAGATGGAAGAAGCACGGAAGAGCCAGAGATTCATAGTCTTTATAAGTATGTTTATTTTTACTCATTGTCTTGGGCTACCATTGCTAACGTCTGCAGGCAATTTACCGTACACCGCTACGCAAGAGTCCGTCACAAAACACTTTGAAAAGCTCCAACCAACCTCCGTCCGTGTGCCGCTGGAGCGAGGCGGGAAGAAAGGCCGTGGATTCGCCTTTGTTGAATTCGCTGGCTTCGACCGCATGAAGACCTGTCTAAAGCAGTACCACGGCACCATGTTTGAAGACGGTGATAAACCGGCCCGCAAGATCAAGGTGGAACTAACGTGAGTCTACCTACCCCTTTTGACCCGCAAGCTTACCTTTGTCAGATAAGTAGTTCTAACGTACCCCATACAGTGCCGGAGGAGGCGGCTCGAAGTCTGAAGCGAGGAAGATGAAGATCTTGGAGAAGAACCAGAAACTCAAGGAGGAGCGAGCCCGAGATGCGCAGGAGGCCAAACGGGCCAAGACGGCGTCTGCTACGACCAATGGAGCCGGCACATCGGCGGCTGATGATCAGTCGCATATCCATCCTAGCCGAAGGGCGAGGGTGCCCGTATAACTTCTAGAAGCTTACTTTTTCACCACAAAAGTGTTGATTTGTTTTGGATTGGGATTGGCGTTTGGCTGGTGTCGTGTTCTTTGTATTATATTGATAGAATGCTGGCTTTGGAAAAAGAGAACAGCTGCAATTCTCCAGTTGATGTCAATCATAATAGAGCGTCTAGCATCATCTATGGATTATGAACGCTGCGACTTGCAAGTTTTCAACATTGTACCTGCATACGAGGCGAGATACCTATGTGTGACAGCCAGATAGGGACCAAACTGAGAGTCACGGCACAGCCACTTCCCATCCAACCCCGTCGAGTCGTTAAAAAAAGAAAAAGGAAAAAGGACGCGGAGAAGAAGCAAAGAGGGCACGGAAAAGGTAAAACAGGTAAGAAATTAATTATGTAGGAGCACTAAGGAACAGGCTGAAGCTTTGGTGGTGAAGAAAAAGCCAAGGAAAGGGTATTAAAAGATCCGATCCAGGGGTAAGAAAGGGGGAGGGGGATAAGATAGAATTGAAACCAGGCACAATTAACATGACAGAGAAGACTAAAAAGCCGGGAGAGTAGTTTGAACAGGGATGCAGAGCTCGGGACGCAGATGTATGGAGTCAGGGTGTAACAGATATTCTCCACAGGCGAGTTTGAAAGGGAAGGGGGGGTGTCATCATAAGTAAACAAACGAGGGGGAAAGACAGAGAGGGAGATTTGGTTTCGTGATATCTGGAATGGTTGTATTTACTTCGTCAAGTGTGAAGAACAAGGAGAAGAAGAGAAGATGGATGAAGAGATAACCTTGCAGTACGAGCAGTTGCTCCGTCCCAAATGCAGGAAGGTGGTGGAAAAATGAGAAACGCTCGTCATTAAAATCGGTAAAGGCGGAAACAAACAGGTAGAAAGAACAGGATTTGGAAGGTTATTGCAGGTTTCGCATCTGGAGGGATGGGTTCGGGGTGTGGTGGTAGTCGTAGCCGTCGGGCCTGCGGCTGTGGCTGGGGGATGAAAGCGGTAAATTTGGGGTAGGGAATGGTCGAGGGGGGGGAGATCTATGTATCTTCTGCACTTCAAGGTCGATGATCGCTGGAACGTATCTGCATTTAGAGAACACATCTAGAGTATCTGGCACTTTCTCTTTGGTTTCTGAGTTGGACGAGGGTTCAATACGGCTCTATCGAACGTGTTAGTATGCAGTTATAGTTGTGTATGTACCGTGACTGGGGATAGCCCTACCGGATGGCCTCGTCAAAGACGCTCTTGAGGTTGCGCTGGGTGAGAGCAGAGCACTCGAGGTACTTCTGGGCCTTGATCTCCTTTGCGACTGCGAGGGCCTGCTCGTAGGAGACTGGCTCCATCTTCTTGGACCGGAGAGCGTCTGCGGTGGCCTTGTCCTCTCTGAGGTCGAGCTTGGTGCCAACCAGGATAATGGGTACGTTTGGCGCGTGATGTTCGATCTCGGGATACCACTATAGACATAGACACTATTTAACAAGCTGTTTTCCTCTCTGCATTGACCACGCGTCGAAGAGGTCGTACCTTTGCCTTGACGTTGTCAAACGAGGGGGGGCTGACGATGGAGAAACATATCAGGAACACGTCGGTCTGCGGGTAGGAGAGCGGACGTAGTCTGTCGTAGTCCTCTTGACCTGCAGTGTCCCAGAGCCCAAGACTGATGGGCTTCCCGTCTACCATGACGCTGGCCGAGTAGTTGTCGAACCTGTAGCAGCAGAAATAGCAGTGTGAGCAAGGGGTATGCAAGCTGGCGGCGCTGGTACGCGGTGGTCTCGGGGCCTCTTGACAACATACACAGTGGGGATGTATTCTCCAGGGAACGCATTGGTCGTGTAGGAGATGAGCAGGCATGTCTAGAAGATGTTAGCATGAGGACCAGAAGATGTAGATATTGTAGATGTTGTAGATGTTGTAGATATTGTAGATGTTGAGGTGTTGTTGTAGAGAAACGCACCTTGCCCACTGCTCCATCACCAGTAACGACGCACTGCAGGATAGATAGTTAGCAACGCCTTCACACAGCCGTGATATCGCAGAGAGAAACCAACTTTCAGCGACTGAGTAGCTGGACCAGAAGCCATCCTCTGCTGTGCTGGACTGCAGCTGGTGTGAGTCTGTTGTTGATCTGTGGGAGACGCGCTGGGTGACACAGATGCAAGAAGAGCAGCTGTTTAAGAGAGTCAGCCAGGAAGAGGCAGCAGAGAGAGAGACAAAGGCGAGTGAAAGACCTTTTGGCTTGCCTGCAGAGACAAACACGCTGACAGCAGAAAGGCGGCTGCGTAGATGGTCGAGAGAGAGAGAGAGAGTCCAAGGAGGTTCTTCTTCTGTTGCTCGAAGATATCAAAAAACCAGCTTTGGTGGCGCGTTAGCAACGACTAGTCAGTTCACTTTCCAGCGAAAACACCAGCCCACAGGGAGACAGACGGCCGCTCGAGACGCCGTTTATTCGAGCGAGCGTGCGAAAGGGGATATAAAAGCTGCGCTATTCAGCCGTGGGAGAGCTTCCTCGTTGTTGCGGTGACGGGGTTGCGAGGGCTGGATGGATGTCCCGCGGTGGGAGGACGGCAAGGGGGGAGCAGCAGCAGCAGCAGCAGCAGCAGGAGATCCTCAAGACGCAATTGACGGTGGTATTCAAGGCGTGCGGGCTACGTCGATGGACAGGATAGAGCTCTTTCTCCTGGCTCTGCGTCGTCTAGTCGTCTTGTCGTCTTGGTCTATCTCGCTGCTTCGGTCTGACGCAAGGATAGGGGATGCCAGCCTTAAGTTTTTTTATTTTTTTTGAACTAGCTCGGGAGAACGCACTGAAAAAGCGAGCCCTGGACGGTGGGAACAGACAAGAAAAGCCCTCTTAAGGACAGGCCAGGTGCTTACAGGGCGTTGGATCGTGGGATATAGCAGGAGAAAAGGGGGCAGACGGCGTCAAAAACTGCTGGCACGGCGTATCACTCTCCAGATGGACATATACAGGAACGCTGCTCGATGCTCTACGACAGCCCACCTCTACGACTTCGACTACAACTCGACTCGACTTCACTTCGTCTTCTTCTACACCAGACGATTGGAGATCCCACTCGCTTGGCGGCATGTCTCATCTCCATCGCTGCAGCCAATGGCATCGGTGGCTATCCTCGGGCGCATAACCATGAGTGGAGGAGAGTTTTTGCCCTAGTGCACCTCCTGTTCATCCTGACCCCTGGAACCGCCGTCCACTGGATGGATCACCGACTGGGCCAGGTGGTAGCAGGTTAACCAGGCAAGGAGATGGTACACGAGACGGACGGGCGGACGACATCGGACTCGGCGGCTAAAAAGAAGTTCATGCGGCTGACACCGTCATATTCTCTGAGAATTGAACATTGAACAGTTATCTCTCTAGAGAGCCGTTGTTCTCCATGAGAGATTTGGTTTTGAACATGGAACCCCGTCAGCATTTACTCCGTACCGGAGTATCTATATCTTGAACCGCCCAGGGGCGAGGGGCAAGGGGGAACAAGTTCCCGGTGGCACGACTGTAGCAGCCCTATTCATGCAGTGCAAGGGATTACAGGACCAGCACGGCTCGGGAGAAAAGCTTGAGTGTCACAGCAGTGCTATTTATATAAAGGCTGGCTAAAGGAGTATTCGATTATGTGCAACCTGAACTATCAATTATTCTTTCTATAGCTTCGACTTGGATTCGAATCCTCCGATCTGGCTTGCATACTTTATCACTGGTGGGCCGGCGAGCAACGGTCCAACAGCCTTGGACCAGGCCTTGAAGTGCTCGGAGCCGCCGTGGACCTTGACTGCGTCCATATTGACGTACCTACAAGAGTACTTTTCGTCAGCCCCTATCCACTGCAATTTTACGGAGTACACGCATCCACTCACTTCTCGACGACGATGATTTCATGGGACTTTCGATCCAAGAGGCCATAGTAAGTAAGGGCTCCAGGCTCGTTAGCCTTGACCTTCTCAGCTGTCTCGGCGAGGATCCTGGCGACCTGGAGCTGTCAGTCGACTTGAACCAATCTGGTTATCTAGGGCTGAAACTCGTACTTCGTCATGTTTGCCTGGCTTGGGCGTGATGATGGCCACGATGTGCACTGCCGTTGACGCCATGGCTGCTGTGTCTGTGTCTTCGTCAATTGAGTCGAGAATTGGTGGCTGCGGTGGCTACTTATATGACTTGCTCCAGCTATTTGCTAGGATGAAGCTTTTATATATTTAGACGGTCCCCTTCGTCTCCTTGCCATGGTAGCCGCGGGACCTCGGCTGATGTCATCTCGACGTTATATTCGTTATTTCGAGGGGTCGCCCGGATATCTAGATGTTGAAGTGATCGTGTGCTGTCGAGTCAGGGGTTGACAATTGATAGACGCCAGCTTGACATACAGGCTACACAGCAGCAGCTACAATCAACTGCTTTGAAGACATGTATCCCAGGTGCCAATCTCGCCTGCTCTCCAGGCTTCAGGCGTCAGGCTTCAGGCATCACTGCAGCGCTTGACTCGTATCGCCGCGAACCCCTGAACCGCCCTGTCAACCACCAGGACGAAGAAGAAAAGAAGCAGCAAGCTGTCAAACTGCTGTGCCACCTCGGAGCCGTCTTCCAGCCTCAGTAGCCACCGTCTGTCTATCTAGCTATCAGTTTATCTCGTCTATCTCTGCCGCCGTGACGCAGCTGTGTGGCTTGTTCCCCTCGTCTTCCCCCCCTAGTAAACGCCTAAACAACCGCCCAAAGATGCTGGAAAAAGCCGAACCAATCCGAAATTAGACAGACTGCAAATATAAATGTTTTATCTAGCATCGTCGTCGCATGAGACAGAAATAATCGCATCAAAAAAAAAAAAAAAAGGCCCGCAGACTTTGCTGCTGCACCGTTCGTGTTGACTCTTCCCCTATCAGTGGCTAGTATTTGGTGTCAACACTGTGAGACTTGAGATCAAACACACTCCTCTCCCTCTTCCACTTCGCCTCCCCCTGAAAAACGGTCAACTCGAACCACAGCGCAGAGCCGGTTTCAAGACGCGATAGTCGCATTCAGATAGATAGACAGGACGGCCGCTGGTGCTCCGACAGCCAGACAGCGATTCAGCCATGGCAGAGCCCGGGTTGGACGTCGCCACATCGCCGCAGTCAGACAAGGAGACGCCGGTGTCCTCGCAGCCGGAGAAGGAGATTGAGAATCCAGAGCTCGCAGAGAGCCAGGCAAAAGTCGACAGAGTGCTGCAGTCGGACGTGCGTCTCTCTACCTTACCCCGTTCTGCTGGCTGCTGTCTGTTGATCGGGATCCTAACGTCTATAACTAGATCGGAGTCGTGACCCTGCTCACTCGCCTGAAGCAAAGCATCTCCTCTGCCAAAGTACGTACTATCGCATGCACCACGATAAATATAAGAAGTTAACTGGAATAGGACCTTGCTACCTTCCTACGCAAACGCTCCATCCTCGAAGATGAACACGCCCAAGGCCTCAAGAAGCTCGCGCGCGCAATGCACGACTCCGCCATGCGCCAGGACCACCGCCAGGGAAGCTTTGCCCGCAGCTACAATGAAATGAACATGATTCACGATCGCATTTCCGATCATGGAGTCAATTTCTCCCAATCCCTAATGCAAATGGCGGAGGAACTGAACGATCTCGCCGCCAGCATGGAGCGCGGGCGTAAACAGTGGAAGCAGAACGGACTGACCGCTGAGAAGAGAGTGCAGGATGCAGAGCTGTTGGCAGAAAAGGCAAAGTCCAAATACGATGCCCTGGCTGAACAGTATGACCGAGCCAGGACGGGCGAGAGACAAGGCGGCAAGTTTGGTCTCAAGGGACCCAAGTCGGCGGCTCAGCAGGAGGAGGATCTGTTGCGGAAACTCCAGCAGGCGGATTCGGATTATTCGACCAAAGTGCAGGCTGCGCAGACACAGAGACAGGAGCTTCTTGCTACGCTGAGACCACAGGCTACCAGGGCATTGCAGGATTTGATCATGGAGTGCGATTCGGGTTGTACCCTTCAATTGCAGAAGCTCGGTAGGCCACCCTCTGTTTACTTGTTGCTCTCAATTGTGTATTACTTCGTTATGCTAATGATGGTATAGCATCGTTTAGTGAGAAACTGCTGCTCGGAAGTGGTCTGGCTGTCAGTCCCATGAAGACTGGGAGCGCCACTCCAGACAGTCTGAGAGAGGCCGCCAGACGCGTTGACAACGAGCAAGACTTTAGAGACTTCATCATCAGCCAGTCTAGCAAAGTCCCTGACACCAAGCCAGCTCTCAAATATGAGAGACATGCTGTATGTGGTCCATACTTTATCACATTGAGACAGTATACTAACCTGTGCAGACGTTAATGCCCGCCTCAAACCCCAATGCTCATCCAAAGAGGCAGTCCCTCAGTCTAAACGCGAATCCAACTCCTCCGCCTCAGTCTGCATCTCAGGTCTTCAATACAATGTCCCCCATACCCCGAGACTCGTCTGGAGCCCAAGGATCGCCATTATCAATGCAGCAACGGCGAGACTCATGGACCTCCCAGCCTCCGTTCCCGACGTCAACACCGCAGTATAGCAACCCGGCTTCAATGCAGCCTACTTACTCGCAGCAACACTCATACCAGCCCCCTCCTCAACTCGCCCAGCATGCCCAACCACGACCATCTATAAGTGATATCCCGCCCAATGCTCACCCGGAGTTACCACCGCTTAACCCCGTGTTTGGCCTGACTTTGGATGAGCTATTCAAGAGAGACGGCACTGCCATTCCTATGGTTGTGTATCAGTGTATCCAGGCTGTTGAGCTCTTTGGGCTGAATGTAGAGGGTATCTACCGGCTTTCAGGAAATACTAACCACATAGCCCATATGAAGAGCCTCTTCGATAACGGTACGTCCCCCCTTTTTTTTGACGTACAATGAATACAAACTGATTACTCTTCTAGATTCATCACAAGTCGACTTCACCAACCCGGAGAATTTCTACCATGACGTCAATAGCGTTGCTGGACTGCTAAAGCTATTCTTTAGAGACCTGCCCGATCCATTGTTCACTAATGAGCGCTACTCGGCCTTTATCGACGCAGCGCGTATGTGACTACACCTATTTTAGATCAGCGCATATTGCTAACTCGTAGAATAGGCAAGGACGATGATATCCAGCGTCGAGATGCGCTGCATGCATTGATCAACAGTCTTCCTGACCCCAACTATGCAACGCTTCGAGCACTGATACTGGTAAGAATAAGTATCTGAATATCAGGTCTCGGCTGTATACTAACACCTAACAGCATCTTAACCATGTGCAAGAACGAAGCTCCGAGAACAGGATGAATGCCGGCAACATCGCCATCAGCTTTGGGTACGCTTGACATTGCTCTCAAGTTCCTTTTATAATCCATGCTAATCCTTTCCCTCTAGTCTCACTCTCATGGGCACCAACGCAGGCCGCAATATTGCAGACTCAGGCTGGCAAGCTCGGGTAATCGAAACAATACTACAAAACACATTCCAGATCTTCGACGACGATTAAACTGAAAAGCATGCAAATCCACATGGCAATACACGATAAGACGAATATACTCGAATTCTGGATGATGACGAGGGATAAGCTACCCATGCATGAACGAATGGATGAAGAATGGGTTGGATACTGTATGGGCATGTTTCTGGATCTTCTTCCTTATTTCCTCTCGGCTTCATTCAATATGTTCCTGTACATAAGAGGCCTTGTTCTTGTATCTTCTTGGTAGGGTAGATGTGCTGCTATCTAATATCCATCTCTTCACACGTATACGTCTTTAGCATCGGTTAATAGTAATGGCATCTGCATCGTCTCTGCTCACCATAATCGCAGACAACGTGTAGAGTTGAATACGAGAGAACATCAAAAGCAACGACCATGGTCCATAATTACTTTTGCCCCAAGAAGCCGCTAAAGACAGACGATTCTTGCTCTGCCGAGATTGATCATGAGATGCAAAAATCCCTTCGCTTGCTCTCCTCTCGTCTCTGGATGCTATCGTTAAATATCATATATCTGTATTTTTCATTATTTTCATATATTTTCAAGCAGTTAGCGAGCATCGACCAGATACTGCGGCGGGATATCAAAACTAGCCATGGGCCAGCCGTCGTTTCAAGCCTCAAACGCCCTGATCTACCTAACCTACGGCTCATTCCTGTATGCCTTACCCTGGTTCAAGATGCATATCGCAGCTAAATAACATTTCTATCACAGCGTCGTCGGTCTATATATCGCATGGCGTCTGCGGAATCAGACCAAAGGCGAATTCTTGTCCAGCAACGGGACACAAAAGGGTTAGAAAGAGATATAACTTATATCCCGGGCCATAACTACATGCTCTACTATCTTCGTACAAGTCACAGATGCTAATACTTCTTTCACAGCTATACCGCTTGCCTTGAACTTCATTGCTTCGGGTGAGTTGCATGAAGGAAGCAGAGTAATGCGAGGCTTCTACAGTTCTCTCTCATGAGAAGCGGCAGCTATCGAGGCCAGAAGAGTCATCATCCATCGTTGAGCGGATGTTCGACTATGCGGAAGGATTATCAGAATGACCAGCTATGCATAAGTAAAGCCAGGTTCGTATCAGAGAATTCAAGTTCGGTGCGTGTTGTCCTGGAGACGTCAAGTCTTTGGGACGACACGCACTGCGGCAACACTACGGGTGCTGATTGTTGCACTGGACATGCCATCGATGATCCAACGTCGGCCCATTATTCGGGCTGATGAGATCGTTGATTCCAGTGCAGACATGATGCTGAGAATGTACCGTTGAATACTCGATCAAGATAATGCTTGCGTGGGAAACGTGCTGCCGCTTCTTCCCCCTGATATATTATGTTCTTGAACGGAATATGCTAATGAGACACAGCTCTTGGATCGGGGATTCTATTTACATACCCTGAGATTGCTACTATTGCGGGTGTGCAGGGACTGGTTGTGTATGGACTTTCGTCTGCACTGCCTCTCCTGGCATTCGCTTTTGTTGGACCGATTATTCGAAAGAAGTTCCCCGAAGTGTTCGTCTTGACTGAATGGACTCGACAGCGTTATGGCGTGGTTGCTGGCATATATCTCAGCATCTTGACGTGAGTTTTGCTATCATAACTGACGTACGATACATATACTAACGGTAGTACAGGATGATAACGTTGTTCTTATATATGGTTGCTGAGCTGTCTGCTTTGCAGCAAATTGTCACTGCTCTTTCAGGGCTCAATGGGCTCCCTGCAGTCATCGTCCAGGTTGTAGTGACAACCATATATACCTCCCTCGGTGGCTTCCAGGTTTCTTTCTTGACAGACAACGTCCAAGGAGCGATGGTGGTCGGCCTTATCATCATTGCAGTCATCACCGTTGGAGCTAGGACTAATATCGACAAGTCACTCATCGATTCCTCAGGCCTTCTAAAGCCAACTCTTCTAGGATGGCAACTCATTTACATTCTACCGGTAGCCATCCTAACCAATGATTTCTTCTTGTCGAACCTCTGGCTACGAACTTTTGCCTCCAAGACAGATCGCGATCTACGCATTGGAATCTCCATTGCTAGTTTCGTTGTCCTCTGCATCTTGGTTCTTGTTGGGTCTACGGGTCTTCTAGCAGCATGGTCTGGTGTATGGCCTGGAAATCCTCCACAAGCAGGCTCAATTGCGTTCTTCTTATTACTGGAGAAGCTACCAAATTGGGTTGTTGGAATCGTCTTGGTGATGACAGTTGCTCTGAGCACAGCTGCATTCGACAGTCTTCAATCAGCCATGGTTAGCACTGCTAGCAACGATGTCTTCCGTAACAAGCTGCCTCTGATATACGTTCGTATCGGTGTCGTGTTATGCATTGTACCAGTTGTTGTGGTCGCCCTTCGATCACCGAGTGTCTTGCGGATATTCCTGATTTCCGACCTGGTTTCAGCATCTGCTATTCCCGTGCTTGTTCTGGGCCTGTCGAATAGAATGTACTGGTGGACTGCCTTTGAGGTCATCGTTGGTGGTCTAGGTGGTATACTGTCCGTGTTCATCTTCGGTACCATCTACTACGGCAATGCCACTGAGGGAGGAAAATTGATTCTTCTGCAAAATGGCCTATATGCTAATGATTGGAGTGCATTTGGTATGTCCCGTTGTTGTCTATGGCTTAGAATTTGTCTGCTAACTACAATATAGGAGCTTTCGTTGCTGCCCCTGTTGGTGGCTTGATATTTGCTTGTATTGCTCTCGGCCTACGAGTTGGATATAAATATGTCCTTTCGAAGACAACGGGAAGACACTTTGACGTGTTCGATCGCCCACTCCCGCGTTCCCCCATGGCTGCTGGGCCTATGCATTTGGACCAGCCAGACTTTATTGCTACCGGTACAGATGCAATAATCCGCAATAATGATGAAGAAGGTGCCAAATTCCGGGCATCTCGGTAGACTCACTATCTATATCTTAGACCAGGGACTGTGAAGATGCAACTCTGGACACTCCGGGGCCAACATTGCATATATATATATATATATCACGGGCAAGGAGCAGAAAAGTAAAATCCCAGCATGCTCGTATATCTACAGATTTATAAGGAGACTGTCCAGAAGGTCTTATAATATAAAAATACATTGAAAGAAACGCTTCCAAAAAACCACAAACACAAATGTTACACTTTATAGTAGACCGGCCAGCATCATCCGCCAGCAGCCATCATCTCAAGTCGGTCTTTCATCGTTATTCCTTTCATAAACATCGGGTTTGTTCGTAGCTCCTCAGTGGTTGTCTCCTCCGCTAAACCCCAGACCTTCCATTCCCCATCTTTACCTCCTATCATAAACCTCTGAAGAACAATATACTCGGTGCAGTCCTTCTGTTTTTCCTGCTGTTGCTTTTCAATATCTTGGATCTGTTTCTCACTTAGACGGGCTATAGGCGCAGGTGGGGTGATGAGAGACTGCCGGCTTTGTATTCGTACAACAACTTGTCTGATCCCCATGCCTGTTACATTGGGTAGAGCTGCGGCACGATCTGATACCACACGAGCACCAGTTATGGTCATGGAACGGGGAAATTTGAGGTATTTATGTAGTTTCCAAATAAGTTCGGGAGAGTTAAGGGGCCGTCGGATAACGCGCTTAAAAAACGATTCGAAGATGCCATTGCAGCAATAGGTTTGCAGAACCCCGAGATTGCCACTGTGATTAGTATAATTAGCATAGCCCTTGATATGATATAGCATGTGTGCGAGCCTCATACCTGGCATAATGGTCGTACATGCGCTTGTGAAGCTCAAGTGCCATTTTCTTCCGTTCTCGAAGGCGCAAAGGTAGCTTTTTATTTATGAATTTGCAGTAAGTAAACAAACTACATGTAGCCCTTCGTCAGCATTGACATTCTCTCGACGTAACAAAGTAATGGAACGGCCAGAACATACCTCATAAAGTTCAAAAACTTCGTCTTCCAGTGCGTCCACTCCATGTGCCATCTTGCCTTTGGCTCTGAGAACCACGAGGGCAGGTTCTGCCATACTGGCCGAATAAAAGTACCAGGCAGTAATCCCATATCATCTGGCACCATCTCCATATTAACCCCCTTGATGGTCTCCTGTAGACGGTTCTTCATGCTCATCTGCGCTGGAGGTTTTGGGGCTAAGACTCTAGGAGCGGTCATTCTAGCTCTTAAGCTGGACTGTGAAAACGACCGTGCGACGCATTTCGAGGGCCATTGGAAGACCACTGAGCGGGAGGAAGGACGGAGGGCAAGGGTGGAGGAGAGTGCCCGTGGTATGGAGGAATTCATATTGGCTGGTCGTTGGTGACTGCAGCGCAACCCGGACAGGGGTATATTTTGTCAATTAGAGAGATGATATCTGACGCCTGACTGGCTCTCCGCCGGAGAGGAAAAAGAGCGTATCCTGTCCGTCTCTGGCTTCTTCTCAATTGTCGATTCTTCGCCTTTTGCTTCTTCATCTTTTTTTTTGATCTTCAACTTTCGAGCTGGATGAATAACGCGCTAGTCCGTTTTGGGCCCGGAAAGCTGAATTATTTATCCGGTATGCGTGTATTCTATTACCATTAAATGATATGCTATTGGTCAAATGCTGTGATTTTTGTAAAATTGGCCTACATGTGTAAACGTCTATTAATCAGCATTGTTCCTCCTCCTTTTGGCGATATATTACTTAGTCATGCCGAGGAAGTCACGGGACACAGATATACCTTAGTTGAAGTCGTGTGACCCTTAGTAAGATCCCTTATTAAGCAGTGACGTCGTAAAGTTAAGATTGCGCTTTTATCTTTCCTTTTGTTCTCTTAATTTGACGATTGTTCTCTTTCGCCAGCTTCAATATTTCAATTCGATATATTTCTCGGGGGGCCTTGGAGCTCTGGACAGGTTTGTTTCACTCGTCTCTTCTGCGGTGCTGATGGCCATGAGTGCTGACTGTTATTCAGATACCCATATCCGGCCATCAACGCCTTACACGTCACCACACGAGACAGATCACAACCAAGGCGCACTTTGACAACATTGTTCTGCTAAACGCAGGAGGCCGGACATCGTATAATTTCGGCAACAGCTCAGAACCATAGACGGTCTATCTTGAGCTGCACCAAAGCTGATACCACTTCTACCTCTTCAGCCTGATCCAATTCTACCTGCTTCGACACTTATCGGCGACTGGGGAAACAAAACAACAGGGGCAACACACCGTCTGCTGAAACAACGCTGGGAGCTGCCACGATATCGCTAATAGCCGGTGAACCCTCTCACAAAAAAGAATTATACATCGCCGTTCGAGGCAGGAAAGGGCAACGGCTTCTATGCCGTGAATTGAGACTGGCGTCTACTCTCAAAATCCCTTCCTTTCCTCCTCTCCAACCATCTCGAACCCGCAGCCGCAATGCTTTCATCCCTGGCCTTCGCAACCGGAACACTCCCTTTAACCCGCCCTTAGACCCGGAAGGAACTGGAGAAGCGACATCGAACCGTTCCCTTCGACCAGCCGCGGTGTCGTCTTCAATTACGTCTCCCGCTGCCCCCTTTTCGACTTCCACCAGTCTTCCTCCTTCCCCTGGCATTGCGAATGATATCCCTGTACCGAGAGACGTTACTTCAAACAGACTACATCCGCGAGTGGCGGTGATACTGGGCGTTGACCGTCGGTGGTATATTCCGCTGCTAGTATGTCGGGCTCTTAGCGTTCTCCCAGCTGCGTGGTGGGGGCTTCGGTGTGCGTTTACGTTTCTGGCTGAATTGCTGCGTATTAGCCCACATATCTGGCAGGAAGGGTGGACGGCGGTTGTCGTTCGGGGGGCAGCTGTGGACTGGAATGTGGACAGGCGGTTTCGGGTGACTGAGGTAGCATTGGCTATCATGTGGGTGTGTAAATGCCCTCATATGGCCTGACTGCACGAAAAGGATGGAAATAATACTAACACCACGTCATAGTGCTCTGCCTCTGCATATTTATCATACTTCTTCGCCGACTGCATGATGTCAAGATGGTATGCCGCTTCCATTCTACTGAATCTTAAAAATTATCTAACATCTATAGGCTCGTGAACTATACTCCCCCAGCAGTCATAATCCGCCTTCTCACTATAAACTGCCTCATCGCCTATCTCACATCCTGGATTCTTTATCTCTCTGGTGCCTCTTCTGATCCTCGTCTACTCCTCCCGGCCTGGATATCAATCACTTCAGTCAGTTTTTCATCTTCACTCCGCCTCACCTCAGCAGGGCCACCACCACTTACCCCTATTTCTACGTATGCAGATCCTCACATTGCTCTACCACTTAACCCAACGCAAGATAAATATCAAGAAAGAAACCAAGGCTTCGCTGTCGGTTTTCTCCATAGCAAGTTTCATAAGTATGTCATCGTTGTTACTGCAGCTTCACTTGTCGCGTGAGAATGAGCCGGAGATACCCCTTTTTGTCATGATATACAGAGCCTGGAATGTCAGTATGCAGTGGATGATTGAGCGGAGAGTTGGGTCTTAAACTCGACATCGTTGTTTTCCCCCTACACTTACCTTTGCATCGGCCTGCCCTTTTCCTCTTTCTTGCCTCTATTCCCCTTATTGTTTTTCATTTCTTCACTTTGATGTCGATTACCCATATACTATCACTTGAAGGGTTCAGCTTTTTTACCTGGAAGTTCATTTACGAGAGTATGAGAAGAGAGGTCAAAAAACATGATGATTTGCCATCTTCTGTTTTTCAAAAATTTTATTCACTATAACCTAATTCTTCCCATCCCGATCCCATCCCCAATGCAAGAAAGGGAACAAGAGCGGGAAGCAAGGCAAAACAACGGTGAATAGCAGTTAACGAGAGTCGGACAAGTGCAGTGACAGGCTGCATGCACATAATCGAAGAACGATCCATGAACAAAAAGCAAGCAAGCGAAAGCACGAGTAAAGGGAGCTGGTAAGAATGTGGAAGAAGAAAAAACAAATATGAAAAATCAAGCAGCCAGCTCACAGAACACCTATGAAGCTGAACATGGTAACTGTTTACCCTCCCTGTCCTGTCGTCATCTTCGTTGCTGTCGTTAAAAATATTCGGCTCGAAGCATCGTGACCGTATCCCCCCCCCCCTTTTTGGTTTTACAGTCGACAGAGGTGGGAGAAAGGAAGGTCACGTTGCACCTGGGGTATCTTCAAACGGGGGGTGGGCGTCTAACCCCGACGGGCGGAGGTGGCCGGACTTGTAAGGACAGCATCAGGTCTGGCGTGGTGCGTCATCGTCCAAAAACAGACATCAGCTCTACGAAAGTGTAAATTCCGCAGAACACGAGAACGAGAACGATCGGGCACACATGTTAGGGCAAGATGAGTCCTGGGGTACAAGCGCAGCCATCCGAGGGGTCTGTGGGGTAGACGGAAGACGGCGACGGGACAGGGGGTGTGACGCTTCGTTTAGAAACCATGGACCTATTAGAGGGAGTTAGATAGATGACTCTTTATTAAGACAGAGACATGTGAGTTGAGTCTTGTATGCGAGACATACCTTGATGGTCTTGGCATCAAGCTCAAGTCCCTCCTTCTTGTCGACTAAGAATTCTTGGACATCCTTGCGTTGGTCTCCTTGCAACTGAATAACCTCCCCCATCTCGGTGTCGTTCACGATGGTGCCATTGCAAGCTGTCCGACGAGGTCACGGTTAGCTACTGTAGTTTTTAAGTTTACCGGGCAACGACGCGGCGGCGGACATACCGAATTTCTTCTTGATGACCTTGAGGATCTTCTTCTGATCGAACTTCTTCGGGAGACCTTGGACAGTCGTCAGAGTCTTACGACCATTGCGTTCTGAGACACACAAGAACCGTTAGTCACGAGACGATCACCTTGTTGGGGGCGAAAAGCGAGGGAAGGTAAAGGGAAAGGGGGAAAAATATGACGTACGCTGAATCCGTATATGGATGTAATTTTGCGACTTTTTAGTGTCGCCGGTGTCTTCGTCAGCTTCGGCGAAGGGGTCTATCGTGGGAGAAGAAAATATTAGCCCAGGCTGTCACCTGTAAAAAGCCGTATTTTGCATTATTATTTTTTTTCCCCTTCCTGCATCGTGTTGTGTTGTGTTGTCAAGCCACAGTTTGGAAAAAAATATGACCCAACCGCCTACCCCGCCATTTCAGGCTGGGACAAGCAGCTGTGAAACCGGGCGTCGACGAACGACAAAACAACGCTGCGATGCATAGATGTGATGCAGCGAGGCAGACTGCATATGCGGCAAGGGGGAAAAGCGAGCGACGTACCAAAGGTCTTGAGGTTTTCGATGGACATAAACTCAGCTGTTGACCGAAACTCGTCTAAAGATCGGGTTATAGGGGGTGGAAGAGGCGGAGGAAGAGGAAGAACGCAACGGAACTTCTGTCTTCTCTGGTGCTGGGCTGTTGTTAGGTGTGAGACTTGGAGAAAAGGAGTCGTCGAGAGCGAGATGAAGCTATCTGGAGCTGGGCTGGAGCTGGTAAAGAATAACAAGTCCTGGAGATGAAGCTGAAGATGAAGAAGTTGAAGAAGTTGAAAAAGTCGAAGTTGGAGAAGAAGAAATGAATTTCCGCTTTGGGCGGGCGGCAAAAAGTGGCAAAAAAGAGGCTTAGTCAGTGATGAGTCAGAGATTAGTCATACACGTGATGACATTCCAAAGGAGGAAATTAGTGGGTCTAGCGAGATAAGATGGAAGTTGGTAGAAAAAGGGGTAGAAGTGACTATGATATTGATATTGATATCGATGTTGATGTTGATGTTTATGTTAATATGATATGATACAGTGATTAGTTAACAGTTACAGCCGCTCGGAGATGGCCTGGCGCTTGAGATCGAGGTACTTGGCTGCAAAGTCGTTGGCGAGGACCAGGTCGCCCTGCAGATGCATGACGGTCGCCTTCTTGCCCATCATCTCACACTGGCCCCTGACCTCCTCGATGGACGAGTACTCGGCAAAGGCGCAGTCGATAAACTCGAGGGCGCGGGCGAGAAACTCCTTCTTGCGACCTGGGTCCCTGCGACCACTGCTCTCGCCCGCCAGCCCCATGCTCGCGTCGGCCAGACAGGCATACATCCGTCCTGCAAGCGCACGGTCTTCGCACTCCAGGACCTGCGGCATCACGCTCTCCAGCAGGTCGAGTGCGGCTGAGAACTCGCGGAAGCTCATCAGGATGACGCACAGCGCGCCGACAGCGTCCCATAGGCTGTGCAGCAGTCGCGAGCGGTGGGCGATTTTGGCGGCGCGCATGGCCAGCGAGAAGCCTCGCTCGGGCTGGCCTGTTTTGTCGAAGATGCGGGCCTTGGCGATGAGGAGGCTGATCTGGGTGGCTATGTCGAAGCTGTCCTGGTGCATGGACTGGGCGACCTGGTCGACGGTCGACAGGGCGTCGTCGTAGTCGCCCTGGCGCATCAGGAGGTCGATCTTGAGCAGGTTGAGCGTGGTCGACACCTCGGGGTCTGGCGGCGAGGCGCCCTCCAGCTGTGTGAGTAGGTGTTGGGAAGCCCGTAGGTCGTCTCTGTGATTCGTTAGCAATCCTGGCATCCCAGCTCTATAGTTTACTGTATATAGCGTCAGCAGCATCGGGGTTGGGTTGGGGGGGCCCATACCGGTGTAGTTGGCGTGTTAGTTTCAAGAGGCCCATATGGAAGGCCCAGGTTTGTTGGTGTTTTAGAGGCTGCAAGGCATCGGCAGGGAAGCTGTTCATCCGCTTAACTGCGTCATTATGTCGGCCATTCCATGATAGCTGCCGGGGTGTTAGCCATCTCATTTTACTCACTGTGGACCTGGATGAGGGATAGTACTCACGAGCTGTGCACTGCGGAACGTGGCCCATAGGTTATCGTCCATAGGGGAGAAGGCGGAGTAGCATTCCAGGAATGTCTCGTATGTCGACCGGGTGAGATGGTTTAGTCCTGTCAAAACCAAGTTGTCAACGGCGTTAGTTCTCCGTAGGAGGATTGTTGGATAGCAGGACGGACAGACATACCTAGCCTGCCGTAGAGGGAGGCATGGAGCATCATCTGAGGCCCCATGGAGTCCTGTCTGCCCCTTGTAATGCAGACATGGGAGGCCTTGATGATACTTTCAAAGGTCGACGCAATGCTTCCTCCCTATAGAGCTTTAGTATATGCATGAACAGGGAGTGGGTAGTAAAGAGATAGAAGATACATTTGCGAGCTCGAGTCTGCCCTCGCTGAGCAGAGCGGTGCTGAGCATCCCCCACATCTCTGCCTCCTTTGCCTTGGCCTGGAGAAAGGCGAGAGCCTCCTTGTCTGCTCCGAGCATGCCGGTGTTGTGTATCTCAGCGAGCTCGTCAGGGGATATCTTGCCGAAGTGGTAGAGCCACGTCATGGAGTAGTTGAGGCAGTTCATATCATGGGTCTCGCGCCCGATTGCGATGGTCTCCTGGAAGGCGGAGATGGCCTCTCCAAGGCAGCCAAAGTCCGCCTGCAGCAGGGCCAGGTTGAGCAGTGCATACTGGTAGAAAGTGCGGTCTCTGGTGTGGACTGTGTAGTCAAAGTACCGATGCAGATGGTCGAGGGAGGACGGATGGTCCCCTGCTTTCCATGAATCCAGAAATCTATCTCTGTCAGTTTGCTTCTTTGCTTCTTCTTCTTTGCTTCTTTTATTTCGTCCTGTCCGCGGCCAAAAGGGGCAAAGACATAGGGGAACATACCTGACGTAGTGAAAGAGACAAGGCACGGTTGCACCGGCCATGATGATCCGCCTCAGCTGGGCCATCATGTCCGGCGACACTCTGGCAGCCTTGCTCTGCATCTTGGAGATCTGAAACTCCAGCAGGCGCTCGACGTCCCTGACGCTCATGCCGGCACCCTCGTCCGCCCCCCGTCCGCCGTCAGCGAGGTCGCCGTACATCACCCTGGCGAGCGGGCTGTCCAGATCCAGGCCCAGCTCGCACAGGTTCGCATCCACGGCCGGCTGTGCCTCAGCCGGGTTCTTCTTCGCCCAGGCGGCGTAGGTAGGCATCCTATACCGGATCAGGGCCTTCCAGAGACTCATGGCATCGTGGAACTGCAGCTTGGTATACTCGAGCCGGACTCTGCGTACAAACGCGCCCAGCGGCGAGTGACGGGCCAGCACCACCCTGCCGTGCTTCTTCTGCTCCTCGTCTGCCTCCTTTGCGCCCTCGGGGTCGAGCAGCCTCTCCTCGCGCGACCGGGCAAGGACATCGGCCAGGCTGGAGAAGAACTCGTCCAGCGTGTCTGCGCAGTCGAACTGCCACAGCCGCTTGAGGAACAGGTCCCATATCGACCGCCCGGGGACGGACGAGGCCAGGCCAGCGGTCGCCTCCATGACCTCCTCTACCGACGGCGTCCCCTGCAGTCTCTCTATTCCGGTAGATGTCGTAGATGTAGATGTAGATGTTGATGATGCCGCATCTTTGTTGCTGTCCGCCGGCTGTCCGCGTCCACGCCCACGGCCACAGCCATGTCGACAGCCATCCCCTAGGCTATGTCGACAGCCATCTCCTAGGCCATGTCCCACCGTCCTCGACGCCTCCAGCGGCAGCAGATGCGAGACCAGGAACGCGAGCAGCGGCACGACGGCCGAGTTGGGCACGACGCCCTCGGTGTAGATGGATATCAGCGCCAGCAGCGCAACCTTGGACGGCGTCAGAAACCGCATCATCCTGCTCGTTTCTTCTTCTTCGTCTTCTTCTTCGTCTTCGCCTTCGTCTTCGTCTCCTTCTTGCGACTGTATTCTCCTCCGCTTCCCTCTTTCGTAGACTCGCCTGGCGCTGCGAGGCGTTCCGAGCTGTCCGTCTGTGTCTTCCCGTCCGCAGCCAGCAGCAACGGCGAATCGCTGGCCGTCTTTCTACAGCAAACGGACAGCAAACATCCTGCTGGACGACGTGCAGGCAGAGGCAGCTCGAATAGTAACTCCCGCGCGGTCCCGACTGTGCGCTGCTCGCTCACTTGAGGATGCTCGCTGTGATCGCGCCCGCATTAGTGCTGTGCAGCCGCCCGTCCGCAGCTAGAACTTAGACGAGGAGCTGGCGGAAGAAGCAAAAACGCCCGGCGTCGCTTTTGCTCTTAAGCCGCCCCGCCATCCACATCTACATCCGCATCTACATCCACGTCTACAACCATCTACTGCAACATCTACACCTTCTCTACTCTTCTCTACTCTTCATTCTACGTACAGTCTCAAGATGATGGAACTCGTCGAGGAAACAGACCTGCACGGCGCCCTGCCGCTGGTCTCGCGCGGCAAAGTGCGCGACATCTACCAGGTCGACGACCGCACGCTGCTCTTCATCTCGACGGACCGCATCTCGGCCTACGACGTGCTCATGCAGAATGTGAGTAGAGACCGTCTTGTAGAGAGTGTATACTGACGATTATAGGGCATCCCGAATAAAGGGCAGATCCTGACCTCGCTGACGGTCTACTGGCTCAAGTTCCTCACCGGAGCCCTGCCCTCGCTGCGCACCCATCTCGTCTCGCTCGAGATGCCCGGAGACATGCCCCAGGCCTGCCGCGACTACGTCAAGAACCGCAGCATGGTCGTCCGCAAGCTCAAGGTCTTCCCCGTCGAGGCCATCGTGCGCGGCTACCTCGCGGGCTCTGCCTGGGCCGAGTACCAGAAGACCGGCACCGTCCACGGAATCCCGCTGCCTGCGGGCCTCGTCGAGAGCGACAAGATCCCCGGCGGGCCCTTGTTCACCCCCAGCACCAAGGCCGAGCAGGGCGGCCACGACGAGAACATCCATCCCGACAAAGGTACCTCTCTATACTCTATAAGGATATATATAGATGCTAACCGGCGAAGTAGCGGCTGACATTGTGGGCGCGGCGTATGCGGAGGACATCAAGGCGGTCTCCATCCGGCTGTACGAGCTCGCCTCCTTCCACGCCCTGCAGCGAGGCATCATCATTGCAGACACCAAGTTCGAGTTCGGCCACGACGAAGTCACCAACGAGATCGTCCTCATCGACGAGGTTCTCACCCCGGACTCCTCTCGCTTCTGGGCCCTGGACACTTACCAGCCCGGCAAGACCCAGGACAGCTTCGACAAGCAGTTCCTCCGCGACTGGCTGACCAAGGAAGGCCTCCGAGGCAAGGACGGCACCATCATGCCCAAGGAGATCGTCGCAAAGACAGAGGCAAAGTACATAGAAGCCTTCGAGAGGATCACCGGCGAGACTTTTCGTCCCTAACGAAGCCACTGTCAATGTACCCTCGGATTGGAACAAGACCTACGGCCGGGTTTTGTACAAAAAGCTATAAAGGCCACCCTTTTTTCTACTTCATCTACCACCCCCCCCCTTGCTTGTTTGGTTAATATATGGAGATGGGAAGGAGTTAAAAGAGCAACTGTCTTGCATTTTTCACGACTACTCCCCGGCAGGATTCTGAGCTCACACGGTTAATAACTTTGGTTCTGGAGGAAAAGTTCAGGTATTTTGTGTGTCAGGTAACTACCTTACTAGCTATCAGTTATTTAGTTGGTTATTTGTTTACTTCACGAGTCATAAAACTACGTCTTTTTCTATGGTTGTACGCCTGTCAAAAATCTACTCCTGCGTCAGCCATTGTACGACCCAGAAGACCTTCCATTGGCTGCATAATCTCCGGGAAACAGGTTATCATCAACAGCTGACAGTCTCTAGCGTTGGGCTTTAAGAACTAATGCATCGTCATTTCTTCTGGAATCCCTTGAGATCCTTAAACCGATCCAAGCCCTTGGACTCCCTTTCCACCAGCGACGAGTGATCGTCATCATCGACATGGCCAGACTCCGACTGCTCAGCCGCTGCCTCAACCTTCGCTTCTTTCGAGGCTGGACCGCCCGCCGCCACAGAGCCAGCAGGGCGTGGGCTTGGGCGTGCTGGAGCTGAAGTATAAACTGCGTCTTCTCCACATATCCGCCGTTCTTCCTCCAGCTCCTCGCCGCTCAGTCCGTTGGTCGCCCACATCCGGTGAATGCGCAGATCGTACGGTCCTTCCACTCGATCCGTCAGTCCGATGCCAATGGACTTCACCCGCTGCTGCAGCAGGCCCGTCTGCGGCTCGACCACGGTGCCTAAGTTTGTTCGCACAAAGTCTGACCACCGGATCAGTATTGTCTCCCAGCCTGTTGAGCCTGGTTGAGGGTTGGTTATATACGATGCTGATGTAGTTGTAGTATTGTTGTTGGATTCGTCTTCCGCAGGGGCAAAGTCCGCTAGTGCGGCTGGTATTCGGGGCGGCGAGGATGTAGATGTGGATGGAAAGTCGGATTCGGATGCCGGCTCGGAGAGCGTTTCTTCGGGAGTAATCGTGGAGGATGTAAGGTGGTTTTCAGCGCGGTTGAGCAGTCGGTGGTGTCGAGTAAACAGCCGGTGCTGATGGATGTCCGACTCAACGATCGAATCCGTCTGTACGTTCACCGTGTACCGTCTTCCGTCTGACTTTACTCGCAGAGCCAGGTATGTGTACGGGTCGACGTCCCAGTACAGTCTGCCCATCAGCCAGAACCCTCGGTCCTGGTTTCTAAACGCCGCGTATCCTAAACGAAGTAGGCAACCATAAGCATACCCTCCTAACAACATCCTGACAACGTCTTGCCAACGTCCTGACAACATCCTCATCAACGTACCAGTTCTCTGTACCCTCCAGTCCTTCGGCAGTTTCGTCGATATCGAGCCGTGGAATCGGGCGTGGGCTGGCGTCTTCGTCTCCGGGTCTGCAGGAACATAATCCAGGTTGGCCGTACTGTATCCGCCAACCGCTCGATCCGCCATGGTCTTGCATCCTCGCACCGTCTCTTCCTTCGAGAAGTCAAGTAAATGGTATTGGTCTTTGGCGATGTCCAGACCTTCGAGCTTCCATGCTGCACGAAACGATCAGTTAGCCACCATCATCTACCAGTATTCGGATATAAATACACAAATTCAATGAATGCCATGGCCATACCTATTCGTGTCGCCCGGCTCAGTTCATCTGCCGTCTTGCGGAAGAAGCCTGGCCCTCCCTTGGACATGCGCACTGCAGTGGCTAACATGGCGCCGGTATTATCTCAGCAGCAGCAGCTGGCAATTATATACTAGCGCACTCTCAGCAGGCTCCGTTCATTGCTATGAAGAGCAAAATAACCCCTCTCTTGCCCTCTCTGTTCCGCTATAAAGAATCTGGCTGTCGCTGTGTTGCTTCCTTGCGTTGCTTTGAAGCTCTCGAAGCTGCCCCAAATTTATAGCTATCACGTGATATGCATTATCTCATCAGATAAGATCTTACCCCAAGCAGCGGAGACGGCGGCATTTACTTACTATCTATGCAAAAAGATACAAGATATTAAGTAATTTTGAAGGCAGCTTAATGAATTCCATTGTATACACTTGATGGCCAGTATATACAATAGGTGTCCGAAACATATATAAGCGAAGTCGGCAAAAGCGGCAGCTGATAAAATGCAGGAAGCTGGGAAAAGGGGGGGATATCAAAAATGACCGACAATGAGTAGACAACTTAACGGGCAGAGACGACTTCAATTTCCGACATCCGATAATAAATGCAGTCCGTGATACAAACAGGATGATAGAAAATATAGGCAAAAAAACAATATCCGACGTCCGTCCATCCGTCCACCGCTGAGAGAGCTCCAAACAAAAAGCAATAAGAGATGCTCGTTATTATTCGTTAAAAGATATATGAAGTGAAATGGGTAAGCTGGATGTGTTAAAAATAGCCTGAGAGGTAAGTAATGTGGTGCAGTCGCTGATAGGAGAAGCAAATTGGTATCCAAGTAAATGCTCGCATATCTCATGGAATGATATAAAAACGTTGAAGTATTCGACGGGGAAAAAAGGAACAGAAAACCAAAATCAAGCTGATGGGTATGATGTCACTTGAAGTGAAGACCTCTAGGCGAGTTTCATGTGGTTGAGTAGATTGGTTATTGATTGTGGGAGGATATCGGCCTTTCATTTTAGTCCTGCTCTGACCAGGCGTGCGCCGAAGTATGAAAGGTTGAGCGCTGTGTCATTCACGCCGACAACAGGGGCGGATTCTTCAATCATTTCCCATGTTCTCGGAGGGCATGGACCGATGACTCGATTGCCCTGCTGGAATCGGAAGTTTTGAATAGGTGAGGTTGTTTCTTCGACGGTGGGGATAGATGGGTTGGTTGGATGCGGAGGTTGAGGAGGTTGAGCAGATGAGCCCTGCGCTGCAAGGCTTTGGGTATTTAGAGGTGATGAGCCGGGAGGTGGCGCACTGGAGGTTGTGGTGCCAGTCGAAGGGCTGATGGGGCTGGCTTGCGGATCGGGCATAGGGCCAAAAAGATATAGAAGACGGCTATCTTGTTGCTGCTGGAAGAGGGGGGACCGATCACGGAGAAAACGTGCACACTGTATGCGGGCTTCATCAGGGAGGGTATCGACCAAGATAGTCGCAACGTCAATAGTATATATTCGTATGCTATTCCAGTTTCCTGGCACCGTTCTTTGAAGGTGGGCGTATTTGCCAGTGGGAGTGGGAGGAAGGTTAGTGGTATGCGAGAGTACCTGCATGAAGGCTGGAGTAAATGCCATGTAGCAAATACTTAGCAGGAGGCGAGTTTGGTCTGAGAGATCTGTCTTTGAGGCACGTTCAACATTGAAAAATGAGCGGTACAAGGCCACAAGACGAAGGAGGATGTAAATCCATATTCCAATCATGCCACCTTCATTACGCTGAGCGATGATAGTGGAATTCGAATCTGTAGACTTAACCTTTGACAGAAACGCTATCCGCTGAAGCAAAAGATTCATTCTTTCCAACAGGGCGCTGCCGGTTGTGGAAGAAACGTTTTCATTTGGTGTTTTGGATGCCAGCTCCTCAATTATGCGTAGGTATACCAATCCAAGCTCATGAGGTGCCGGTCCATCATCGCTATTGCCCGTCGAGGACGAGGAGGCAGATGTAATGAATAGTGATAGAAGTTTGTTCTCTGCCTTTTGTTGGAGCTGAAGGATGGTTAGCAGGTGTCTTTTTGCAATATGGAATATCTCGTCAGCTTACCTGTCGTCTTCCTTCGTCATCTAGAACAGTGATAACCTCCACCCATTGAGATAACCCCTTCTTCACATCCGTTTCAGCCGCAGAAAAGATAGGATCAAGGACATTCTCCTTTCCAGCTGCATCTGTTTCCACAAGTAGGAGTTGCAGCTTGATAAGACAGAATGGTAAGGAGAAGTCATCAATGCGATGGATAGTATCCGACGCTTGCTGCTGAACCGACTGGGCGCTGGGCGAAGCACGATGAGGATCTGCGTGCAAATTAGCATCTCCGGCATCATCGCCGTTGGCCAATGGCAGAATGTCAAGATTACCATTGCCTGGCTCCACCCCAAGAAGACTGTCTAGCGTCTGAGTAAGTAGGCGTAATCCCGTTGGGAACTTCTCTGTCACCCATTTGACACATTCATCCCTTGCGAGGCTAGAATGTCGAACCATTATCTCGCAAAGAAGTGGGAAAACAGCCTTGTTCCACTGTTCATGAAGAGAGGCATCGGCGGCAGAATGGTTTGCAGACGCATCCATTACAGCATCGCGTATAGCGCTGACGATGATACAACAGTGTTTCTGAACGAACTCCTGGCGTGAGATCTTGAAGCGGTAGAATACCTAACGGCGAGTCAGTAGGGGATATTAGGATTACTAGCAGGTAAATTTACTTACAAGGTCTGGTACTGTGTTTTGGTCGGTTGTCCCTAGGGCTAGAACGCTCAACATGTCCAATCTGAGGTGCAAAACATCAGGTATATTATTCTCCCCAGTCTTATCGGCATCAAGGAGAAGCCTTTTCACCAAACCAAAAAACGCCGGAAGAGTGATGCAGCCGACTCCGATGAGCGGTGGCAGAAAGTGGGACAGTTTTGGTCTTGGAGAAGTGTGTATCATCCCAATCACACGCTTGATCATAAGCCCATCAAAAGTCTTGGGATTGAACAAACGTAGTTGTGCAAGATATCGCGCTGCCTCGCTGGATGTGATGCTGATATCCGCCTTGCCTGTCTCAAGCTTCTGAATAAGCAAGTCAAATATACGCATGAGTGTAGCGTCGTCCATACAATTCCCTGAAGCAAGAAGCTGGTCAAGCATCCCACCAAAGGTAGGGTTGACGGGGTTGAGGGTGTCAGCCATATGTTCTGATACTGGCGATGAGGCAGCCATGGCCGACTTCTTGTCGTAGCGCGCTAGGTCGCGGCGCAGGACAGCAACAGTAGAGGCTTCTGATGGGATGACAATAGCAACGTCAAGCAGAGAAACTATCAAATCTTGAACGTGCGCTTCAGTTTTGCTGAGTTTTGAGTAGGTGATGGCAAAGCTTTGAAGGAGATCCATTGTTGCGCCGATGGCAGTGAAAGATGGTAAATGGTGGTTCAAGGTATCTGTCACGGAAGCTAAGACGGTAGGATTGGATGATTGGGAGAGGAGTTTGAGAACATCAGCGAGGATCGAGAAATCACCCATGCGCTCTAGGATGTATCGCAGAAAGTAAAACTGGCCTGGCTTTATCATGGACGCTGTTTCTTGAGCGGTTGCATTACCGGAAGGTTGATTTTGAACTTGAGCCTGGGCTCGAAGTTTTAATGCAACCTGCTCTCGAATCCAATGTGAAATTTCCGACTTGACAGTCCAGGAAAGACTAGCCCAGTCGATGTCACCATCCATCATCTCAGTGTCAATAGTACCAACATGCCCAACAAAAATGTCGGAATGCCTTTGCAACAGGTCAGTCTTGATTTGGCGTATTTGCCTCGCCTCAGCATCGACTGACACGCCCGCTCTAGAGAGCAAAGTGTTGCGTAGATTCCAGATATGCTCTGGAAGTCTACTTGACGGAAGATGTCGTAGAAGTTCTACGTCAGCTGTCAGATACTGACCAGACATTTCAGGACATCTCACCGCGCCTCTTGCCATAAGCCATTCCAAGTACTTGCCAACGGAAAAGGAATGGGACCGTACCAGTTCCGAGACGAGATGGTAGGCATTGTCGAGCTGGCGGGCGCTATATTTGCTATTCTCAGCTAAGAACGAGAGTATGTGTGCATCAGTATCGATCGAGAGCTTCCTCCAACGGCGAAGTAGTCGAGCAGAGGCATAGATTCGTGCACATCCGTATCTGAAAGGGGTAGAGGACCATTCCAGGAGTGTATGTATCAGTGTTCTGTGATCTAGTGGGAGAGCAAGACATTTTGCAGCAAGGAGAGGGAAACCGTTAGATGCACATGGGGCGTCAAGGAGGGATATTAGTTGTTGTGGGGCTGGTCGTGGGATAGACTGAGGGGAGTTTATAGCGGACTGAGGAGAGATTCTGGATAGACGAGCATTTCGTGCAATGAGTTGAGCGAGTATCGCTGTCTCTAGGGGAACGGTGGTGTTGAAGCATGCAGTCAGAGCTTTCTGGTGTTGAGACCAAGTCAAGGGAAGAATAAAGGACGATGGATAAGAGGTGATGAATGAACGGATAAGTGATTGGAGGCGTGTGATTAGGGGATTAAGGACTGCAGAACGGTTAACATTCAGAGCCTAGGAGTATCATTAGTAAAATTGCATCCATATGCATTAACTAAAAGAGGAGTGACATACCCATGCTAGCTTATCGAGTAGGGTCTGCGCCAGACGTCTACCTCGTTTTCGATAACTGGTGAGATTCTTCCAGTAAACACCAATAGTTGACAACCAGACAAGTAACATATCCAGGTTAGATGCATGCAGTGAGCCGAGAAACCATTCGAGGTATGCATCCTGGTCAAGCAGTTGTTCCAAGAATAGACGACCAGACAATCTCATGCTATGATACGTCAGCAACGAATATCAAAAAACGGATGTTAGAGAAGTCAGAAAAAAAGAAAAGAAAGCAAACATACGCATAAGCCTGGTTCTCAATCCACCCGGCGTCTTCATGCGATTGCACCACTCCTTCCAAGAACTGCTGCACACTCCCAGTCCAGTCCTTTACCCATTTCGTTTCAAGTCCGCTTGCGATGGTAGCTGCCGTCCCTTTCCGTTTGAACGCCCGTATTTCATTAGCGCCTACACACTTGGCCAGCCAGATTGCGCGGCCAATAGGTATGTTCTTCCCTAGACACTGGTCCAGCAATATCTTGCCACGAATACCGTGAGGTATGGTTCTGCTGAGCCGCCTGAGGGGTACGGATGGGTTAGCCAGATCTCGCAGCCAGGCTTCACGTTTGTTGTCGGTAAGTGTAACACGCGGTGGTGGTTTGAACGTTGAGTTTGGCGTGACTTTCGTCATGGCTTGCCTTCGTTTAAGGGCAGCAGCGAATATATGGGAAAGCGCTTTGAGACCATTGGGGTTCTTAAAGTGAGCGTATAGAGATGGGCGTGCGGTATTACTTTCGTTCTGGGACAGCTGAATACGGTCATAGAAGCCTTGTTTGGCGGTTTGTTCGTTGAGAGCATCTTCTGGGTGATTCCCAGTCCACGGATGGAAGTCGAGGATGGCTGGTGGTTGTTAGCTTTGTCTTGTAAACACTGTGGAGTCATGATGGATAGGAAATGACGTACTATTATCTGCGAGTCTAGCAGCAGCAGCAGGCTTCTCCATAGTATATGGGGTGGTCTGGACTGCCATATATTCCTGTTCATCGTCTTCAGGGGCGGTTTCTGTCTTGTCTCGCATGAACAGACTCCTTCGCGGTCGAGGGGGCAGGGGTAAAGGAGAGGATGAAGATTGCGGCTGCTGACCACCTCCATCTACCGAAATGTACGCCAGCTGATCTTGAAATGACGCTGGAGGCCTCTCAATCTCAACAAACGGTATATTTTGGTCCGTAACTTCAGCATTCTTTCCATCGTTCACATCGTCGCTTGCTCCTTGAACCAAGCGCACGCCAGCATTCAGAATCCTCGCAATCTCATCATGTCCTTTTGTATCGATGCGCAACCTCTTCGAAGGCCGACTGGACTCCAGGTCCTCATCATCCTCGTCGTTGCTCCCCGTCAGATCAATGACAGGACTCGCATTTGTGCCTGGCTCTCCAGGTCCTCCGTGTCGTCCTGGCCCGAGTCCTCTCCCAAGATCACTCCCCGGTCCCGATCGAGCTTGTTGTTGCAAGGCCATACGAGCCGTCTGCTGGTCAGAAAGGCCAGTCGGTGGCTGTGAGTACGGATTGCTCATCTGAGGAGGATGGGAGATGATCATCCAAGCATTGTTTTGTGTGGGAGGTCCTACATGCCAGCTGCAGTGAACGGGCTACGAGGTCATGGCTCCTCGTCGCAGTTGCAACAGTCTGATCGTGATATCGGTCTCGTCGGTACTCCGCAGTGTCTCTGGCAGTGAATTCGGCTGTGAACAGGCAGACTGGAGGGTGCATGCAGTTTGGCTATAGGAGAATTGAGTTATATATACACGAGTTGTGGTATCTTGGTCGGCCGTGAGAATCGGATGTTTGTTGCAGTAAAGACGCCCTGCCACAGCCAGCCCTGACTGCCACACAAGCACTGTCGCTTCTTCGTCTTTTTTTGTCTTTTCTGCAGCCCCTTTGCCAGGCCTTTTGTCTGGCTTCTGCTGCTTCTCGTTGTCGTCCTTTTGTTGTTTTAAGGTCGAAAAAGAAGTTCGGAGGTGGAGGGAAGCCCCGTGATTGGTCAGCAGTGCTGAGTCAGCATCGACCGAGGGATATCAAAAAAGCAACGAACGACGAGCAAACGAAGACGAAACGAAGAAAAAAGTCGACGACAGCAGACAAGACGGCGACAGCAGCGGCGAAAGTCTACGAGCCTACATGAGAAGTGGGATGCGACTGATCGCCGGGGGGTTACTCAACAGAAGCGACTCAAGTTTTCGACCGGCTATCTCTGAGCAGCGACCCGGTTGGTTGTCCAGGGGCAAAGGAGAGGCAGAGTGACAGCGAGACGGACAGCGAGCGGGTGGGAGGGAGATGCAGGAGCTGCAGGTCACACTCGATGTACCCATGACGGTCAGCCTATATTCACACGGAGAGAGGTGGGCCGGCACTTTGATTGTTTGTCCACTTTTATGCTGACCCAGGATGGAGTTTACAGGCTAGCCTTGCATACGGGTGTTAGTCGAGTGGCGGCACCCTGCGGATGTTCCCATGGTTGAGCGTGAGCTAACTATAAACAACTTTTTCAGCTCCCTCGGAAGAAGGAAACTAAAATGAATGCGCGAGTTACATAACTTGCAGGGTTAAGACTGTGCCCGAAGCGGTCAGCCAGGTTTAAGGGCGAAAACAAGAGCCAGTTGGGCGCTGGGCTGCAGTCTGGATCTCGCTAAACGGCGTTGGTTCCACCGTTGGTGGTCCCTGAGACGGAGACGGGGAAAGGACATTTGGATAGGGTTGGTCCATTCAAGCTCAGCTCGTACTCCATCGACATCGTATGGCTACTCCAGACATCAACTCCAGGGCATCAGCATCAACACTTTCATCTATACATCAACTCCGCTTTGAGATGCACAGATACTCATATATCGACAGATCAGGTTCATCAATAGATCTATCGCCAACAAGATAGAGGATTCCTTGACTCTAATAGTGCGGAGGATCGATTAGTCAGTGATCCCCCCGGTGGCTTGGATAGTAATCATTGGCCACCAACCCCAGTAAACGGTCAAAGAAGAAAGAGTTGGAAATGGACGGGGGAAGATTGTGCAGAGAAATTAATTCTCTGCCCTCTTCAGTTCCAATCTCTCTTTCTTGATGTTTGTTATCTTGCCAGGCTGCGAAAGGGGTGGTTTCTTTTAGACGCAATATCTTCTTCCTTCAGTCTCTCGTTTAACCCAGAGAATGGAACTGCCCCTTTCCAGCACCAGCGGCGTCGACGGCGTAGCCGGTGACAGGGAGAAGCACGAAAAGATAACTTGCTACAGCTATGATAGCAAGAGGGAGTATCCGAATTATGTCAAGTGCCCCGACTCAGATTCCTGCTGCGAGACAATTGAGCAGTGCCGTCCAGATCGCCTTTGCACTTCAAAGGAGGATCCCAAGACGCTTATTAGGGCCCCCTGCGCATACAAGCCGTGGACAAACAGCTGCGCCCAGGTATGCCTGTATGGTAGGTCTCCATTGGCTCCCATTCTTCCCGAGCCTTTTCTACATCATCCCTCATGTTTGATGAAAAAGTTTAGACCCTATATATTGATAAGTGTGAACGTAGATAATAAAGACTCACCTGTCCTGCCCCGAGCAGTGGTGTGTGAACAAACTGGTCCTTCCAGTGGCAGCTATTGCTGCGACGACAACAGAACCTGCTGCATCGACAGAGCGGGCTTCTTCTTGGACGAAAACGGTCTGCTGATCGGCCGTGCGAACGAGACGGACAACTCGACATTAAGCCCCAAACCTATCGGGGTGTCTGTCACGGCCCTAAGAAGCATGGGATCCGCCAGCGCGACCTCGACGCCCGCACAGTCACCCATCAAGGACAAGACGGGCTTGTCGACTGTCGACAAGGCTGGCATAGGCGTAGGCGTTAGCGTTGCGGTGCTACTCGCCATCATTGCAGGGACATTGCTGTTCCTCCGCAGTCAAAGACGAAAGAGACGGACCCGAGCGGACTCTGCCTCCACAGGTGGTAATAATAGTACCGGTCCCGGTACCGCTGATACTGATGCTCCGACGGATACGTGGGGAGACGACAAGGAACCACTACCCGGCGAAGAGCAGCGACGAGAGAAGGAAGAGGAACGAGCACACGAGCTGATGGGCGACGGAGGGACGCCGGAGCTCGAGTCGGTTGAGAGTCCCCGACATGAAGCTCCTCCGTCGGAGCTACCGGTCGCAAGAGTGCAGCAGACTGAGCCCATCGAGTTACCAGCCGACCAGCCTACCGGAAAGCCCCGTCGGTCTTGATCCAGCCTTTGAGATAAGACATTATTGAAACGAGACAATTGAGGGCGTCGGTTGGCTGTCTGGCTTCTTTTTATTCATTTTTTTTTTTTTTTTTTTTTTTTTTTTTTTTTTTTTTTTTTTTTTGAATTTCACTCATTCTCTCTCTTGTTACATCTCTTTTGCTGGACCGGAAAGCAGCATCGTCATCATCATCATACTCGATATTTAATATGCTTCTGTACATATTTGGTATACCCCGGATGGGTGAGGATGGACGTTCGAGGAGTTTGGATTGTCTCTTTGGTGTGATATCAACTACCAAAACAGCCTTTAATTACTAAACCGTCTATGCTATGAATGCATCTATCTACGAACACCTCACTCCTCCTCCGCAGCCTAATAAACTTCTCCAATAGCAATGTCTAAGAGCTAGTTACTCTTCGCCTTAAGTGGCGGTTGATGCTGACCATTCCGTATTTACATGCTGTGTGATAGGCGATGACGGCTTATGACGTTTTTACCTTGTTTTCTCCCTGGAGAGCTTCATTGGCTATATATACAAGCTCCTGACTGCATAGCACAGGAGGAGGGCCCAATTGCTTCAATTCCCAAATCTATAGCTCCTCAATGAATTGTTTGCGAGTTTCAAGGACCGTAATACCGTCTCTGAGGACCTCTACACCCAGAGCTGCTATCCCATTATCTCGCCGTCCAGCACTGGCTTACTTCTCTACATCATCAGCCATGCAGAACAAGATCTCAGACGCCATCAAGAAAGACCACCGTGAGCTGGAGCAATACTACCAGATCATCATCAACTCTGTCGACCCGGGTGAGAAGACCAAGTACCAGAATGCGTTTGTCTGGGAGCTCGCCCGTCACTCCGTAGGCGAGGAGCTGGTCCTGTATCCTGCCATGGAGCGTGTTATGGGCGACGAAGGCACTAAGCTGACGGAGAAGGACAGAAAGGAGCACCAGCTCGTATGTCTACTCCTTTACTTCAGTGACAATGCTAACGGAATGAACAGGTCAAGGAGCAACTGAAGGTGTTTCAGGGAACGGATGCGACGGATCCCAACTTCATGGATCTGATCAAGGGGCTAATGGGCAACCTGTCCGACCACATCAAGGAGGAAGAGAGCATCGACCTAGTCAAGATCGAGGAGAAGCTGGATCCCGAGGAGAGCGACCAGATGGCGACCTCCTTTGAGCGGACAAAGATGTTTGTCCCTACGCGGTCTCATCCCAGTGCGCCGAACAAGCCGCCATTTGAAACCGCTGTGGGACTGCTGGCTGCTCCCATTGACAAGGTAGCCGATCTCTTCAGGTCTTTCCCTTAGGATCTCTCTTCTCTTTCAAATGATATGATAATAATATTATTTATTAATAATGTTGTATTTTGTGTTTGTTGTTTTGATGTATGAAAAAATGGATACCAAATGCTACTTTTATATCACAGTTTTTTAGGCGTAAAGGAAGTATCTCGAAGTCACTCTTATCCACCAAACGACGTAATAGGCTAACCGAGTGCAGGAAGTATCTATACTTGTACTCCTATGTGTATAAAGCGTTGATATGAGTACTGGTACTTCTCGTGTTGACCACGTATATTGGAGATCTTGCCGATAAGTCGTTGCTATCAAGACCAACAACAACGCCGTCAAGCAAGCTGTTACACCACGCAACCATCCGCATTCCGATGGTAAAAGAGCCTCCGTCTGCTTGCTGTGCGTTCTCTCTGATGGCGAGGACCCATCCCTGCGCTCGCTAAAAGAACCTCATGGGGCCTTTCAGCGCATTTCTCCTCGTCTACGTTCTTGGTGGGCTTACCTTCATTCCGCTGCTGCTCAGCTTGCTCGTCCTCTATGCATACCTCACCCTCCCCGGCCCACCAGACAGCGAGTCAAGGCCAGAGAATGCAGACCCGGGCGGCCTCGAGCGAAAGGGAGATGACCAGTACAGCCTTCTTAACACCCGCACGGCGGAGCTGGCGGAGAAGTTCCAGCGAGCTCGCGAGGCGGATGTAGCAGCTGGTTACTTCGCCGTGTGCAGAGAATACGTGCCCGGAGGAGTGAACGGGAAGCCGCCTGAACGTACGACTCCGGCTGGGGAGGTCATTGCTACTGAGAGTCCCAGTGTTTACCAGAGCGTTTATCGAAGCATCTTTGACCGCAGACAGGCGCCTACGCTGGATGCGAACAGGGCCAACGGGAGGAACGCTAGAAAGGCTAGGAATGTATTTTACGTTATACTGCGGTAGGATTGATGCTCCTTTTGGTGTGATGAAGTGCTAGTAAGGATCCTACTAATTACTTTCCTAGTCATGGACACCTTATGCTGTACGATGACGCCGAGCAGATCGAGGTTCGATACGTCATATCTCTTGCACATCACAATGTTAGCATATACGGCGGTGGTGAACCAATACCTGAAGGAGAGCTTTGGATAAAGAGGAATGCCATCTGCCTGTCGAGAAAGGACGAGGGTGAAAATATCCCTGGTCCTCGACCCCCTACGTTGCCGTTCTACTTGTTTTCCGAGAACTTGTCTGAAAAGGAAGATTTCTACTTTGCCATTCTGAACAATTTGGACAGGGCTCCTAACTCAATTGGCTCCCCTCCTACGCCTCGACAGTTTGCTACACAGGACATGGTGACTCTTGTCCAGCGCTTGCATTCGTCAGAGGAACATCTTCAGACCCGGTGGTTCAATGCCTTGATCGGCAGGCTGTTTCTAGCCATGTACAAGACCCCGGAGCTGGAACAGCTTATTCGGAGCAAGATAACCAAAAAGATTTCGAGGGTGAATAAACCCAATTTCATAACAAAGCTCAAACTCCAGACCATTCATTCTGGTGAAGGTGCGCCGCTCATTACGAATCCACGCCTGAAAGACCTCACAGTCAACGGCGATTGTTGCGTCGAGGCAGATATCAACTACAGCGGAAAATTTCGTGTAGAAATTGCGGCTACAGCTCGAATTGACCTTGGAACGAGATTCAAGCCGCGAGAGGTTGATCTTGTTCTATCAGTGATGCTGAAGAAGCTGAAAGGCCACATTTTAGTACGCTTTAAACCGCCTCCCAGCAACCGGCTATGGATCTCGTTCGATACGATGCCCGCCATGGAGATGGCCATAGAACCAGTTGTTAGTTCAAGACAGATCACATACGGCATTATCTTGCGCGCAATTGAAAGCAGAATCAGAGAAGTCGTTGCTGAAACCCTGGTCCAGCCGTTCTGGGACGATATTCCGTTCCTGAATACAGAGGAGCAGTATTTCCGTGGTGGTATCTGGGAAGAGACTCGGAAGGCTGAACCACCACGGGCTACAGTCGATACAGAGACCACTTCTGACAAGGAGTCAGATCAACAGCCCGAGAGGGCTCCTGAGAAAGAAGAGCCGGCAGGCACCAGCACCCCTGAAACACAGGAGGCGAATACGGAGGAGCATGAGACTTCCGCTTGTGTCACTGATACACCGTCTCAGGATACTCTCTACCAGGCCTTTGCAGACCCGTTGAATGAGAAAGAAGCGCCCGAGAAGCCAGAAACACAGGAAACGGATTTCCGTCCATCCTCGCTTCCAGATATCCCGGAGAAAGCAGCCCATAGCGCTTCTAAACATCGATCTACTCGGTCTCTTTCCTTCTCACCGGCCACAACAGGCTCTTCTATATTCTCACCCTCCATTTCTATTACTCAACAAAGTGAACCCAGGGATGTGCCCTCTCCCGCGGCTGATACCAGTAACGCGGCTCCTCCCCTATCGAGATCTCTTTCTGACCACGGCACCGATGCAGCTTCTACGAGCGACAGCAGGAGTAGTCGAAGCAACTCTATGTTGGCGGAGAGTACCCAGTCGTCTAAGAGTGCAAATGCATCTCCGAGCCTGGCCCCTGGTCCATTCGAGCCACGTCAAGCAATGCTGTCCATTGGAAGTGCTGCTGCAGCTGCTAAAAAATGGGGTTTAAGTGTGCTCACCCGCAACGACCACGGCCCTAGACCAGGCGAAGTCCCTGACCATCCCGTTGGCCGTGGTCGGCCTCTTCCGCCTCCAGGCACGCCCCTTCCGTCACCCGGAAGATTCAACTTTGGCTCCATAGCAATGCCCAAACGGAAGCCTGTTACCCCGTCTCCAGTACCAGAGCGGTCTCAATCAGTAATTGAGCCCACGAGGTCTGAACCCAAGGTGCAGGTGCCAAAGAGACATGATTCAATGTTGGACCAGGACACCAAGAGCCAGGAGATACTTGTCATCAAGGCGCCGGTTGGATCAGAGCCCAGCAGCCCATCCAAGGAGAGCCATGGTGCCAGAGGCAAAGTAGACGAGAGCGACGATGTGCCAGATGCGTGGTCAAATGAGGTGCTCATGGACTTCCAGGACTCCTCAATGTCGGCTACTGAATCTATATCCTCACCGTCAGAGCTATCTGTACATCGACCGTCAAAACGGCTGGATCATCTGAAATTCGACTAGGTAAGAGTTTTATCACCTATTTGTATGCATCCAGGTACTATCTATATCCTACCAATTCCCCAGAGGCTGGCGTTGCCATCGTCTATTTGGTGTTCTGCTTCAATGTATATATATCTCCGGCGTTCGGGCTGGCGTTAAAAAGGGAACTATTTCAATAGACTGTTATATTCAGCTGTCTCTCATCTTCACCCATCTATCCGTAAATCCATCTATCCATACTCATTAAATGTGGTTGCTATCAATATCTCACCAGCCACTCTGTATTGCGTTGCCTGTCAAATCAACCAACTAGTTAGGGTCGCGTGCCAAGACGGTGACGACGAACGCCCATGGAAACATCGCTGCCTCCTCCAAAAGCCAAAAGCCATCGACATTCACCAAACACCCGCCGAACAATAACAACAGCAACTGGTCCATTGGACGGATAGGCTCTATTTACTCTCGTTCGCAGAGCTTGACTGCTGCCAGGCATCGGCTTTCTCTCGGTTCAACGAGCTCTGCGCCCGTTGCTGACCCCCTCCGTCGCCCGATTGCTACCATAAATGTCCTTTGGTTACGGCCCATCTACAAGAACCGCAGCAATGAGCAGGTAAGCAGCGCCGGCTAGAACGAGATAGGACTCGTTTGAATATCGCTGTTTGCTCAGATGTAGCTCACATGTTCCTATAGAACCGAAGCAGACCTTACGGTCAACATCCGCAAAGCTACTAGCATCGGTACGACCGCCGCCCTTTCACCTCTCACTTACAGCCTGCGTTTTATCTACGCGACAAACTGGATAATTACTAATGAATCTTGCGATCATTGAACAGAGGAAACGGCTCCCAAACGTACGTCCCCGCTGCCTGACCGTTCCGCGTCATACATACTGGAAACATACGGTTTAACAGTGGTTGAATAGGAAAACATGTGCGGAGCTGTATCGTATATACTTGGGACCATAAGTCCTCGGTATCATTCTGGTCTGGCATGAAAGTGTGAGTTTCGCTGACTAGGACTCCGGTCTTACTATTAGCTCACATCCACCTCACTTACCCCTTAATTGTTGTTATGCGCATTTACTAACTTTGGCAAATGTTACCAGACAGCCTATTCTCGCCGATGAAGTCCAGACGTTTAAAGCCCTTATTATGATTCATAAAGTCCTGCAGGAAGGCCATCCTGTTACTGTAAGAGAGGCACAGGAAAATGTTACATGGTTGGACAGTTTGATGAGAGGGGTAACGGGTGAAGGGCTTCGAGGTGGGTGAACACATGCCTAATACGGGGTGCATGCTCCATTGCTGGAGAAATACAATTTTATGCAAAGAGAGGAGGCTAACACAGGTGACAGGTTATGGTCCGTTGATTAGAGAATATGTTTTCTTCCTGGAGTCCAAGCTGGCATTCCATCGACAACACCCGGAGTTCAATGGTGAGTGTTCTTTCTAGTGTTACGTATATTTGCATACCACGAGCGCTAACCATGGAATATACAGGACTTTTTGAATATGAGGAATATATCAGTCTTAAGTCGATCAATGATCCGAACGAGGGGTACGGCGGTCTCTTCCAATCCAGTCTGATTGATGCTAACATGATATAGATACGAAACAATTACCGACCTTATGACACTCCAGGACCAAATCGACACTTTCCAGAAACTCATCTTTTCGCATTTCCGAGGCAGTGCAAATAATGAATGTAGGATATCCGCGTTGGTGCCGCTTGTTCAGGAGAGCTATGGAATCTATAAGTTCATTACCAGCATGCTTCGAGCGATGCACTCAAGTAAGGATACCGAATACCTTGTCTTATGTGTTTTTGAGATGCTTATATTTCAACGTAGCAACCGGTGATGAGGACGCATTGGAACCTCTTCGAGGCCGATATGATGCCCAGTATTATCGACTGGTTCGCTTTTATTATGAATGCTCAAATTTAAGATATCTTACCAGCTTGATATCTGTCCCAAAACTTGCACCACTGCCGCCAAATCTGCTCGCAGGGGAAGAGGATAAGCCTAGCCTTCCAAAGCGTCCAACCAACGAACCTGAGAGGGAACCTACTCCACCCCCGAAGTCCACTATCCCTGATGCTGAACCAATCAATGATTTCTGGTCGACAGAGGCCAAACGCCAGCAAGAGGAGTATGAAGCCGAACAGCGTCGACTACAAAGCCAGTGGGAAGAACAGCAGCGCCAGCAAATGCTTGCACAGCAACAGGCGCAGCGAGAATTCGAAGAGCAGCAGCGACTCCAAGCGGAGCAACAGAGACTAGCCCAGGAACAACTCATGGCGAACCAATACCAACAACAGACCCAAGGAAGGTTGGCAGAGCTTGAACAAGAGAACCTTAATGCTCGGGCACAGTATGAACGAGACCAGTTGATGCTCCAACAATATGACAAGCGTGTGAAGGACCTCGAAGAGCAACTAAGCCAGATCAACTCAAACTTCAACTCACAAAACTCTTCGAAGGATGATCTCATCCGGTCCCTCCAGGAACAACTCAACACTTGGCGTACAAAGTATGAGGCACTGGCTAAGCTATACTCTCAGCTACGACAGGAGCATCTGGATCTTCTCCAAACTACCAAGTCTCTCAAGCTGAAGGCGGCTTCTGCTCAGGAAGCAATTGACAAGCGGGAACGTCTCGAGCGGGAGATGAAGACAAAGAACTTGGAACTTGCCGATATGATCAGAGAACGTGATAGAGCCCTGCATGAAAAGGATCGTGTTACAGGAGGTAATCGGGAGGAGCTCGAGAAGCTGAAGAGGGAGCTCCGAATGGCTATCGAGCGGGCGGAAAATGCTGAACGTGCGAAGGGAACAGAGATCTCCGCGATGCTTTCTAAGTATAATCGCGAGATGGCCGATCTCGAGGAGGCTCTAAGGGTACGTTTCTTAGTTCTCTCGTGTATGCTTATGCTAACAAACCCACGTATAGAGTAAAACACGAGCCCTTGAGGAATTCCAATCTAGCAGAGGCGACTTGAATGCAGACCATGAGATCATGCTCCGAGAAAAGGATGAGGAGATCGAGATCTACAAGTCTGGAATGGAGCAGGCACTGACTGAACTAGAGGAGCTGAAACTGGTATGTACCACATTTTTACAATGCCGGGTATCAGAGCTAACGCTGAACTTACAATTATAGAGCCAAGGAGATGCAGATAAGGCCCTGGACAGTCAAATTGACGACGTCCTGATTGGCTCTATTTCCAAGGTCAACAATATCATCGATTCTGTTCTTCAAAGTGGTGTGCAACGAGTGGACGATGCGCTTTACGAGCTGGATTCGACCATGCAAGCTGGAAACCAAAATGCATCGCCTTCTTATGTGCTATCACAGATTGAAAAAGCATCTGCCAGCGCCACTGAGTTCTCGACTGCTTTCAACAACTTTATCGCTGATGGACCAAACAGTGAACATGCCGAAATCATCCGCACCGTGAGCGTATTCTCTGGGTCCATCGCCGATGTCCTTAGCAACACCAAGGGTTTGACTCGATTTGCCACTGATGACAAGAAGGCCGACCAGCTCGTAGGTGCTGCGAGATCTCCTGCAGAGTCCACCATGACATTCTTCCGTGCTCTGCAGTCGTTCCGTCTTCAGGGCCTGGAGCCCACTCAGAAGACCGATGTGGTTATTAATAACAACCATGAAGTCCTCATGAACCTCCAGAAGCTCTCCAAGCTTGTTGACACTTTCGCTCCAAAGAGCAACAAGCTTACCGGTGCCGGCGATCTAGGCGACATCGTCGACCGAGAGCTGACCAATGCTGCCAACGCAATTGAAGCCGCAGCACAGCGACTAGCTAAGCTCAAGAAGAAGCCTCGTGACGGTTACTCAACCTACGAACTCCGCATCCATGATTCTATCCTGGAAGCATCTATCGCGGTAACAAATGCAATCGCCGAACTGATCAAAGCTGCCACTGCATCGCAGCAAGAAATCGTCAAGGAGGGCCGAGGAAGCTCTTCGCGGACGGCATTCTACAAGAAAAACAATCGCTGGACAGAGGGGTTGATATCTGCTGCAAAGGCAGTGGCAACTTCAACTAACACCTTAATTGAAACCGCCGACGGAGTTATTTCAGGCAGAAACTCGCCTGAGCAATTGATCGTTGCTAGTAACGATGTGGCTGCTAGCACTGCCCAGCTTGTGGCGGCCAGTCGAGTCAAGGCTACATTCATGAGCAAGACTCAGGATAGGCTCGAGACAGCTAGCAAGGCTGTTGGGTCCGCTTGTAGAAGCTTGGTCAGACAGGTACAGGATATCATTGCTGAGAAGAACCGTAATGAGACCGAAACCATCGATTACACCAAGTTGAGCGGGCATGAGTTCAAAGTACGAGAGATGGAGCAACAGGTATGTTTATCGATCCTTAAATCTGTATCTATGATATGTCAAGTATCTAACACGATATATAGGTTGAAATTCTGCAACTCGAAAACGCTCTCAGTCAAGCCAGAAAGCAACTTGGTGAGATGCGCAAGATATCGTACATGGAGTAACGTGCTTGCGCTTCCGAATCAAATTTATATAAGCTCACCTCTGTCGAACCCAATATTTTCTTCACTTCGATCACTATGTACGAAAGCGACAAAAGAATACAGACTCCGTCACAACCTGCCACTGAATTCAAACTTGTAGTATTTACTGTTAATTATTGAGGCGCTTTTTGACAATAAGCCAGAGAATTTCCGGGCCGATTCCATACTTGCAAATTAGCAGGTTGTAATTAATAAGTTTTATCGAAAAGCTGCAAGTTAAAGATAAGACATATATTTCTGTTTCAACAATTCGACCTATTCTACATATGATGCTATACCTCGGGTGTATAAAAGAAGCAGGTTTTCCCTCCAAAAACGTTGGTATAACATTGCTTTCGGCGGAATGCGTCCATGAACGATTGGATTTATTGACTGAAAGCGAATTTAAGTGGTCTTGTCCTTGTTGTGGTAGTTGACGTCGGAGTTCCAGCTAAGTAAATCAAGGTTAGTAATTTTGATACGCTGTGTTATCATTCACGTAGCCAGAAAAAGTCATAATACTAACAAGAGAGTCTATGGATTTTGTCAGCATTGTTAGTTTTCCACATAGAATATCATTCAACTCCACGTACCTTGTCACCATCTCCCCAGAAGAAGTTCTTGGTTCGGATGTTCTGGTAAGGGTACTCGACACGGTCCTCCAAAGCAGGCATATGAGACCAATGCTCCCAATGCTCAGTCCAGAGGTTGTATGCGTTGATGGAGCCGAGGATTAGGGTGGGAATCACGGCGCTGCCACACTGTTAGTTATCCGGTGGTTGGATATTCGGTTCATCGAGGTAAAACTAACTAGATGGATAGCTTGCGCCATAGATCTGCAAATAAACAGTTAGTCCCTATATCCCTCATCTGACCATGTTGTCTTTCCGCTTACCGCTGGTGGAGGCAGCGTGAGCCTTAACGGCAGCTCTCTCACGGAGGAACTCGTTGTCGTGAGGAGTCGAGCTGTTCAACCGGCGCTGGACGAAGTTGCGAGCGACGGGAGATCGGATGCTGGCCCTCTGGGCAGCGCGCAGGATAGGCTGACGGGAAAGCATGGCTGGTTCAATTGGTACTCTGAAGAGTCTCAATGATTGATCGTGGTGAAGTCGAGGAACGAAGTGAAGTTGAAGTTGAAGTCGCTTGTGGTTCAAGAATTAGTGGCTAATGATTATGTAATCACATGGCCTGATCGTCATCGCGACTTAAAAAGCCATCGAACATCGACAAAGGCCGAAGAACAGGGGGAAGAGGGAGAAGGCAGCTAAATGATGTGAGGATGATAGTATGCGCTGAAAGATGGTGCTGCGATTAACAACATGGAACGGTTAGTTTGGTGGCTACATTATTGGTTGGCGAAACTGACGACATCGCAGTAAACGGGATAAGGTACCATAGGCGCCAGGCAGCAGCCCTACAGACGACAACGGATATACTGATAATATATTCCTAGGAACCCGTTTTCATACGAACCATGGAGGGGAAACCGGACGTTTGGAGTATGCTCTAACCCGTAGGATGTTGACTGAATACTCTTTTAATGCGTGGTCTACAGACAATGTTTGATATCCTGGAGGCAGATATTGTGGTTTTCCAGGAAGCAAAGATCCAACGGAAAGATTTGCAAGACGATATGGTTCTTGTGTCAGGTTGGGACTGCTATTTTAGTCTCCCAAGGCAAAAGAAAGGTATATATGTTTCGTGTGAGTTTTACCAGTGTTCGTGTTGACACTCTCAAGGCTATTCCGGGGTTGTAATATATACCCGCAGTTCGAAGTGTTCTGCTATCCGGGCTGAAGAAGGTGTAACAGGCGCACTCTGTCCACCAAGCTCCAAAACCCCCTTTCGCCAGTTATCTGCTTCTGAGCAGATTGGCGGCTATCCCTCTATTGAACAGATGGAGGAGTTATCCGAAGTAGACCCTATTATTGTCGATTCTGAAGGGCGATGTTTGATCCTCGAGTTTCCTGCTTTCGTGTTGATAGGAGTTTACTGCCCTGCGGATCGAGACGAAACCCGAGACGATTTTAGGCTTGGTTTTTTTAATTTACTTGAAGTCCGAGTGAGAAACCTTGTCAAGATGGGAAAGCGAGTCATTTTGGCAGGTGATCTCAATACCTGTGCCGGCCCCATTGACTCAGCTCCAGCTCTAGAAAGGATTAGAAAAGGCACTGAAACTGAAGAAGAGTACCTATCTTATCCTGCTAGACTCATTTTCAATAGGCTGGTGCGGCCTGTGGGCTCAACCGCGGATACACATGATACCGAGACACCCCCCGTTCTGCGAGACCTCTGTAGGGAATTTCACCCTGGCCGGACTGGTATGTATACATGCTGGAACCAAAAGGTAAATGCTCGACCAGGCAACTATGGATCCAGGATCGATTATATTCTGTGTAGTGACAATATCAGGTCCTGGTTTGTTGAGTCTAACATTCAAGAGGGGCTCATGGTATGTCAGACTTGAACTTTTTTACCGATTGTTCAAAAACTTACTAACTTCTAACCATCAGGGCTCGGACCATTGTCCTGTTTATGCATCTATAAGTGATAGGGTCCACCTTGACGGGAAGGATGTTCACATTTTGGACATCATGAATCCCAAGGGAACATTCGAAGACGGGGTAGAACAGCCTCGCTCCAACAAGATAACCCCTTTAGCACTATCAGGAAAATTGATACCAGAGTTTGACCGCCGAAGAAATATCAAGGATATGTTCCGAAATCATTCCCTGTCTCGGAACAATAGCGAAGTAAAGGTGTCAACGACAACTGATACTCAGACTGGATCGGAAATTCCTGGACCGGCCTCGCAGACCAAGAGTACCCTAGAAACGAAAGGTGCACCAGTGACAATAAACCCTCCTCCCAAGAGATCACACAGCAAAGGAGCTCAGGCTCCCCCATCTAAGAGACTAAAACCAAAGGGCCGACCAGCTGGCGCTCGAAGCAATGGTCAACAAACTCTTGCTGGGTTTTTCAAGTCCGAAAGGACCAGTCGTGCCGTCAGCGAGGAGAATGCTACGGCTTCTAGTGACTCGCCACAGGAAGCCCCAGCTGAAGTCAAAATAACTCCCGCCAGTGACTTGGCATCTACGGCGGAGAAAAATGATCCAGTTCCAACTGGAGTGATGGCCTCACCCGACAATTCAGTTGTTCCTTCATGTAGCCCAACGGAATCGTGGTCAAAGGTTTTTACAAGGAAGCCAGTTCCAAAGTGTGAGGGCCACCATGAGGATTGCATCTCTCTTGTCACCAAAAAACCAGGAATAAATTGTGGACGATCATTTTGGATATGTCCGAGGCCGCTTGGTCCGAGTGGTGATAAAGAGTCGGGAACTCCATGGCGTTGTCCAACTTTCATTTGGAGCAGTGATTGGAGGTCAAGCTGACTAGCTATAATGAAGGAATTTTAGCCTAACCGCGTCTCTCCTCAAATTTGGACATCTATCGTACTCTCTCCTTTTTGCCGCTTTTTGCCTTCATTTTTGACCTCATGTTGTTGGACGAGGACCACTTGCTGTATTAGTCAGCATCTCAACCTCCAACTCAACTACGCTTTGGTATCAACATGTTAACATGTCATGATTGCTATCATGACGGCTGTGAACATGGACCAAGCTAGAGAGTAGATGATAGCTATACCTAGTGCTGAAATACTTGCATATACCCCCTTGCCTTGTAATGTTCAATTAGATTCTAATTGATAGTTTTTGGGATACAGGTTCTGTTAATATCCTGTAGTTAACAAGGCCATCATCATACATATTTTGGTCGTAGAGTGAATTTCTACTATTTCTAGTGATTCGGATTCACCTATCCTCAAGGTCAAAGCATATCTCGACGTTTGGAGCGTTTCCCTACCTCGTCCAGATCTTGCCGGCGACATAGTATTGTTCTCTACTTTATGTCTGCATCCTCATATTGAAGGCTGGCACATAAATATCTTTCGCGCTAGTGGTTGTTTTGATTTAATTTCCCCTTTAGGAAACGCGGTGGCATAGCAAACAGAAGAACTTTCATTCCCCCCTTGGAGCCACGAATTTCTCCTTATAAAAAGAAACGCCAACTCCCTCAGATTCCAACCCTCAACTTCCAAGTTGCAGTTTCAGTCTCACAACCCACAAGCTTCAATAACCACCTGCAACGACTCAGGATGCTTGAAATTCCACCTCCTCCGCCTCCGAAACCGCGTGTCGTCCTGCCGTGGTCCGAGTATGACCCTGGCTTGCTCAACGGTGAGAATCTGGCACCCACGATTCTTGGAGTATCCATATACTAAACCTATTTTACAGGGGATGGCGTTGCCGTCCGCAAGTGTAGCACTGACTACCTTGCCTCTATTTACAAGACGTGCTTGGACACGTACCGTCCGAATGAAGTCAATCTTTCTCCGGAGGAAGCAGAACGCTTGACTGAAAGTGTTCGCCATGAGCTGACTAGGCTTACCTCTTATCCGGATCTTTTCCCCACGCCAACTGCGCACGAACGCTTTTTCAAGCTCCTACATGAGAGTGTTGCTAAGGTGGTCAAGAAACGTGAAGACAAAGATGGCGAGTCTTTCGAGGACAGTATCCGTCTCCGTGCCAACCTCATTACTAGAGAGGAGGAAAAGATCCTCCAAGGTATCAACCGCCCTACGTACAAGCCGGATTTGAAGCCTTGGGAGCAGTTCCTTTTGAAAGGCAGCCCTGGCAGTGGCGTTGCACTTCCACAGGACACTCCAAATGGTTATATGCAGATAATGCCGATGGGAGGTTTGGCTCTTCATCGGACATTATTGAAAAACAACTACATAGCAACTAGACGTTACAGAGAAGAAGTGGTAAGCCTTTAGAAAATGCAACCATCTGTTATACGGCATTCTAATTTTCATAGGCGAATGGTTTGGAGCCGCCACCAGACGAACATTTCGCTCAACGAACTCCCGAGGTAGGCATATAATCTCTTACTTTTCAACTGTCATTAATCTGAAGGAATTTAGGAAACTGCGGCTATGTTCCATGCGGCCCTTTACCCAGATTGTAAAGTCAAACGTCGAGGCACATGGGTATGTAATGTCGTACCACTTTGCTGTACACCTGCTAATCTAATTTCTGGCAACATGAACAGATGACGCTGACCCCAAATCCGTATTATGAGGTACGTAACATCCCATACCTACATGACTTGCTTATTACTGGTTTATACTAACAATGTGTCAGCGCCGTGTGGCAATCCCCAAGCATAATCGCGTCATTGATCAACTGGAGAGCTTCAATGAAGTAATTGGTAAGGAACTTTCTGAGAATTATATGACATAGACGCTAACTACGATATAGCACGTCTTGAAGGGGACGAGGTGGCTAACGACCATGGGGAGGAAAGTGTGAGGGTCATGTTGTACCGCACAGTTGTGGAGGATGCTCCTGAGGTTGCTGAATAGGTATTACTCAAACCAGGCGCTGCTGACCATCGATCAATCATGCAGAAGGTGTTTTAATCCCGATATGTACTATTAACATAACACCTGGCCTTCCCATAACAACATTGGCTTTGAGTTGAAGCCCGGCCACAAAGCAATTGACAGTTCAAAATTTCACATGGAATCAACCTTCCTCGTAAATGTTGTTTAAACGTCTTACAAGAGGACCTGCCTTTCTTGATCTTGTATTTAGTCATTTAAATACAAATTCTATCCGTCGTTATGTTGGTATGGTGCTTCGTATATCCAGCTTCCTGTCCTTTTCAACTACAGCCAGATGGAAATTTGAATTATTGGCTTTTGGGGTTTAATTATGTAATCAACCAACGAGGTCCGCCTAAACTCAAAAGTGCCTTAATATCTTACGGTACAGGCGTTTAATACCAAGTCGTATCTAAAGCGGGCGCTTAAATTTTACTTACAAGGGCGAACCAGGTCTCCAAAAAAGTGAATGTTATGGTAACGCTCTCTTTGTTTGCAAGTTCACCTCCCAGCCATCAGCAAAACAACTCCTCAACTTGAACATCTTCGCTCTCAAGTCTTTCTGCTCTCTTTCTACTTTCAACAACATCAACTTCTGCAACTTGTTCCTTCTGTTCACTATTTATTTGATCTAAACTCCTCGATATCAACCAGAAACAGCGAGACAAGGTACTTCCAGCATTTCAAAATGTCTGGCACCGAAGTCTCAGCCGTACATCGTGCATTCAGCAACCTCTTGACGACCTTGACTCCTGAGCAGGTCCAAAAATTCATGGAGGAAGTGAACGCCTCTGCAGCCGTCGCTGCAAGAGCTCCCGCAAGTGACCCGACTCAAGGCACCGAAGTCTTATCCTCAAAGGCCTCTTCTGCTGCTATGGGAGCTCCGGAGCCCACTGAAGCTATGACTCGACCTGTATCACGCAAACGTTCTCGAGAGAATGCCAAACTGAGGCCTTTGAACTCTTTCATTGCTTTCCGAAGTATGTGAGGTGCTGTCTTCAATATCCCTACAAGACTAACATTGCATAGGCTTCTATTCTGCTGCGTTTCCCGATCTCTCTCAGAAAGTCAAGTCTGGGTTGCTTCGTCTCTTGTGGAGCTCTGATCCATTCAAAGCGAAATGGGCAATTGTGGCCAAAGCCTACTCTGTTATCCGTGACAAACACATTGGACAGGTCACTCTGGAATCATTCCTAGCTCTGATAGGACCATTCATTGGGCTTGTTTCTGTTGCAAACTACCTTGATACCATGGGTTTGCAGGTTGTCTCGACTGAGGACAAGCATTTTTCCCTCATAAAGGCCAACCCCAATGTACACATTAATCCCATGGACTTGACAACCAACCTTTCTGTTGACGACATCGTCCAGTACTGCTACCAAATCGGCTATGTCTCGGGTATTCATGCAGGCAGTGCATCTGAAAACCAAGGTGCCGCAGTCTCTATGGCTGTCTCAGCTCAGTCGACCCCGAAGTCCCCAGCTGCTAAAGCAGGGACTCCCAAAAACCATGCTTCCAGCGGGCAAACTGCAGGCCACCAAGTTGGAGAGCATATCACAGTCCTAGACACGAATTCTCCCAAGGAAAATGGTAGTCCACAGACTCCCCAGGTAAACACGTCTGTTGCCCCAAGCAACAACAATGCTCTGCCAGCTCCACCAGTGGACAATTCCACCACCCCTCCTGCGGCTCCTATTAACAATGCAAGAACCTCCGGCCCTTACACTCAGGCTGATTTTGAAGGAGATCTGCGTCGTGCCATGAACAACTTTCCATTTGGTAACAATGACGGTTACTATGATCTATTCAACCCTGGACTTCGCACTCGAGTTTACAACCCATACTGCTCGCAGTTTGACGGTTTCGATATTAATGACTACGTTGACATGTGATGAGTTACTTAACTCCTTTCACATTACGACACGTATGAGGCGTTGTTTCTTTACTATGGCATGGAATATGGAGTTTCAAGGATGGGTATGGCAAGGCTTACGATAATGAATGGATCATAGGAAGGGATGGACATGCATATTGGCATCATTGACGTCGCAAATGAGATGGAATTCGGTGTGAAGAAAAGAGGCCCAGGTAGTTCATGGTGAATAGACGTTGATCTGTATGTTATGGCGGGCAAACGTGTACTTTAGATGACTCTGATTAGAAGAAATCCCGAAATACTGTAGTTTACAGTTTACTTTCAGTGTCGACCACTCCATAGAGACCAGTCAGATGCAAGTGACTTCACTGGCAAATCGCTGCAATTTTCCGACAAGCTTGAGATTCCCGAGCTGAACGGAGAGATCTTGGGAGAGAATGGGCAATCAAAAGACCGTCATCGTGAGGTCTTTAAGGCTCATGCACGGCTGTTTGAAGACGAAGCAAACTACCGCCTTTTCCAGCATGTCCAGGAGCATGGACCAGCTAGTATTTACTGGAGAGCCTTCCGCGAGTACTTCACTGGGTGAGTCTACTTTCAATCTTGTCAGACACGGGAATTAATGGAGCTAACAGCTTTACTGCAGAGAAATCATCAATATGGTCGAGTCACACTGGCGTCCTGATCCTCGCTGCGCCCAGGTCCGCATTGATGCCCACAACCTGGCCTACCAGGCTATAAACGAAGTCCCATTCATGTCTACTGCAGAGAGAAACTTGGTCATCAGAGCTACTGGGAGCTATCCTGAGGATGCCATGCCATTTTGTGAGTTTTCTTCTACTCAGGTTACATAAACTAGAATGGAGCATGGCTGATAGGAATATGATATAGTTACTAGCATGACGAGGAACCGCCTTACATATCTCATGGTAAAGGAGATGTCGGACCTGTTCTTCTTTCGAATCAGAGCTCTGGCTGGACGCGAGATTGACCTCAATATGGAGAGAGAGATGGCCCGCGTGACCAACTGGACTGAATGCCAGTAAATTGTGGTGCTATGAGAGGACATAATGTACACTGTAAAGGAACATAGGGACACAAGAATATAAGGAGAAGATGGAAACATGCAAAAGCAGGATGTAAGATAACTAAATGGCTACAGGAACTGATTTCACTTTACTCTTCACCTATTTCCCATCTAGCTCGAGTACATCTATCTCTCTGCTGCCCTGTGTATCCTCCATGCGCTACGGTTGAGCTGCTATAGAGACAGACTTGCAAAGTACCGTCTCCCGGGAAATTAGTAAGTTGCCATGGGGACTTGGAGAGGTTGCCATAGAGACTTTGTCCACTTCACTGCCTCACCACTATCCATCTCTATATAGATCTATGCTCTGAATATCTAGATCAGGACTCACCTTGATGAGACGCAGTAAAGGTATATCTATCAACTAGCATGCTAACTTACCTCTACAAGCCTATCATCCCTTGCCTTTTGGTGCATCTCCATCTCTACAATGCCTTCTATCCCATGCTCTATGCTACGTTGTCTTTCCATGTCGTCGCCATGTCAACCCCCTGTTTTGAAGACTAATCTTGTCCTGCTCTCTTAGTCAGCAGCCATGCGGGGGCGGGGAGGCCGGAAAGGCGGCCGTTACAAGCGCGATACAAGACGTAACTTACGCCCGCCAGAGTTTTTCTGTCACGCCGTTACCGACGTTACTAGCGCTAATTTTAGCTTTCTTTCAAGGGGACAAAGTCTTTGTTTGCTTTCCCAAAGCGGACATCGGGGGGCTGGCAGCAGATTCTTCAGGGAGGCTGGCGGGCGGGGGAAAGAGGGGAAAAGAGGGGCAGTGAGGGGGCTCAGCGTGAAGCCTCTGCGCGGAGGCTGGGAGTGAAGCAGCTGGAAAGATCGCAGCGACGGCGAGGGAAGTCGGGGGAAGAGGATGGGACATATATGGAGATAAAGGCGGAGTTTATTGGGCCGGGAGATCGACGGGATTAGGTAAGCTTGTGGTCGCTTAAGGGAGGAACACACGGACCAGGAGCCACACGGACCCAAGGGAAGATATTTATAGAACTTAAGCGACGAAGACGGCGAGAAGTCGACGAAGAGCACTGAAGAGAAGCAGAAGAAAAGCGGCAGAGATGCTAGCCTGCGTTTTGTATGTTACTTACGGCGGATTTCGACGATGAGCGATGCATTCTACCCGGTGCTGTGGTTCTGCTAAGGCAGCCATGGGTCAGGCCTTGTCAGCTGCATGCTGCATCACATCATGCGAGGTGATGGTGACTGCAGGATCGCCCAGCCAATAGACTGACCCTGCTTACTGCCCAACCCTGCCAGTGACAGCGGCCATCGGTGAACAGGAGTTGGCGATGGAGACGGGTTCTAGAACAAGACTCGTCCACGCAGGTGCTGCATCAACCTTGTTCCGTTTGCAGTCCTTGGAAGGCTAATTTGTACGAGGGATTTAAGTTATACAGGGAAGGGCCTACAGTACAGTGACAACATGCGATACAACGTTCATGGATCAAGGAGCATGGCATTTTAGCGTAAAATAAGTTGACATTGCTTCGTTAGGATAAGACAACCACCCGTTTCACAGAGTAGAACAGAAGACTACCGAGTCAAAACATAAAACGCCTGCTCCAAGGATGAAAAAAAGGGTTGTTTTGTGAATATTTTTATTATTTGATTTCTTTTGTTTTTTTTACAGCGACCAGATAAACTCTAGTTAGTCATGGCACGGCGGCGGTCACGCTCCTCAGCAATGGTGAGCTAGATAGATTAGTTAGTACAGACAAGAATAATGAAGCAAGGGAGACGAGACATACCTTGACACCCTTGCCCTTGGGCAAGCTGACCCAGGGCTTCTCCTGGCCGATGACAAAGACGTTGCTCTCACGGGTAGCGAAAGTGTTGTCAATGGCATCCTTGATGTGGACAATGCCAAAACCACCGTCGTGACGCTCACGGTGGGTGATGACGCCGACACGACCCATGTTGCGACCACCGGTGGCCATGGCAATGACACCAGTGTCGAACTTGATGAAGTCAGTGATCTTGCCAGTGGCAATGTCAATCTTGACAGTGTCGTTGACACGGATGCTTGGGTCTGGGTAGCGGATGCTAGAGATATATACGTTAGCTCGTAATCAAAATGGATGAGACAAATGTCATGTTCATAATATATGAACGCCGTTGCCCTTGATAGACCGAAACAGCAAGCAACAGACGTTGTTTCTTGTTTCGATCTGACAAGAAATGCCATGGTATGATGGTATCCCGTCATCCGTCTCGCAAACTTCAACTGCCATCTCCGTTCGCTCCACGCACGACGGGAATCAAACCAAACCTTGGTCCAACGACTGAATGACGCATAAAACAAGAGTGCAAAACTCACGTTCTAGCATCGTGCGTAACCAAGAATGGGATTCCGCCCTTGCCCAGCTGGACACGCTTGACCTTGCCAAGCTTGTATTCGGCCTCCTCGGCCTGGATACGGTGGACGGTGAAACGGCCCTTGGTGTCGTAGATGAGGCGGAAGTTCTCGCCAGTCTTCTCGATGGTGATCACGTCCATGAAGCCAGCAGGGTAGGTTGAGTCGGTGCGGACCTTGCCGTCGACCTTGACCAGGCGCTGCATCAAGATGGAGTTGGTCTCGCGGCCATTGAGGGCGTACTTTAGACTGCTGCGAGTTAGAAATGACCCAAAGAGAAAGCCTCAGGCAGGGAAAAGGAGGTAACAAACCGGTTACGGAGAAAGACAATGAGGGGGAGACAGTCTCTCAGCTTGTGAGGACCGGGGGATGGGCGAGGAGCGTAGGCTCCGGACAATTTGTCCAAGAGCCAGTGCGATGGTGCGCTCAAGCGCTTCTGGTGCTTCTTTCTGTTGTGCTGTTAGTTATTTTGTTCTTCTCATCAATTAATACCATGGAGAGCAGTATATACATACGGTCCACGAGCCATTTTGATGTATTTGTCGACGTTGGAGTTGGGCTTGTCGAGAAGTCGTCTGTGTCGCCTGGTCGCTGGAGAGAAGGAAAAAGCTGTCGATAGAAGTTGAAAATGGGCAGTTGTGGATTCGCTAGCTCTAGCCCTAATTTCTGCTTTGGGTTACTGCTTATGTAAGGATTTTTTTGGTTAGTAAGCCGGTCTTAGTCATCCGATCCAATTGCCGATTGGCTGTTGCCATCTCAAGTCGATATCTTTATCTCCTTTTTTATCTCCTGCCCTTCAATCATATCATAGACGGGATAGAAAGATTAAAGACATGGATGGCCATAAAGATTCTGCAGCAAAACACTGATATTTCCATGATTCATATCTAAATACAGACAGCCTAACCCAAGCTTTTAGCTTCTAGACAACCTGCCTTGACAATACACGCTGTTCATAACCAGATCAGTTAGCCTCCCTATACCTAAACGACATAAAGCCGACCATATCGTAATACTCGCATTGAAAGAAAACTATACAAAAAAAAGAATGAAAATGTGAGAAGAAACCGAGAGTTTTCACTTCTTTGATTTCATTTCTTCCTCACCGGGCACTGCATCGAATATCTTGCCAGGATTCAGCAGCCATAACGGGTCAAGAGATCGCTTGATACTCCGCATGACATTAAGTGTGTCCATGCCGAGCTCTTTAACTAGATATTTCTTCTTTCCTAAGCCAATGCCATGCTCACCCTATTCGGCATTAGTTGTGATACAGGGGTGTAGAGGTTTGAGTCTAACTCACAGTGCAAGATCCATCCATCTCCAGAGCTCTGTCGACCATGTCGTGGACGCACTTTTCGATTCTAGACACTTCCTCGGGATTGTTCCTGTTGTATACTATACCTTCGTGGAAATTGCCGTCTCCAATGTGTCCGACTATGCCGGCAAACAAGTCTAGCTCGTCAAGATCTTTCTTCGAGAGCTCTGCAATCGATACGTTAGAAGGCAAGAATATCGGTAAGGAGCAGAGTGAACGTACCAATGATATCAGGAAGTCTAGACAATGGGACAGCAACATCCGTAGACCAGATGTCATCTGAGCCTTCTTTGCGAAGAGCCAGCATGCTCCAAAGCGTTTGCTTTCTAGCAGACCACAGCTCATGGCCCTCCTGGTCTGTCCTTGCGAACTCAAAGGACGTGCTATTGTGCTCTCTTGCAATTGACTTCGTCCGGCTAATCGAGTCAGCTACCCCATTGCGAGTACCAGAGAACTTGAAGAAGAGAGTCGTCGCAGGTTTCCAGGTTCTGTTAGTCCCACCAGCTCTGTTGATGATATCCATATGGACATCATCCAGTATCTCGACACACTGCACCTGCACGCCCGAACGTATTACCGCCATGGCAACGTTAGCTGCGTCTCTTATAGATGGAAACGTAGCAATTCCCACCCGGGATTCCTCTGGAATGACGGCCAACTTGAGCGTGGCTTCAGTGACTAGCCCGAGCGTGCCCTCCGACCCAACGAAGATGCCGGCAAGATTATACCCTGCCGAGCTCTTCCGAGGCCGGTTGCGCGTCTTGATCACTCGTCCGTCGGCTAGCACGACGGTCAAGTTTATAACCCAGTCCTTCATAGTCCCGTATCGAACAGCGTTTGTACCGCTGCAGTTGGTACCAATCATACCTCCGATCTTCGCTGACGGACCCGGATCAATGGGGAAGAACAGGCCAGATTGTTTGATCTGTTCGTTAAGTTCCATCCATTGAATCGAGGGCTGCACCACAACGTCAAGATCATCGGGATGTAGTTTAATTATCTTATCCATATGAGCGAAGTCGATGCTCATGCCACCGAAGGGAGCCGAGAAGTTTCCCTCGAGACTCGACCCGCCGGAGAACGGAACCATAGGCACCTTGAACTTGTAGCAAACTTGAGCTATCTTGGAGACATCGGCGGTTGATTTGGGATAGGCCACGGCAACTGGTAGCTGGTCACAATTGACCGTTGACCATTCAGAGTATCCGTGTAGTCGTAGGTCCTCGTCGTCGGTGCTAATGGCGTCTTCACCTAGCACTTCCCGCAGTTCTACTATTGCCTTATCAAGTTGAAAAGGTCAGCCATTGTTGTAAAACAAACGCATATTAAAAGAGGATGGAAGAGTATTAACCCGTTCAAAGTCCTTGATCGAGCCGTAGACAGGCGAAACCTCATGTTTGTGGCCCAACAAGCCGAGAGAGGCAGAACCGGAGTTATAAACACCGAGTGCATATCCGGCACCGATAGCAACAGCCAGAGCACCAACGACCTGGCCTGTCTTCCATGGTAAGCCTAGTGACACTTCAGCTCCTCGTCCAGCTGCGGTGCTAATCCAACGACGCGCTATGTTCTGCCCATGGTGTTGGTGCGGCTGTCTTATCGCCCTCAGCCCGCGCGGGATCGCCCTGGCAGAGAGCCGAGGCGCGAAGTTCATAATGGATTTAATATCAGTCTGAAGCCCTGTTTGGTAGCGTCCGGATGCATGAAGAGCAGATTGCGTTTTTATAGCCTTGCCTGTAGAGATCTCTCCAGCCTGTCAGCAGTTAGTACGTTAGTTTTCTGTCATTATAACACAGCCAGAGACAACACTCGGGCCCTCTGCTGGTTCCATCGTCGGCTACCTCGGCGGCATCAAAGATTGCCGACCCTCGCGGTGGACCGGGGGTAAAGCCGGCCGAGTTTGATGCCAAGACGTCCAAGCTCACAACTTAAATATTATGCTTAAAAACATGTTTATGCTAATATTGATGACGTTGCGCTCTATATGATGTGAATATACTGCATACCGTAGTCAAATGGGGCGCGCGAAGCAGGCAGTTTTATATAGGGATATCCAAAAAGCAATACAACAGGATATAGTGCTAGACATGGAACAAGATTCGTTAAAAAACCCCCGAGAACAAGCCGAAGTACATGATAGAAACAAAGGAATAAAAAGACAGATAGGAAAAATATTACTCGACAAAGCCCTTAGTGACACTGGGCGCTGAAGAGTTTTTGGCAGAAGCAGTCCTGGTCTCGATGTTGAGTAGAGTGCTCTCGACAGCAGCCTGAATATCAATGTGGAAGAAAGGACGGTTGATGCTGTGTACATTACCGACCCGCCGGGGTAGAGCGTGCGAGGAAGAGTTGACCTGGTTGGTTATAATCTGAGTATTGGTCTTCTCATCCTCGTACTCACCCTCATCAGAGGATGGAGCGTGTCCAATCTCCAGGTCATCTGAGGGAGCAGCGGGGTTAGACGATGCGTTGGCTCGATGAGATGTACCAGGCTTGTCATTTACGACTTCCTCAGCTCCCACGGCAGCAACACTGAAGATAGGTCGCCAGTTCCCGAGAAGCTCAGGAGACTTGGGAGACGGATAGCCAAAGCCAGCGGAGGCGAGGGCGCGTTTGGTCCAGCGATTGGAGATGCAGGCGAAGTGCCATTCTACTATCTCTGGAGCAGCATAACGGTCGAGCTGGTTACGGACGTCGATTAGGCCCTGGATGGAGGACACGTCGACGTGATTAACGGAGGAGAAATCTAGAATAATGGCCCGGAGAATGGGGCGGGCATCGTGAACATTAACAGCTTCACTACGTCGTGGACCGGGGTCATTCCATGGTCGATCCTATTCGAGTTATTAATTAAGACATTCATCAAAGGTGAGTGAGAAGGTAGAGCATACCCCGAGCTTAGCGAAGGTGTCGAGCTGGGTGCGTCTGGTAACCTTGAAGATGTACTCTGTCAGGTGGTGCAGGTAGCGACCTTCATTGGGATATGTGAAGCCTTCATTGAACCGGTAGATAAAGACACCTGGATGAGGAGATTGGGCCTCAATCAGCGGGTTCGAGCCGTCCTGGTGTTCGACTGGGAGGAAAGCCTCCCGAGAGTTCAACTTGGCATCTTCACCGAACTTGTCGCTCTTCCTTAGGCTGTCGTCCTTGGTGACTCGATACACCTTGACCTGGCCGAGGAAAGTTCCCTTCGCTTTGGCAATGCGATAGATCAGCAGAGCAGCAGAGGCAGCAATGGTGAGGTAAATGCCGTTCTCAATCTCGGTAAAGATGGTGAGCAGCACACCTCCGAAGAAGATAAATACTTCGAGTGGTGAGACTTCCCAGAACTGGTAGACGACGTTGGGAGGCGTAATCAAGTCACCAACAGCGTGGATAATGAGGCCAGATAAACTAGCAAGGGGAATGTAAAAGAAGACAGAGGTAAGGGCATAGAGGGCTAGAAGAACAATGACGGCAGTGAAGATGCCAGCCAGAGGAGTGCGGACACCAGCCTTCGATTTAATAGCTGTTCGGGAGAAGGATCCAGTGGCAGGATAAGCACCCAAGAAGGGGCCGAAGAGGTTGGTAAAACCTATAGCGACGAGTTCCTGGGATGGGTTGATGACATAGTTGTTGATTCTGCCAAATGACTTGGAGATGGCGATGTGCTCGATGATGAGTACGATGATTGTTGCTGGTAGATCGGGGGCAAAGGCCTTCACTAATCTTGCCTCAATCTCGGGGACACCAGCATGTTGGAAACCTATTCAGTCAGTATATGAGCATTGCAAAATGAAAATGAGATGAGACACACCTTTCGGAACAGGCCCGAGAATCTTGAACTTAGCCTTCTTGTAATCCTTGACATGTCTATTGACGAGCCAGCTGATCATGGTATAGAGCAAGATGACAAAGGTCATTCTCAGGGTAGAGATGAAGAACCACATCTTGCGTCTATTGGGTTGTCTCTGGGACATATAGTTGCAGAAGAAGCGAATGACATAGAGAACAACGAGAGCACTCAGGCCCATGGCAGCATCAAGTCTGGTATGGCCCAAATTCTTGAGGACATTGATAAAGACCTTGTACGTTGACTCCCTGTTGTTGACCTCCTTGAGGCCCATCATGGCCGGAATCTGGCCGACACCAATAGAGATGGCGGCACCAGTCATGAAGGAGGTGATGGCAACCAAGGGGATAAACTCAACTATCCAGCCAAGTCTGGTAAGACCAATGAAGAGCAGGAACCCACCGGCGATGAGGGAGAGGGCTCTCGCAATAGTAGGGGCTGAAATATCAGGCTCCTTCGCCTGGACTTTGGTGACAATGTTGCCAACGATGGTAGACATGACTGCGACGGTCTGGAGTCATGTTAGGTTTTATTCTGCAATTGATGAACTGGCTTAATCGAGGCGGTTGGTGTGCGTCTACTTACTCCTATCGTGATATCCTTCGAGGTGGCGAAGGCCCAGTAGAGGATGAAACCGACGAAAGAGGTGTATAGTCCATATTCAGGGGGGAGTCTGGCGAGAAGGGCATAAGCCATGCCCTGAGGCACGACAACGAAGCCAACGGTGACACCTACACCATTAGTATGCCTGTGTATAGATAATTCAAAGGAACGGCGGAAACAGCTTACCGGCGATGATATCGCCTATGAGCCACTGAGTGTTATAATGGAAGATCCAGTTCCAGAAGGGAAAGAGAGAGTTGAAGTAGTCGACCGTGCCCTTCACCGTAGGCGAATGGTTCCTCAACCACTCCTTTGCCGATGGCTCATCTTCGTCAAAATGCTCCAGAGACCGTATGGACTCGGCAGCTGTGCGCATCGATTCCCGGGGCTCCTTTCTATAGTCAACATCGATCCCCACGGCCTTTGCCAGGGTCCGGCCGAGCTTGCTGGCAGACATGATGACTATATGCTTCTGATTCCGCTGTCCGCTCCTGCTGCTAGACAAACGGACTCTGGTAGATGGAGAAACACTGCCAGGTGAGGTAACTCTGGCGGTATTTATATATATACCGGCGGACTATATCTCGCAGCGGGAAACGAGACAGACGGTTGAGTCGAAACTCTTGGCGAAAGAGCTGTCCATGTGGTAGAAGCCGTATCAAACCATGCGCTACCGGGGAGACGGGAAAGCAAATGGCAAAAGAAACGACGTGCTGGCGTTCTGATTCCATATATTTTATTTTCCCGCCTCTATATATGGGTGTCTATTCAGCCGGTTTGTAGAAACCCCTGTAGCGTCATACATGGCCGCCCTGTCGTCAGCTGCAACTTGGCAAGCGCGAGAAGCCTCCTGGCGCAAACGCTAAACGAGTGCAAAACCTTGAGTTCAGACCATTGATCTTCGCTCGGGGAGCTTCCACAATATTTCCGAGTCCGTATATAGACATACGGAGCGTCCATCGTCCAAAAGACACCGTGTTGAAGGGGGGTGTTGCTTTTTCTGCTCCAGCTGCATGGGCATCCCTCGTGGACGTGGTAAACTATTCTCGCGGACTGCCATGTGGAGAGAGCCTGAACCTGTCTTCCTTCCCACCGAAGCAGAGCATGCAAAGCTGGTTGAAAAGGCCAGAATCCTTCGACAGGGGCAGCAGTCGGGACTCAGTCTGGAGCAATATCTCGACTCCCAAAACACAGTGTGCCCGGCGTCTTAGCACACCAAGATGGTGTATACTCTCCGTCCTAAAGCGCCCAAAGGCCCGCCAGGGCAACCATATCACGTTCGAGGTACGCCACTAGGGAGAAGAAGAAGCCTTGGAAATATTAAACGAGACGCCTTGGAAACTCTTGTTCAGGCTTGCCTTTCTTCTGTCTGGTCTGCTTGATCTGTGTGGCTGCGGATGTCGTGATTCTGATTGAGCTGTGGTGGGCCATAGAGTTGGCCAAGTGTTCCTTATCTTTGGCCACTGTGACGATGCAAAATAATATCTCATGCCAGCAGCGGCAGCCTTAGCAGCTCTTAGTATAGTTAAGTAGCCTAGGTACTCTGTATACGGAGTCACTAGCAGTGCGGCAGAGTAGCTAGTTAGACGACTGCTGCTGCGTCGACCCCTGCTGGCCGTCTCGGGGAGAGGTCGGAATGCCTTCTCGCTTTTTATAGACACAGTTGGCAAAGACACGGAACGGCTGAAGATCGCAATGGCCGGCCGTCTGTAGTCCTTGGCTGCAACACAAGCTTAAAGAAGAGTAAATAAACCCGCTGTCCAAGTGGATGGGCTCCGTACGTACCCAATAATACTTTATGTCAAGGAGGATCGCGGAGGCTGGGAGAGCCACCTGGTGGTTCGAAACACGGGGCAACGCCCACAGCTGTAACCATGCTTCCACGATGGACCGCCTGGAGAATAATCATGTATAACCACCATCCCGCCGCCAGACGCTCAAACAGCGGTGGAACAGCGTTCCTCGTCTTGGACTGTAGCACATCTCCCTCCAGAGTCTGAGGAATGCCCCAAGAGGCGGCCAAGAAAGACTCTTAGATTAATCCTGCGTCCACCGCTCTCAACGCCCGTCTTCCTCCGTCGTCTTCTTATTATCGTGATCATCGTCGACGAGTCACACGGCGCTGCCGGTCTCTCTCTCTTTCTGCCTCTCTTCCCCTTCTTGTTCCTTTTTTCTTCTTGTTGTCTGCTGCTGCTGTGGTGGTATTTTTGGTATACGATGGCATGAAGCTTCATCCCTGGCGCAAACCCAACCCGAGACCCCGGGGCGAGTCCGAACATACAGTTCTGAATCCTGCCACAGACGGGGCTCCATATATAATATGCATTAAGTAGCAGACCCCAGAAAATTCCCGCTTGGCCGTTAGACGCTAGGTGAAATTAGCTACCTGGGCCTTTTCTCAGTGGCTTGACTTCAGCATTTTGCTTCGCGCGGCTTGACTAACTAGTTAGCTAGTTAGCGGACGGCTCTCGCGAAGCCTTCAGGCCGTCCAAGGCGCTGCCCAGCATCGGCGCAGCTGGAAGAGACACTCGCGGCATCGGGAATCGGTAGACATGGATCTGCTCCTCGTCTCCGTTCTCCGTTCTCAGATCTCGGGACGCTTTCGGGACAGACATCGAGGTTTGGGCAGTCCTGCTTGTCTTCCCCGGCTTTGGCGTCGTTCTGGTTGTCCCGTTCGATCTTGCAACCTTGCTGTGGGACACGAACGGAAGCGATAGTCTGATGCAAGGCTCTTCTCCACTGCCATGCCTAGCGGGCTGGAGAATGATGGTGGACAACCGATCGCGATGTCCTGCGTGGTGACCGTTAACTGCTCGATGAGCGACGGACGACGTTGAATATATATCTCCATCTCGTCGTTTCTTTTGGCTAAACAGGGGGTTTAGACGCGGTGCATCTCGGACGATAAGTTGTAGCTATACGGGCTGCTCTCCCGGCCGAACCAGGGCATCTTTTCTACGCATATCTAGATGTTCAACGTCGTCGCTGTCGCTGTGGTTGTATGTTTTGTATGGCTTGTTTAGTGCCTGACCCTGGATCTCCATCTTCAGGCGGAAGAGAGATGGATGCACCCTTTACGCCGCCCCATGGGGCCTTGCTTGGCCTCTTGTTAGGCTTCTGAAGCAGAGGCGAACAAGATTATGGCTTGAGGCCCTTTTTTTGTTTGGGCTTGTTTGCTTTTTCATGGCTTGCGAAGCTGATTGTCTGCTGAAGAATTTGCTATGCGAGACTGCAGATGCTTGAATATTGAACACATTTTGATTGGATTAAATATTACACTGCAGACACACGATCAGATTCTCAAGTATATCTAGTATTCTTACATACCTTTGTATATGTATGGTCATCCGTTAACTTAGAAGAATCGATGCACAACTCGCTTCAGGAAAGATGACTGCTTGATCCGGTCTATCTCACGGTTGTGCTCCTCCCAGTCAATCTCACGGCGGCCGGTGTCGACGTCGATGTCCTCGATTTTTGTCCAGCCCTGTCGCTTCCAGAGCCAGCCACACAACCAGAAGAAGAGCACTACGGGAAGAGCGAGGTAGGCCTTGAAGAAGCCTTCGGCCGATGCCTCACCCTTGAGAGGGGATACTGCGATGTAGAACTATTGCCAGGGGTCAGACCATTTCCATCCACATAGTTACGTACTAATGAAGTCAAAAGAAAAAAAAAAAGGAACAGGAAAAGCATAACATACCTGGGCAATGAAGACAACAAAGATGATGAAGAGGCCAACCCACGATCCATATACTCCAAAACAGGCCTTGAAGGGAATCTCGTCTAGAGACCTGCCTTGACGTGCCCATGCGGCTCGGAAGCGAATATGCGAATAGCATATCTACTCTAGTCAGCCTAGCAGCTCTTTTAGACAGAAAAATTGATTCAGAGTACTAGAATGGCGGATGAGGTTAGTCAACTCACGCTTCCCCAGGTGAACAGGGCAGTCAAGCCAGAAAGAGCTTGCAACCAATCAAATATGACTGGTCCCTTCCCAGAAACGTTCACGTACGCCAGCCCCCCAAAGACAATGACCAATATGGTGGAGAAAAGCGGCCTGCCCGCTTTGTCGACGTATGAGAATATACGGGGTGCATACCCGTGCTCGGAGATGGCTGTCAAGGTTCGAGATCCGGCATACACAGCAGAGTTTCCAATAGAGAGGACCGAGATAAGGATGATGACGTTAATGAAACTGTCGAAGCCGTACAGTCCTGCATCCTTAGCAGCAATTACAAATGGCGAGGCATTAGAATCCGAGTATGTGTTGGCGCCAAGTAGCCGTTTATCGTCGCTCCGTACCAACAGGCCAACGAAGAAGAGGCCCAGGATATAGAAGAGGATGATTCGCCAGAAGACTTGCTTGATGGCGGATGGGAGGGATTTGAGAGGCGTTCTACTTTCCGCTGCTGCCAGTCCAACTAGCTCCGTGCCAAAGAAGGCAAAGGCAGCCGTCACAAATACGGAACAAAATCCTATTCACCAGTCAGTATCTAGCCTCAACATGTTTGGGGCAATATTCTGTCTCTTGTACTCCGTAGAGTTGAGACATGAACACATTTTATTGTCCGGCAGTGAAGAAACGACATACCCTTGAAACCGTTGCGGAAGGCCCCTGGATCATACCAAAGCCTTGCACCCCAGTACTGCCCGTAGAGGCCATCCTTTGGACCGCCTCCACATGCCAGTACAATAGCGGTTATCATAAAGATGACAATGGCGGTGAGTTTGATCGCACTGGCCCAGAATTCCTCCTCGCCGTATCCGAGCACTCCAAAGATATTGATGATCACAATGGCAACCAAGAAAACTGTTATCCATACCGCGACACTGATATCTACTTTCCAGTACGTTATCGTGAGGGAGGTTACGGTTAGTTCTAGCGGTAGGACCACAAGCCATTGAAACACATAGTTCCAGCCCATCGCAAATCCCCACGCTGGGGAAATGAAACGGGCAGAGTAGGTATAGAATCCGCCAGAGACCGGGAAGAGAATGGCTAGTTCGCCTAACGCATGCACGACATTGAACATCATCTATTTATATCCATGTTAGCTTTCTCCTGAAACCCTGGGGCACTTAGTTAGCCACAGACAACATACCACACCGATGATCGCAAAGTCGAGGACCAGCGACGCAGGACCACCCTTTGCCAGCGCAGAGCCTGAACCGACAAATAGACCTGCACCTATGCTTCCGCCGATTGCGATCATATGCAGATGTCGCGACTTGAGTGTCTGGTTGAGTTGATTCCCACCAGTCAATCGTCGTCTCTTGAATGACTCCGGTGTACATCCCAAACGAGTCCAGAAACCAAGCTCTTCCCCTTTCTCTTCCAACGCCATGTCAGAGCCAGAGGAAGTATATTGCTGCACCCCCGGGCTTGACTCCTCCATGAGAACGCCTTCCACCTTTTCTGAGGTCATGTTGGATGTGTAGATGTCAATAGATGTCAATAGATGTCAATGGCCAACCTGGCTTAGAAGTGACCAGCAGCTGCTCGACGATCAACGGGCAACTCTTTTTGGGCTTTTCAAGAAGAAAAGGGGAAAAGGCTCAGTGAGAATAATTGAATCCATAGAACTGTGGGGAGGGGAACCAGAGCCCTTTTAAATTCGCCTCTTCGCCCAGATTGACTCTGTACCCGCACCGGACAAGCGCACACGAGGAATATGGGGAAATTGGACGTACACTCGGCTAAAGTCAGGTCCAAACCCCAGAAATGACTGAAACAATCTCGGCCTTATCATGCGGTTATACTAATTAGTTCGCGCGTGGGAATGGGAGGATTCTGGGCATCGTTCGCCATCCCTTCTCTTCTCTTGCGCAGAATGCGGAAAGACATTCGCGTAACTACGTCACTGAGTGCTAATTCTTGGTACCAGGTTCGGGGGAATGCTATTCATTTAGATTTCTTCAGCCACCCAGACGATCATTTTAAACTCGTGTATTCCGCCATCGTGGAACTGCGTCTCTTCTCCAGGCAAATCATCTGCCCGGCGATATCTTCTCGGCGCCTTTGAAAATTGATCAATAATTTGGACCTGCGGGCGAAGTTGATAGGGAAAACTCTATTTTTCTTCTAGAAAACTTTAAAGTTCCTCGGGTATTATTCGATGACCTTTCCTCTTTGGGAAGATTCTGGATCTCTTCTGCTTCGAATTGTTGATATTTCATTCGCATGTCGATATACGGAGAACGGCAGAGTGTTCGCTGTTTATTCGCTCTAGGATGAGGCTGTATTCACTGACGATGCGGCTCCAGCCTGTGAAAATATGACTTGTGAGTCAAGCAAAAATCGATTTCTTGGTGGGTGTTCGGACTTGCTCACACGGCTGAAGTCCGTACGGAGTTCACTTGATAACTAGTCGGACAACCGGGTCATGGTTGGACAACCGAGAAAAGCAATTCTAACGACCCTACCGTGAACGACTTCGCAGGAGGCTGTAACATCCTATCACAATGGCCGCTCCGTATTTGTCTGCAGCCGAAGTTGGAGATATGAACATCATACGGAGTACGAGTCATCCTTTGCTCTCTTCAAGGGGCTAATGCCGGCTATCTCGAAGGGCGGAAAGCTGCTCCACTTGCCAAGGTGGAATTTGGCGATGAATGACAAAAAAGACTGGCTCACATCTTCAGGTGTATTATTACTCTAACAGGTGGCACATTATTGGTAGTTTGACAGGTGGTGTCTAAGGGTGCGGCGATAACAAGAAAAAGGTCGATACGTTAACTAACTAGTTAACAAGCTGGTTAGTTAAAGGATTGCCTTGTGCGGGTACTTCCGCTCCCCATGGAGAATCTCCAGTTAGAACTCTGTAGCTCTACCATGAGGAATCATTTATTCTCTTCCGGAGGAATCAGGATCTCCTCTGCGCTCTTGGTGTGGCCAAGTGCAAGTGCCTGATGGCAGGAGACCATGAGCCGTAGTTCTCGGGCCACCTGAGATAGCAAGTTGATGAGTCATGGAAGCCGGCGGTGTGAAAGACAAAGTACTTACTTGGGCCGGGTAGTTTTCTCCAAATGAGTCCGTATTCATCGCGTTTACTTTGTGTGTAGGATGGCGTAGCTGGTACGAACCATGTCCTCCACATGGCCCAGGCCTGCACAGTGCATGCCAGTAGCCGCCTCTCACACGGGTGACTTGGGAGGACAAGCCACACGCATGTCGTTCCTTTGATGTCAACCAATCCGGGTCTTTCATTCAGGCCATCAACAAAACAGCGTTGATGATCTACCTCACACCGAAGTAATGGCGGTATCGCCAGCGACGCATTCCTCCTCCCTTCAATCAGTTACACCCTTCAGTGTTTCTTCGTCGTTTTGTACATGTCGAGCTGCATCTTGGTTTCATCCTGGTGAAGAATCCTTGCCCTAAGATCGACTGGCGTCTTGGCAACGAAGGCCCCTTAACTCACGTTGTTTGCCACAAAGGGCAGTTTTTTCACTTCTCACCGTGTCTTTCGCGATGGTTGCGATGAAACAGCAAACAACAAGAAGATAAACGCGTCCTTTGTCTCTCTTAGATTCCTTTTTCAATCCGGTCGGCTCTGCAGACTTTTATTCTTATTTTCCGCCTGTCTGCTGCTAGAAAGAAAATATACCACGGTACTTTCCGCGCAGTAGCTTTGATACCGTGAATGGGCAAAAGTTTCCGTGGATTTGATATGATGAAGTGTGTCTGGCTGCTGAAATATAATAAATCCCCTTAAGTTTTGCTCTGCTTGGTATGATGGCTGGTGGACTTGCATCTTTTTCCTTCGGACAGGTTACATTTGAATAAAGATATCTCCGGCACTGAGACTCGCCTTTTCAGCCATAACCGGCTGGGGAGGGTTGCTGTTATAGTATAAATATTGAGCTGAATCGAAGGATCTTTGTCTCGGACTGGAGCCAACCTCAACAAAGGCTTAGCAGGCGTGTAAGAGGGTTGCCTTCACTTGTCGAGCAGAGAGAGACAAGCACATAAAACATCTGCAGTGCTTCGTCGTCCTGTTTCCATTCAATCAATTTTATACACAGTGCCTGAGCTGTATCAGGGGACTCAGCTGGCGGTCATATGGACTCCGCGCAGAGCTGCACTCACTGAGACCGAGGTGATAGTCCCCAAGCAAGATGGGCACCGATACTGTAAGGCGTTTCTTTTTTTTCTTTTCACCCTTTTTTTCTGTTGCAATGATATATATTCCCAAATATATATCTGGATGTTTGTCAGTTGTTTGGTTTAATCAAAGGGCCAAAATAACTGAATTACTCACCTTCTGTTTCTAACCGCTTCCTGCGCGGTCTCTTCTCTCCATCTATCTACTCATAGACAATTACTCGCCTGGCTAATATCAACTCTCTGTAACACTGTAGCTTTCTGGAGCGGTGGCGGCCGTGTCAGGGCCAACTGATATCCAGGTGAAGAAGACATCCTCAAAGCCGCCTAAGATCAAGGCAAAGAAGGACATCAAGCTTAAGACACATTCAAAGGCTCCGCTGAAGACAGACATAGGCCCCTCGAAGGCTACCAAAGCTGTCAAAGTGGGAGTGTTGAAGACCCCAAGCAAGGAGAAGGAGAAGAAACAGGCAAAGTTATCTACAACAACAGCAACGTCTCCACCTTTAGCCTCGACCTCAACTTCAACCTCCGCAACAACACCACAATCTCTACAGAACACCAACAACGACGCCCACCCGCCCAAACCAGGCTCATCAGACCTGCTGGATAAACAGGCCAAAGCAGTTCAGGCTCGTCTAAAAATGAACCATTACGCCAACCGAGCAAGGTGAGCTGGTTCTATGGCATCTCTGCTGATATCAAACAAAGCACGTCACCTTCTGCTCATTCACTTGCTAACCACCTTTCACTCCCTAGACATCCACCAGCTGGTCGAGGAGGTCCGATGAATTATCCAGGTCCCAATGGACGCGTTCCTGGTGCTTTTCCTCCTGGAATCTACACCCAGAGCCCGCATAAGCCAAACCAAACAATGCTGGAACGCGTCAAGCCCTCGCATCTAGCTCCTCATTGGATCTCGTGGGAATCTCTGGCGGTGACGGTATCAAATTTTCCTCCTAATGTGAATACTTATACACTTTGGAAGTCATTCAGTGCCTGTGGAACAGTAGACTTCATCGAATTATTCGAAGACATCAGAGGCAAGAGAGAGGGAAGGGGTCGGATTCGGTTTAGGTTAGTAAAAGGTGATTGTGACCAATTTCATTGACTAAACTAACATTGGGAAGACCGCCGCCAAAAGAATCCTTCTGGTTAGATGGACGGCATGTATTAGAGCTCGAAGATGGCCAGCGTATCATCATCTCAGTTCGTGTGGATACATTCAGACGCAGAAAGGAGGTCCCTAGCCCAGTGGACCCAAAAATTATGTATCCTCTGTCTCTTGTAAGTGGCCTGTTTTTCTTCTGCTCGCTCAATGGCACAGGGCTAACTGACCATCAAAAGGAGGCTGTGGGTAGATCACTGGATATCGGCTGTCTTTCCGGAGAGCAATCCATGATTATCATGAGAACCATTACTGCTAGCTTCCAGGAATATATTCGTTTTGTTGCTGACTTGCATCGCCGGGAGATCAATATTTTCTTCCAAATGGTAAAGACGGAAACACGATTGCCTCCTGCAATCCCGCATACAGTCCATAGCTACCGCATTCGCATCCCCTTTGTTCATCTATCGCGTATCAAACGCATATCAGAGAATGATGAGCTATCTTTCATCTTCTCGCTGGACTCTCCGCCTTCATATCACCGGAAATTGCAAGACCTGTCGAACACTTTTTCAGAAGCTGATAACATATGGCGTTCTGATGACACCTGGTACCGTCAAACTGATATTGTCCACAACCCGCTCGACCTAGTTCATTCCAAGACTAGCCTTAAGAAGGCCCACCCTGTGATCAACATAGGTTCGTATTCCAGCGGTACCTGACTAATAGTGATTGATACCCCTGCTAATAAATGTGCTCTCAGGACGTTGGACAACCTTTCGAGTCACCTTCCACTTGCCTGATGCGGATAATACCCAAAGCCTGGATACGCTTACAAAAATCCTAAAGGACTTTAATGTCGAAATCCAGAATATCAATAGCTTCACGTTGAAGAGACATCCTCCCACAGCAGACCTTGCATGGAGATGGATTGACCCTCCTTCTACTTATGCTTCTAAACGCACATCATCCCTTGAGGACCTTGCAGAGAACGAGTACACGCATATCTCTTATGCTGTGCGATATCAACTCGAAGTCTGCATTTCTCATGGGTTTCTAAGTGAATACACAATTGACAAGGATTTTGCCAAGAAGCTTGAATCTCTTGGGGAGCGTGATGGTAAGGATCTACTGGAATATGTTGCCCAAGAAAAGACCGTATATCATGACCCAATGGAGATCTTTAACATTCAGTTCTTCTCTGGTGTAACAAATCGGAGAATCCCAAAGTACTGCTGTTACATGCGCTCAGCAACCGTTACTCCCTCCACGATCTACTTCAATACCCCTACAGTTGATACCTCCAATCGGGTGATAAGACATTATATTGAATATGCAGACAGATTTCTTCGCGTCCGGTTCACTGATGAAAAGTACGAAGGAAGAATAAATTCAACCTACAACAACTGCATGGACGAGGTTTTTACTCGCGTGAAGCGGACCATGACCAATGGAATTACCGTAGGAGATAGGCACTACGAATTCCTTGCATTTGGCAACTCTCAATTCCGAGAACATGGGGCATACTTTTTCGCTTCTCTGCCTAATCTTACAGCTGCAAATATTCGTGCATGGATGGGTCATTTCAGTGACATCAAAATTGTTGCAAAGCATGCCGCTCGGTTAGGTCAATGTTTTTCAACCACCAGAGCTGTTACTGGCTGTCCAGTAACCGTCAGAACAATCGACGAGGTCGAGCGCAACGGATACATATTCTCTGACGGGGTTGGCCGGATCTCTAAATTCCTCGCACAAATGATTATGACCGAGTTTAAACTACAAACTCCTTCCGAAGAACCTCCATCTGTATTCCAGTTCCGGCTTGGTGGCTGTAAAGGAATCCTGACAGTCTCACCCGAAGCTCAACGCCGAGAAGTTCACATTAGAAAGAGTCAATACAAATTTGCAGCAATTCATAATGGCCTTGAGATTATCAGATGGTCTCAGTTTGCGGCAGCACATCTTAATCGCCAGCTCATTGTGGTATTATCAGCTTTAGGTGTCAGTGATGAAATTTTCATCCAGAAGTTGCGCTTGATGCTCGAGGATATGGAGCAGGCGATGACGAGTGAGACAAAGGCGATGTCTATGCTTCAAAAGCGTGTTGATCCAAACCAAATGACGCTCCTACCCGCTCAAATGGTCCACGATGGATTTCAGGGTAGCTGTGATCCATTTGTTAAATCATTACTGGAGTTGTGGCGCGCATGGCAAATCAAATATCTGAAGGAAAAAGCAAAGGTTTTTATCGATCAAGGAGCCTGCTTGTTTGGCTGTCTGGATGAGACGGCAACGCTGAAAGGTTACTATGAGAAAAAGCGACCCTCGATCGAGGCCACTTACGAGGAAAGACTAGAATACCTTCCTGAAATTTTTGTCCAGGTGTTCGACAATGAAGAGGAGAAGAAGTACCGGGTAATTGAAGGACCTTGTATCCTGGCAAGGAACCCTTCATTGCATCCTGGAGATATCCGTGTGGTGAGAGCTGTCAATGTTCCAGCACTTCATCACCTGAAGGACGTCATTGTCTTCCCGCAAACTGGGGATCGAGATGTTCCAAGTACATGCTCTGGAGGCGATCTAGACGGCGATGACTACATTGTCATCTGGGATCAAGATCTCGTCCCACTCCCCAAGGATTGGTTCCGTGAGCCAATGGACTACACCGCTTCGAACGCCCAAAGCCTCAATCGAGATGTTACTGTAAATGATATTACGTCATTCTTCGTTACTTATATGAAGAACGATCGTCTTCCTCAGATAGCACATGCACATCTTGCCTTTGCAGACTATCTAGAGGACGGTGTGAATGACGAGAGATGCATTCAACTAGCCCAGCTACACTCTGCAGCCGTTGACTACAACAAAAGCGGCATACCGGCCAACATGACAAGAGACTTGGTTCCGAGAAGATGGCCACACTTTATGGAGAAAAAGTACAAGCCAAAAGAAGCGCAGTATCAGTCCAAGAAGATCCTCGGTCAAATATATGACATTGTTGAGCGCGTTGAGTTTCGACCGAAGCTTGAAGCCCCTTTCGACGAACGTATCCTTAACTGCGATATTTCTGTCAGCCAGGATATGGTACTGGCCGCAAAGAAACTGAAAGCTCTTTATGATGCTGACATGCGGAGAATCATGGCTCAACATGAAATCAAAACCGAGTTTGAGGTTTGGTCGACCTTTGTCTTAGGTCACGCGAACATGAGCAAGGACTATAAGTTCCACGAAGAGCTAGGCCAGATATCATCTGCTTTGCGTGAAAGATTCTTGTCAATGTGTCAGGATGAGGCTGGTGGAAGAGATTTCCAGCATCTTGCACCACTGGCTGTCGCAATGTATAGAGTGACAGCTCAAGAAGTAGCAGACGCTTTGGGCAAAGAAGAGTCCTCTAAGGGACACGATGTCGGCAATGCCATTAAGAAGGACTATAAACACCTCAGAAACGACCAGATACCTCTCATTAGTTTCCCCTGGGTACTCCAACCCGTTCTTGGAAAAATTGCCAATAGGCACTTTGACGACACAGGAATTATGGAGGGTGCAGGCAAACTTGCGACATGGTCTTCAGTTGCCTATGAACAATCGAGAATTCGCCGAATTAACGGTATCAAGGGTATTAATGATGCTCCTCGTGACGTTGAGACAGCCGGAGGCATTCAGCATGCAGGAGAAGTGCTTGAACTCTTCCAGGACGACTTGGGTTTTGATCCCTTTGATGGGCTTGGAGACGCCTTCGACCAACTGGCCTGTCATCCGAATGAAGACGACAAACACGCGGTTGACCAAGATTCCCGCTCCAAGGCCAAGTGTGCTATTCCACTACTGGACACTGAGCAATCTGATAGCCTAATTGAGGTTGATGACGATATCTTCACTCCTATTACCCCGTGTACAATTGACTCAAGCCGACGCGGATCGGTTCCGATTGAAGAGCAATCAAGCTTGCTCGATATTAGCAACGAGAACACTGAAACCGAAACTCGTAAAAACTACAACACAGAGACAAAGCGCCCCGTTGCACATCCACGGCCAAAGGAAGGCCAGGAGAATCAACCCCCGCTGCAGAAGAACTACCTGACTTCTTCATTCCTCGACGGCCCGACAGGACCAGACGAGATGATCGATGATGACGAAGAAATAGAGATAATGGAAGACGACGGGGATGTGGATCCCTCGGCAGTCAATCAACTGGAGATGCTCCTTAACATCTAGCAGAACTTAAACTTCTTTTATGTGATTCATAGCATTTTGAACTTGCGACGGCGTAACGTTCTTATGGGACCAGGGCGGGGACATTTATTGATTTGCAAGATATGGCGGTGCATTACCTTGATACCCAGCTAGATCCCTATTAACTAGTACAACGAGGCTCAAATCCCAAGCTATTCTATAACTACTTTGAGAAAATGCTTTAGCTACGTTCTTCCCTCTCCGCCGAGTCCATATTGATAGTGTTATTGAAAGTAAGGAACCGGGTACCTTTTTACAACGTAAGCGTAAAAGGCAGCGGTAACTAGTTAGCGTAACTTAGGTCTTAGTTATCTTATCTGATGACTGAGTTTGCGAGGAGGAGGCGACTTGGTTGATCCCCGAAAGGTTATTTCCAGCAAACGCAAAGCAACGAGGGTGAATGAAGTCTGATATCTCGCCCACTCCCTGCTTTCTCACTACTGGCAAGCGGAACAGCACAGCGAGAAACACTTATCCGCCGTAAAGACCGCTTATAGAGAGCTAAAGAAGAAGCATGTCTTCGGCAACAGCACCCTTGTTGGCGCCATACACAGCCCCGCCACCGTATCAGTCTCTACATCTCATAACATCAGTCCTCGGGTCAACGAGCAATTGGCTTGTGCTGAGGTGCCTCTGTGATACTCTACAGATACCTTTGCGGAGAGGAGGTAATATCGATGGCCTGGAAGATACAGCTGGCCTCGAAAGAGACGACTCTGTAAAAAGATCCAAAAAACGAAAGGTCGTGCTTGTCAGTTTCCTTCGGGGTTGGGAATTCTGGAGGGCGGAGGCAAGGAGAGTGGTATGGTCGCGAGCCTCCTTGATAATACTTAATTCCGCTGTCAAATCATACTGATATTACTCTATATAGGGTCTTGATTTGAATAAATTATCCAAGGAAGGGAGATTCTCGTTCGTTGATGGGGTAACCAACCTCTTTTCCCCCTCCCCTGCACTTCAAACGCCGAAGTCTGTGGCGCCAGGAGAAGCTCTGGCGGCCTCAACTCGCGCTAGAAAGAGCTCAATATCTTCACCTTCTTTCCCACTACCTGATAGAACTCCTCCGAAGTCGTCATCACAGGTTGCCCGCGCCCCCAAGCCGGGACCAATCTCATTTTCTGGCAGAGCCAACCCGTTACTTGCTCGCCCAGCACCCCCAACACCACCTATTTCTTCTGCTCCTCCTACGGTATTTGCTACGCCAGAGTCTTCTAGAAATGATAACCGCCATAGCCAGAATATACGGATGCTACGCTGGGCACCATCTGCGGGAAATTCTGGTGGCTTGGACGGGGTGGAGAAGGTCATTACCTCTGCCATAGCAGACATCTGCAAGGGGCAGGAAACCCCGGAACAGGCTGGTGATAATGATGTGCTCCTTGTCCTCGACCAGCCGGATTTCCTTCTCGCATCCACGGGCCCCAGCATGCAAGTCGGTTCCACTGAGATGGGTGAATTGATTATGGGATTGAGACGTGTACGTTGGACTACTCAGATTGTCTGTATCGTGGTTGACGGTTACTAACTCTATGTAGCTTGTCCATTCTACAATTATCACTGTGGCGGCTGATTCGCCGCTCATGCACAGTAGCCAACAACCCACACCACTAGAAATAGAACATTCAGCGTTGGTGGTGTCACTTGCCCACCAAGCGCAAATGGTTATGCAGCTGAGAGGGCTTGACACCGGCGTGGCCAGAGACGTGAGTGGAGTGTTACGGGTGAGTAAAGGAGGAGCGTTAGCGGACACAGACACCCTTAAGAATGGGGAGAATGACGATACTTGGGAGGAGAAAGAGGTCTTATACTTTGTCCAAAGTGATGGATCTGTGAAAGTATTTGGACGCGGTGAATAGAGATTTCCTCGGATATACCCCTAGCGGAAAAAAACGAAGTGCCTTTTCTTTTTCCTCTTTTCTTCTTCTTCTTCTTCTTTTTTATTTCTTCTTTTGGAATCATTTTCATTGACATCTACAGCATAAGGCGGGTCTCAACATTTTAAGAGTCGCGAAAATGGTTGTAAAGCCACGAGCTCATTAATTGACAGAAGATTCGATGATGGTTTATTGAAAGTGGGAAGAGAGATCCCATGCAAACCTGCCATTTTCATTTCCATAGTTTGCTCCAGTCCATGAAATCCGTTAATTTTTGTTATATTATGTTTGGGTATGACACAAGAGAAGTTGATTTTTCCTTCTAATTCCCATTTAACACACATAATAAATGTCAAATGGTGTCATGGATCAAAAACAAGTCCCATTCCGCTCGCAGGCTACCCTTTAGAAATAAGAGGGTTTCGCCACATCTTATCGAACTCCGGAAGGAAAGAGAGGGGGAGGAAAATAAGGAGGTGTTTGATTGTCTATGCCTTCTCTGGGCCACGGGCGCCCTTGGGAGCTCCGGTCTGGAAACCGTTCTTGAACTTGCGGTCGACGGACTTAAGGTAACGCATGCGGCCGGTACCGGTGGTTCTTCGCCGAAGGGCCTTCTGACTCCAGTTATCTGCAGAGTAGTATGCCATGTAAGTAAACACTCGCCAATAGTGCCTCCCGGGTGCAACATAGTCCTCGCTTGAGGATACATGATTCCAGTTTGGTATACATACATTTGCGCATCTTGGCAGCTGGGTAACCGCACGAAGCGCATGTGTGCTTCTGGATGTGGAGGGATCGCAGGCCTATATGTTCCATCCGCTGTCAGATTCTTCCGTTTTCTCATCGTCGCCATCCTAGCATCTCATCCAATTTCCCTGGCGGTAGCTTTGGGAGCCTTAATATTCGTTTATCAGGATATCACTAACCGCACCGTCTGCACAGAGTGTGCGACTTGTTGTGGCGCTTTCCGAAGCTGGAGGTTCCCTTAGCTGTTCGAAGAAGTCAGTATCGCATTCATCGTTATCGTCGACTATTTTATATGGATATTTTCGAGATTTTTCGGTTCACGCGAGGATGGAGGAAGCCGTACTCATCTTGAATCAGGAACTGTAAAGGCGGTGATATGTTAGCAATCCTCTTGGTAATGGAATATACGTGGAACTGGTAGCAGGAATTCCCGTACCTTCGATGGTGCGTCTGGAAGCTCTGATATGTCGTCGTCGCTGGTTTGAGATTGCAGTTCCGCTTTGAAGATTCGACTAAGCGAATTTGTTGTGGGAGGGTTAAAGCCCTCGCACGTGACTCTTAGTAATAACATTTACGGGAAACGTTGAAACTATAATCCGGTAAATTATGTAATCATTGACGCGAACTCTATCAGGTAGGCGTTTGGGTGGAATAATATGAAGAATGAACAGAACAACCTGAGTATAGAAGGTAGACTGAAGATGCATGGAAATGACATATTTGCTGAAACGCTGGCAATATATAAATACAAATTATAGAATCAACTCATCAGAGAGTTATGAGACCAGTTCGTCTTTACCAAGAAAAGCTGCCATGGGGTCCGCGGCAGCAGTTCGAGCCTTCTTGTATGCCTCTAGCTCCTCCTCTGTAACGCCCATTTCAAGCTCATGTCGGCTCCGTTTCTTTTGTGCGTTGGAAGCGGGTTTGTTTCGGCCCTCGTCTGTGCTCTTATCTTCCATTGTATCTTTAGTGAGAGCTTGTTCTTGGTCGTCATCCCCTGCTTCTATCTGAAGCATATTCTGGGCCTGCTCGAACGCCTCTATTCCTTCTTTTCCGGTACAATAGCTGTTCTTCACTGTAGAATGGCAGCAGGCGTATCCCCATGTGAAATTTGACCACCAACTGCCCCAGACAGAAGTGTGGTTATTGATAAGCACATTCTCTGCGTACTTCGATTTGGCAGCAGGTTTAGGCTCCCCCTTAATTGCTCCTGTTTCATCGTATTCGACAAATCTTTCGTTTTCAATGACCGCCATGTCACGCAAAGGGCCTGCCTGCAAATGTTCTCCGCCACCATATTTCTCCAGTAATGCCTTCTTATCCGCCGCCTTCTTAGCATCCATTTCAGCCTTCTGCTTCTTCCTATAGTACTCTCCGGATGTAGGGTTGGCTTGCAGATGTTGTCGGTTAGCATCTCCTCGCTCTTGCGTTTCCCAGGCGTATCTCTGTGCTTTTTCAAATTCTTGAGCGTCACCAGAAGCTCGCATAAAGTTCTCCTCCGCGACCAGCGCGGCTGCTTGATCCGACTGTGCACCCATATCAACCATAGATCGAGTTTTCGGGTCGTACTTTGCCGAGTCAAGGTCCAGGTTAAGCAGATACTTCGCTGTATCTTCTCGTATTCGTAAATTCCGGGTTCCTTTGCCCTGCTGTCGGCCCATTTCTGACTCTTCAGCATACTTTGCTTCTGATGTGCCATCGCCATCGCCATCAACGTCATCATCACCATCTTCTCCTGTTGCCTTCTGCTCTGTGGATGCATTATCCTTTGCTTTCCTCTTCAGGGCCTCCAGCTCTTCATATTCTTCCACAACATTTTGGTACTCCTTTGCGTCGTAGCCGTTCCACCGATCTCGTTTGGCATCCCACCCCAACTCCACCTTCTGTATATGCTCGTCTGCTTCAATATCTTTGCCAGTCCATTTAGCACCATGCTTTCTCGGCCTGCTCAAACACTCCTTGGCCTTATGTGTCATTGCGCCGCAGTTTTCACAGGCACCTTTCCGGTATTTGGTGGCTGCCGGGCCGACACGCTTCCCTCTATCGTACCATTTTTGATCTTCCTTTTCTTTGTGGAGACGCTGATGCTCGAGATAGTCGTTGGCGGAGGAGTCATCGTCAACGTAGAAGGGCTTTTTAGAAATGAACGATGGGATATATTCGTTGCGCTCCTTATTCGCAACATCAGTAGGCCGCCGTGACATTTTTATGGTAATACCGTATATGTAAATATCATAAATGTCAAAAAATTGCGTCAAGCAAAAGCGTCCTCACTATTGGATCTGATATCTTGTCTTCTTAAGCTCAAATCGTCAAAGATACCTCTGCTTTGGAAGAGAAAAGTTAAAGTCACGTGAGTGGCGCTAGGCCGCGGCTTTCTCGCGTCTTCAATTTAACCAAACATCAACCTTCGGATTTGCGACTTTGGACTCAAGGCTCGCTCAACAGGCTTTCTTTTTGGTGACTTTGCTTCTGTCGATGGTATAATACCATGATAATGCCTCTGGCATTTCTCTATGTATTTGTTTTACTTAATTCCAATGCCATCACGTCAATACTTGGCTAATGCCGGTTTTTCGCGTCCTACTCAACTGTGTGGACCACTACCAGGCCACCCCGACAGAACTTGATCCTCAGTTTACATCCGATAATAATGGCCCCCAACTAAGATCAGGGTCCATAAAGGTTCCAGTAATCCGGGTTTTTGGTGCCACTGAGACTGAACAGAAGGTATGTGCTCATATACATGGAGCATTACCTTACCTATACCTTGAGTATAAGGGGCCCTTGGATCCCGCGGAAGGTCAGGAATATATTCTCTTCTACAGGTCCTAGTCGGCTAAACATCGAATAGTGAATGCTGCTATCCGAAGTTTACATGCATCTATCGATCATGCGCTTGCTCTTAGCTACCGGCGAAACCCTCTTGACCCTTCAACAGCATTCGTTGCTTATATATCACTGGTCAAGGGGATTCCATTCTATGGCTATTATGTAGGATATCGGTATTATTTCAAAATATATTTACTGAACCCACTACATATGACACGGCTTGCAGACCTTCTTCTCCAGGGTGCTGTAATGAAACGAGCTTTGCAACCATACGAAAGCCATCTGCAGTTCATTCCTCAATGGATGTGTGATTACAGTTTACACGGATGCGCTTATATTAATTGCTCCAAAGTCAAATTCCGCCCCCCAGTGCCTTCTTACATCAGTCTCGAAAATCCAGACCATTTTTGGCATGACGAATCGATTCCTCAACGGGATATATCCGACCCTAATGAGTTTCCTAGGCAAAGCCACTGTGCAATAGAAGTGGATATCCACGTCCAGGATATATTGAATCGCCATGAAATTAGGCAACGAGAGATACACCATGATTTTGTGGTAGAATCTAATCAAGGATTTATCACAGAAAAGCTGGTACCAAGCTTAAGGGTTCTCTGGAAAGATGAGGAGAGGAGAAGGAAAGCTAAACTTGGCTTAACTGGCTCTCAAGGTACTCCGTTTTCACAAAAGGACCTAGCTTCAATGTCATCCAACCCTCGGCAAACACATTCAGGTGGCTGGATACATGAAAAGGAGTTCCGTGAACAAATAGATGCTATTGTGGCAGAAGAGCGACGAAAAAGGGATAATTCGCCTACAAGGAGCGATTTTGTTCGCCACCCTGAATTTCATGAGTTGGTTAAGACCGCCTTAGAAAGTGTCCAGGAGTTATATCCACAAAATTTGCTGAGTTCGCAAGCAGATGCTATCCAATCTCAGATCAGCACAGAAGCCAGTAATGGCAATGTTGAAGTTGACGAAAACCGTATTGACTCTTTCGGAGTGGATACATTTTTTGATACCGGTGATATAGACGACTCTTTAGCTCGGGACTACCAGGAATTAGACGATGTGATTGGCAGGAAATTAGCACCAAACACAAAGCAATCAAACAAGAGCGAACCGTTGGATCCCGACGTCTTCTTGCAGTCTTCCCAGCTTGAAGAAGTTGGTATCAAAAGATCTTCAGACCCAATAAACAGCGAAAGTGACTTGTTTGAAATTGATCCCGAGTTTTTGACTCTAATTGACTCCAAGCTCAGAAAACGAGACCTTAATGAGGAGTCTTCCCCCGAAGTGTCGAGGGACAAGAAGGCCAAAGTGACTGGAATGCCCCAGACGCAATCATCGTTCATGGCCCAATTCCATTTGTCCATGACTGGGTCGACACACGAAACAATCATAGGAAAAGGTGATTCTTCTACAAGCGATTCTACCGCTTCCTCACAGAAGCCAAAAGCCTCTGGCGGAGATAACCAGCGTCTCTCTTTTCCAGTTGTTAAAGACCCCGCCAATGCAGCTACGGTGCTGAGGCTGAGCCAACAAAACCAGCAGACAAAGAAAACGCTAGAGACCTTCAAAAGAGAACGTTTCCTTCCCGAGGGGAGTACCTCTCAGTCTAATACGATGAATTCTCCAAACGAAGCGAAGGTCGGACCTGCTATTACCAATTCACAAGACGGTTCAGAAAACATCACGTCATATCAACCGCCCAAAGCTAGAAAGGTGTATTGTTTTACTCAGCAATGTCCATCAACTTCATTAGTCCGTGAAACTATATCAGACAACTCAAGACCAAGTGTCATCTACCAAGGTGCTTATTACGGTAATGATAGCGATGTCCTTGAGCGCACACGTGAGTATGCTGGCAAAGAATTTAAACTTGAAAGCAATAGCCTGCCGTTTCTTCCAACGTTTGATCCTACAGGAACTTCTCCTGCTATGTATGGCGAAAAACCCGCGCTTCTGCTGGATCGAACGGCTTTCGAAGAGCAGAACAAAAAGCTGCGCAGAGCTTGCAGTTTGCGGACTTGGGAATTTGCTGCGAAAGCTCCTATTCAGAGCGACGTTGTTGATTGGTTTGAAAAGGGAGATATTCAGAAGAACCGCCTTAAAAATGCTTCCGCTGGTGCTACTGTGCGAGACGTCCCTGTTTCCCAAATTGATGCGTCCACTCAGCACAATAAGCATGGCTTCAAATACTCCCAGCGGACCAAATCGTCGGCTGTACAGCATGAAGCCAACTATATGAGTGTGATGAGCTTAGAGGTTCATGTCAACACCCGTGGTACACTAGCTCCTAACCCCGAAGAAGATGAGGTAGCCTGTGTATTCTGGTCAGTTAAATCCGAGGAAGAAGGTCGACACCGTGGTATTGTAGTCCTCTCGGAAACCTATGGCCTTTCATCGAAGTTGAAGCCTGAGCCCAGACTAGAATTTCAGGAGGAGATGTCTGAACTTGATCTTATGAACCGAATTGTTGGAATTGTCAGGTATTATGATCCTGATATACTGACTGGCTATGAGGTTCACAATGGTTCGTGGGGCTATCTGATCGAACGGGCCCGGAAAGGCTATGATTATGATCTATGTGATGAGTTCTCAAGAGTCAAGTCACAATCCCATGGACGCATAGGTAGAGAGACAGATAGGTGGGGTTTCAACCATACGTCCACCATTCGCGTCACTGGGAGGCATATGATCAATATATGGAGAGCCATGAGAGGAGAACTTAACCTTCTTCAGTACACCATGGAAAATGTGGCTTTCCATTTGCTTCACAAGAGGATCCCTCATTATCCGTTTGAAGATCTTACACGGTGGTTCAAGAGTGACAGACCTAGAGATGTTGCCAAAACTATACAATATTTCTCTTCAAGGGTCGATCTTAACCTTGAAATTCTGGACGCTAACGAGCTGATCTCAAGGACAAGTGAACAAGCTCGAATTCTGGGAATCGATTTTTACTCCGTATTTTCAAGGGGGTCGCAGTTCAAAGTGGAGTCCCTAATGTTCCGCATTGCTAAGCCGGAAAATTTCATTTTGATATCCCCAAGTAGGAAGCAGGTTGGTCAGCAAAATGCATTAGAGTGTCTTCCCCTAGTCATGGAACCTCAAAGCGATTTTTATACCAGTCCTTTACTTGTGTTGGATTTTCAATCTCTCTACCCAAGCATCATGATTGCCTATAATTACTGCTACTCAACAAACCTCGGCAGGATTGTCAACTGGCGGGGTCGAAACAAAATGGGCATCACGGACTATGAAAGGGAGCCTGGCCTACTGGGCCTATTGAAAGATAAGATTAACATTGCGCCGAATGGAATTATATACGCGAAACAGGAGGTTCGGAAGTCACTCCTTGCAAAAATGCTGACTGAAATCCTTGAAACTCGGGTCATGGTGAAAAACGGCATGAAAGAGGACAAAGATGATAGGCCTCTACAGCGTTTGCTGAATAACCGACAACTGGCTCTCAAGCTGATTGCCAACGTTACATATGGCTATACGTCCGCCTCTTTTTCGGGGAGAATGCCATGCTCCGAGATCGCGGACAGCATTGTCCAAACAGCCAGAGAGACTCTTGAAAAGGCAATTGCACTCATCCACTCTGTGAAAAGATGGGGCGCTGAGGTTGTCTATGGGGATACTGACAGCTTGTTCATCTACCTAAAAGGCCGTACAAGGGCAGAAGCCTTTGACCTTGGGGAAGAGATAGCCAAAACTATAACAGATTCAAATCCACGACCAGTTAAGCTAAAGTTTGAGAAGGTATACCATCCATGCGTGCTTCTTGCCAAGAAAAGGTACGTCGGTTATAAGTATGAGTCTAAAAATCAGGAAAAGCCTGAATTCGATGCCAAGGGTATAGAAACTGTTCGAAGAGATGGGACACCTGCAGAGCAAAAGATTGAGGAGAAGGCATTACGGCTTTTATTTGAAACGTCAGATTTGAGCCGTGTCAAGGAATACTTTCAAAAGCAATGTTCCAAAATCATGCGGGGAAAGGTTTCGGTGCAAGATTTCTGCTTTGCGAAGGAGGTTAAGTTAGGGACTTATAGTGACAAAGGTGCCCCTCCTCCCGGTGCTCTCATCAGTGCGAAACGAATGCTGGAGGATCCGAAGCTGGAACCGCAGTATGGAGAGCGGGTACCGTATGTGGTCGTTTCTGGGGCTCCAGGCGCGCGACTAATTGATCGCTGTTTCCCACCGGAGGTATTACTCCAGGATCCCCAGCTGGAACTTGATGCAGAATATTATATTTCAAAAAACCTGATTCCTCCCTTGGAGCGAATCTTTAACCTTGTTGGCGCCAACGTTCGACAATGGTACGATGAGATGCCAAAGTACCAAAGAATGCGCCGGACAGAAGGAGCCTTGAACACTCCAGCTGGACGGTCTGGTCAAGATGGCAATAATGCCATGTTTAAGAAAACGCTGGAGTGCTATATGAGATCATCTTCCTGCGTGGTCTGTCGGAGCAAGTTGAACTCTGAAGAGCAGCGACAACAGAACCAAGCAATATGCAATGTGTGCCTCCGTCAACAACCACATCTTTCGCTTTTCAAGCTTGAGTACCGGATGCACGAGTCCGAAAGAAGGGTAGCCAATCTACGAGACGTATGCCGTTCTTGTATGGGCGTAGGTTGGGGCGAGGAAATCAAATGCGATAGTAAGGACTGCCCGGTTTACTACTCTCGGATGAGGCAAACTTCAGATCTGGGACATACCCAAGCACTGCTCGAGCCCATAATTAACGTTCTCAATGACGTGGCTAATGATAATAACGAACCTGATGGACATAACCCCCTGAGTTGGTGACCAGTGTATTCTTGAACACGCATGGTCTAGCCCAAGCCTGCTCCTGCTGCTGGATAACTGGAGTCAGGCAGTGTTCATATTCATGTATAACTTTGTATATAAATGCGAATGTTTTTGTAATTAGTCTAGAGCAATGCAGCTTGAATGTATCTCGTGAATGTTTGCTCGGATATCCAGATGCTCCCAAAGAGGCATAGCCCCCAACGCCAAGCCAAGCCTTTCGCTGCTTTTTCGCCTGCAACCAAACTTCATCTCGAAGACGGCACAACAACAACGACAGCATTCTTCCAACTGTCGGATAATCAGATAATTACACGATGGCTCAGAAGGATATGCGAAGAGCAGACCTGGGTACGTTGTCCTTTTGTTCTCGGCGGCTTATCCGGTTGATCAGTTAATCATTTGCCATCCAACGACTAACATGTCCTTCTGCCTCTCAGTGGTACCCTACGAGGCTCCACCGATCAAAAAGACGGACGGTGATATTTCTGGTATGTTTTTTGTCAATATTGCAGGTTCAGGTATCCATAATGAATATCTGAGGAAAGATTTCGCGGTTGTTGTCCTTGACTAATATTTTGTCGCAGGTACCATTGCAAGCACCATGCCAATGGCTGCTGTAAGTTCCATCTTAATCCTGCCTAGGCAGCTCGGTCTATACAGCCGTGCTAACCATTGTGATAAATAGATGTTCACTCGAAACAGGCATGTGTAACCCAGCCTGCTATTTCTTCAGGGACGTTCAGGCCTTATTTGTGGCACTAACTCGAATGTTCTTGTTTCTGCACTTACAGGATGATCGGATGGTACGTGTTCATCCTTTCTACCATATATACGCGTATCCAGTTACTTGATTCTTTGGGACCTCGTCTCCCTTATTCTTCTTTTTATTCCCTTGAATACAAGCCGTCACTACGGCTGCAGTTACTGTTACACTCTGGAGTGATAGCTAACATCACCTAGGTCTTCCCTTGTCTTCACCCTCCAGACATGGCTAGCGGAAAGCGAAGACCAAAGAAAGGCATCTACCACTCCCGCATATATGTCCGTTTTCATGTCAGGTACGTCATACTTCCCCTTTCTCTGAAATAGATATTTTGTATTGTATATTAACCATGCATTTAGCAATGGCTGTCATTGTGGTATGTACCCCTCCGCGCTACTCATCTTATGATTAGCGGTATAGAGATAACTCAAGGCACATACTGACTGTTTCTCCCCTAAGACGTATATGCCTCTTTTCCTGCCACCACCTCAGGCTGCCAACAAAGCTCCTCCTGCACCGGCTTCTTAAGGACTGACCGTGTTTATACCATTCCATAAATTTTGATGTACCATTCCTTTGACTCGGTTCGTGTATGAAATGATCTTGTATAAACACCTCGCGCGTTGATGATGTTGTTACCAAAAATTTATAAGCAGTTAGCTACTCGGTTTTCCCTGCTCTGGTGGCCTTCAGATATGCAGGCCATACTCAGTAACGATGGCAGCATCTCGAATTCAGCCCAAGCTCCTGAACATCACAGAAAAGCGAAGAAAAAGAAAAAAAAAAAAAAAAAAAAAAAAAAAGAGACCACAGCAAGACAGAGAGTTAGTTGATTCACCCGACCGTCTGGTACAGGGTCAATCCCCTTTTAGAAGCCATCGCCTTAGCTGAAAACAATAGGTCTTTGGCGTGCGCTTAGACTTGCCCTAGTTCAGCTCAGCCAGCTAGGTTCCTTCCCTCCCGGGCCCTGAGGTAGGTCCCCAGGCAGCCCGGGAAAACTTTTACCCACTTCACTCTGTTTCGACCTATGTCGTGACCGTGGATCAACATCAAGGGACAGCTACGATTAGCGGCCGGAGTCCAGCATCGAGAGATATTGACAGGAAGGCTCAGAAATGGACTGATAATCTGTGATTCAGATACCATGATCCTGTGGCGAGTAAACACCTCAGAATTTTGGCCCGTTCGAATCGAATCAGGCGGATGGTGCCTAGCAACAAGTCGGTTATAAATGGGCCTATGAGAGTAGAGAACTGGGGGATACGACTGCCACCCGAGAACTAGGGTCTCCATTACTATATGTGGGGGCTCCAGTCTCTGCACTGATGGATGCCAATCAGTTGCTTCCTCGCCAGTCCTCGAGTAACTTGTCAACAGATTAGCTCGATGGGTCATAACAGCAGGTAGTTGCGATTACGCAGCATCAACGGCCCATACCACCTTATTAGCGCCTTTCCAGGCCATATGGCAATTTCATACACTATGGTGATAATTGTATATCATGTTTTGATGGCTTAACCGCATCAAATCCTGGGTTTGTCGATCTGACGAGTACTCATGTGTCCTCATGACATTCTAGGCCCGGGGTTATATAATACGATCTAGTTTGCCCAGAGCATGGTTTCGAGAAACAGTGTGCCGTTACGACTTCGGAGGTATGACTTCTCCGATGGCTGGACTTAATTCGTCCCCTGACCAAAATTGGAGGGGAAAAGGCCATATGCTCCTCCTTTACGGAGTAAGTATCACGCATACGGAGACTCTGCCAGTGACGGTCTCTAACAAAACATTCATCCATTCGACATATTAGATATTTTTATGCAACATTCTTAATCCACTTGGATGCCAACTCATATACTTCATTCCGTCCCCGCAACCTTAAAACATCCCGCATGATCGGAATAATTAGCCTGCAGTCAATAATCGGGCTTTTATCGGTAGGGGATTAAAAGCCCCTGTTTGCAGCTCTCGTTCGCTGGGGAATATGGATTCACGAACTCAATTATCAACCCCGAGGGGGGATATCCAGCTGCCCTTCCGCTCGCCATATTCTGTGTGCTGCATGACAGACGCATCATATTCTGCCGTAGCACTCCCTACTGTGCAGACATCTAAACGTTAACACTTCTTCGTCCTAAAGCCATGGGATTTATCCAAAATTCTATCTTCCAGGTTTTATCGATAAGGTAAAAAAAGAAAACAGAAACAAAAGAAGAAACTGTCATGGCCGCAGGGAGTATCAAAGCCTGAAAGCAATCTTCAGCCACCAAACCACTTGGGTCGTGCTTCCTCCCGCATACCTAGTTCGAGGATACATTGATAGCCAAGCCGCACATAAAATGGCGGAGCTAGACTCCAGAAGGAAGCTAAATCCAAACCCATCTCGTCGGTGGAAACTCGCCTGATCAAATCACGCACGCTCACCTTCCTTCATCCTCGCCATGAGCGTGGCTCTGGCCATATAATGTTTTCTCAGTGTTCTGGCTCTTTTCAGTTATCATATTCAGGATGGAAGTCCGCATCACTGAGTAGTTACTTCAAATCAGATGGCTGAATCGCCATTCATTCCATATGAAGGAATGCTCCGTTTTGATTGAAGTGTACGGGATACATACGGTATGTGAAGCACTTATCCATCGCTGTCCACCACCAATCCGCGATAGTATCTGGCAGTAGGGAGTATTTCATCGCGAGAACTCCCCAGATACTGTGTCGCCATAGTGCGTGGGATCTGGGCCGCTAATTACGACACAAGTAACTATCGAGCCCACCTCGAAAATGAAGCGGGGATTTTTTTTTTTTTTTTTTTTTTTTTTTTTTTTTTTTTTTTTTTTTTTTTGGCAGTGGCGGCTAAGGGTGAAGCGACTACTCCATACTTGTTATTGACCCATTGCCATGCATCTTCCCAGTCAACTGAGGTGCCCCTTTGGCTCTGGAAGCTCGATAATGACCAATGAAGCACACGACTTCCTCTAATGCCAGGTGCTCGCTCACTGGAGTGCCGTTCTGCCACAACCACACCAATGGGGATCATGATGGGCAATGCAATATTTTTAAGATCTTCTTTGGACGACGTATCGTGCGTTCAATAGAATAACTTGACTGCTTGCAACCAATCACCTCCCGATCGGCTCATCAGAAAGATATTCCCCTTCGGCCGCCTCCACTAGTCAATTTTACAGGTTCTCACCTGTTACGGAGTACTGTGTCATTTTTCATCAGGTACATAAGGCAAGGGGCAGCACCTGCTTCTATTGAGGATACTGCTGGGCTAAATATCACACTCAAACAAGGTCGCTCGAAGATTCAACCTCTGTGGGCCTAGGCCTTGCATCCTGCTGCCTTTTAAAGGTATCAGCATAGCCTTTTTAGCCGATCTTCTCGGCTGTGTCCGGACGGTATTGATCCACCTTTGCGAACTGAGCTTCTGGAGCTCGAACATCCGTTTTTCCTGAACGCTTAGTCCGCTCTTCTTGTGCGGATATTTTGGGGCGGAATCCAAGACGCTGGATCGTCGTCCGCAATGTACAATGTTACTGATCCACTAGAGCGCCGCCAAGAGGCGCCACCCTTGCAGCTCAGTAACTTGGTGCCCACATATTTCAAGCATCGGGGTCTAGATGGGTTGTCTCGAGCCATCCTCCAGTGCACGCCCTGTGTGGTTGGTCTATTGGGTTATCCAACCTTAAACCAAGTGGCCAATGCGCCGTTCCGTGACTCCTTTAAAGCAATAATAACAAACATCTTCTTGACAAGGATTAAGCTTCTCCAATTACCCTCAGTTTCCATCAGACGTTTCCCCCCGTTAAACTATTCTAATTTTTGTGTTGATTTCTTCCTCGTTTCTAAATTTTCCTTGGGCGACTAAAAAAATACCCTTTCATCCCTAATTTTGACCATCTTTAGGGTGCCCTCTCAATATCCTGACCCGACATAAAATTTCTCTGTTTGAATGGAATTTACCCCAGATCGACTAATGCTGTTTACTGATTTTGTTTATATACTGCCTTATACACTTTTTATATGATATGGCGTACCCCAAGCACATGAACAGCTCACTTCTTATCAGACAGGGTTCGCTGCTGCTTCATGAGAATCAGTCTCATCCCTGGCATGGAAAAGCTGTAGGGCCACATCGGGCATTGTCTCATCCTGTCATTTGTCTTCACCAAGGACGTACGGATCGGTCTTCCTCGGAGCCACTGCCCTCAACCGCACTAGAGCCCACTTTCAGCTTTCAATTAGCCTTACCTCAATTTTATGTGCCTTATAGATGGTGGGAAGATGGTGCTTCCATGATACTTTGGGCATTTGACCACCAGGATATCAAGAGGCTCCTCCGGTTTCGCTTATATGAAAACGATGAGCTACCTCGCCACGTACTACAGAACCGCAACGCAGACGTTGTTTCAGGCTTCCTTGCGTCCTTACTTCCAGAAGAACAAGGAATGTTTCCCTTAGAATTGTCTCACCATGACAAGGTGGAAGAAATACTGGAACTATGCCAGCTCAGGACCGTCCCCGTGGAACCCTGGAGGTGGCATCCAAATTATTCGTATAATGCCGAGCCAAGGACTATTGCTTCTTATATTGACGTTGAAAGCTCACGACAGTTCCAAGCTGTGCCCTTCGAGGACTGGATCCGGTATGCCTTGGGATATCCTACTGAGTCGATTCAATGGTTCTTCTCCCAGCACAAACAGCTGCATGACATAGTCTCTGCTCATTTGGACTTGTTCCCTGGGGAGTTTGATACCTATGTTGAAGTTGAAAGGGTAGGTACTGTCCGATTTAATGACTTGTCCCTCGAATTTTAACATTACAATAGCACCTCCGAGGCGGTTCCCCATTTGCACAATATGTCTTGCTGCAGTGTCTCAGTGTTAGAGGCTTATTGAATAGCGAAGTGCCTGATCAATCAAACCAATGGGTTGTGGGATATATCATCCGCCCTATCCAGGAATTGTTCAAAGCCCACCTTACCGGTTTGCCCTCTATGCTGAAAAAGCTCTCGGTCCTCTCCCTCAGTTTTGAACGCAAATACCGAACTTCTGCGGAAATAGATTGGAGTGCCCCATTTGACGCGAATCCGGCTTACTTGAATGATTTCTTTGCCTTTCGAGAGGTCGAGCCTCTAGCAAGAAAGCTTACACATATTGATACAAAAGAATTTTCCTCTCTTTCAGTGCAAAGCTTCGTTGAGGATACCGCTACACTACGATCGCTATCCGGTAGATGGCATTTACTCTGCTCCTCTACTGAGGAATGCTGCCACGCACTTCCCGAAATGGCTGCATTCTTCAAAAGTTGCATCTGCGTATGTATTGACATCTTGCTTTATTAGATCCTTGTTGCATTCCCTTATAGTGACTCTAACATAAACATTTTATTGTAGGTTCTACATCGGTTAAGAAACTATTACTCGGCTACAGCTATGCTCTATGGCCTTCAGAAAGCAAATATGAATGTTTTTGACCTATTTTTGGAACCGAATGATGACTCCCAACAATCTCCCCATAGCTATTGCTTTAAACTAATGGACTCAACTGGCAACTACAACTTTTACAGGGAAACAATGCGAGCACGACCAGGAATCCCATTCTTGCTCCCGCATATTGTGGAACACCAATCACATGGAGAAGATGCAATTATTGCGATGTTCCCTCTTTGCGTTCATTGAAAATCAGGGTCGATCGTCCGCCTATTTTAAGAAGCCTTAATCTCTCAGTATTGCATTTCCAACCAAGACGTTTCCTTTTACACATGTGGCTGTTTCAACTGTACTTACAAGCCTTCAAACCCAGTATGATTATACCCTTGCAGGCTCAGGGGTTGCCTGGCCGATACTGTAGGCGATCAATCCCACATTCATAGTGATAAGCGAAAAGTGAGCCGGCCCTAACATCGGCTATGCCCGTCGTCCACTTGTATGAAGGAAGAAGAGACGGGGCCGTGTTCATCCGCCTATGTCAGAATCCAACACCAATTGAATGAATCTTGGCTACCTATCTCATATGCGGACTATGTTAATCTAGCCCACGCTATGAACTGATATGAAATCTGGAACGCTTTGTTCTCTCTCGTCGAACGAATGAGATCCTACAGATGAGGTCTCATTCTCGAGGCCAGTAATTGCGCACTTGCCAGCCACAGCTAGAGAAGCTTCAAGCCCGTTCTCCAGTGGATTGGAATGGCCGCTTTCAACAGGCCTGTGAACTGAATTACATTAATACATACTATCCTTACCAATTTCGAGCCGATATCCCAGCTCCACACGGACTAATTTGGAACTTTAACCTGAGTACCGACCAATCTTCGTTTATAGCTTGAGGTCAAGGAACATAATGGACTGAGCTCGATCGACAATCTCCATGCTATGAACAAAAGGCAGCTGAAGTGCGGAGCCCGGACACCATAAACGAATAAAATATCTGTATACCCAACGCCATGACTTGGTTTCAGCTCTTACCAGCTGGCCAATAGCCTATCCAACGTCTGTGTTACTGCATCCGGTAGAATGAATTCTAAATCAGAACGACCATTATCGCCACATCTGAGGCCCACCTTGACCTTTTGAAATTTAACTTCCTAACGCAGCCGCGTGGTATGAATGCCTGCTTTATATCTGCAGAGGTATTGAGGAGGCGAAGTATGCTTAGTTCCTGCCGCGGAATCATAGCGGGTGGGGATGACATGCGTACCTGGACTCCTATAGATCCGAACGTATCGCTGTATATGTAAGTCAAAACGCCTACCTAAGCGCCCCGTGCAACCCATATTATTGTCTTCACAAAATTAAAGCCATGCCCCAAAGCCTGTGTTTATATCCTGTACTCATGAAATTACGTAGTTAAAAATACGAGATGGAAGACCGTCACCTCCGATCCATCCATAACTGCCTGTTGCCTGTCTGCCCCTGCAGAAACGACAAATTCGGGCGAAAATGTAACAGCAACAAGCGGCTGCCGAGCTGCCATTGAGCAAATACCCTCCGCATCCATCGCCTTATCTCTGATTGCACGCCCAATGAGGAACAGATCTTTTGTGGTGCTTAACGAAAGGATCACATGGACATAACAGTCAGTAAAAGGGCCATCTGATAATCATACTGCAATAGTATGCAAATCTTGTGAATCAAGAGGAACCTAGCAAACGAAGCCACAATAAGTGTGTCTAGATTCACCGAATACGACACTTACAATACCCTGTTCAAGTTCGTGTAACCACTAACTTGCATACTGTTAATATAAACACGGCTGCGTTAGGTGTGTTAGTAATGATGCAGGATGGAGGGAGCACAACCGCCTGTGCCGCCCGGTCCTTCTGTTGAGAGGAAGGAGTTATACCCCTGAAAAGGGTCGATGCCAGCTGAGCATGGAAACTGTGTAGCGTTTGGACATACCGGTTTTCCCGTGAAAGACATGTGGCGCAGAATTGGAATTCTTTTTGCAATTTTAATCTCGCCCTTAGCCATCTGACAGGACAACTTCAGCACACTTCTATTCAGTCATGTTGGCGGCTCCCCCGAAAATACATAGAGCAAGACAGACGTGGCAAACCGCAAGGAATACCTAGGTCCCATATTCCCACAATGAAACGATGTATTTCTTCACCGGGTATGCCGATAAAGTTCTTTATTACTACACAACATTTAGTTTGTTTGACAGAGGCGGGCATGACATTGAAGCTTGCGTGAAGACTTTTTACGCCTGTTGTGGCTTGTCGTTCTCTGATTTGATGTGAACCTAGAAACAAAAGCACCTTGATAAGGGCGGTATGGACCTGGTTAGGACTTGGCTGTCCATTCACTGTGTGGTGAAGGTAGCGGTGAAATCCTTTCCGATACGCCATTGGTGCGCTTTTCTAACTAGCAAGGGATCTGACGGAACTTACTTTATGATTTACCACGTCTCAGCCACGTAGACTGGCGCTTATTCCAGGGCTTGGGTGTGTCATGGCTCCGGGGAAAGTTATTAGAAGCAAAAGTTTCGCATTTGGGGTGGCGTTGGAGAGCTTGTGTATTCAAAAAACACTGTTATGTTGCTCCTTTTTTGATATTTGGGGAAAATAAACGTTGTATATTGATTATATAAGCGAGGAAAACACGGATGTCAACTTAAAGTTCCGGAATTGCGGCCGCTAGTCCTAAACAAGAAAGAGGTTAATCGTACGTCGGAGAAACTGACATCCGAGTAACACCGCCCAGACGGAGCCTTACCTAAGCTTCGAGGCATTGAAGTTCTCAAAGCGAGCCTCGCGTGGTGTTGAAGTGATATCACCGCGAGAACATGCAACAGGCGACTCGACGCTGGACGCCGACGCTTGGAACAATGTGAGGTCCATATATAGGTAGGACTTCAGCATGGATGCCTCCGTTGGCTCGCTCCCTTTGGCCTCCGCGAACTCAGATGCGCCATCATCCCAGAATCGTGAGATGCATCAGCTGCCGCATCTAAAGATCCCTCCTCTCCGAGACCCTCTTCCACCACCATCGCGGAAACCCCCGTCTCCACTTGAGCCCAATGCCGGGACAATCAGAGAGCCCAAATATAGCACCAAGTCAACGCTTACCGCGTCCAACCAGCAATCAGAGCTCCCAACGGTAGCGGGGTTTCTTAACAAAACAACGCAATCAGACAAGCCAACAGTCACAGACCCGATACCAAGCGCTGACAACCCACCTAAAACAGTGCTCCCGGCTTTTATCAACCTACGAGCTGTTGAAAAGTTACCCTATTCCTCCTTCGAACAAGGGGCGTTGCCTCGTAAACGCCGCCGGGTCGACCAATATGCTGACACGTTCGGAGACCATCTGCAGCTTCCAATACCGAAAAATCAGAAGGAGATACCTAAACAACGTCCTCCTTTTGGACCTTTAACCATCTTGAATGGGTTAAATGAGCCACCGCCAAATGCCGCCCTATTCCCACCCATCGAACCCAACGGTTCTCTCAATATCCCGACATGTGGAATCCAGCAAATATCAACTGCAACCAACGGCTCATTCATTCAAAATAAACCAAGGCAACATGTTGAAGCTAATGAAAAGTCTGTGGATAAAGATCGTATTATGGGTAACGCAGCCTCTCTAGAGATACCTGCTTTGAGAACTGAGACTCAGGTAGAGTCGCAACAGCCTTTCGAGTGGGCGAATAATGAGGTTGATCCAAAGGACATGGGTAAAACCGCACCAAAATTCCGACGGAGGAAAAAGGCTCGAAAATGGACAGATGAGGAGACCTACGACTTATTACGCGGAGTTGTAAGGTGTGGAGTTGGTAATTGGGCTTCCATACTTGCACAATCTGACCTAAACTTCAACGACAGGACGTCGGCAAATCTGAAGGATAGGTTTCGTGTTTGCTGTTCTTGGGCTTACGAACCTGATGGAAAGCCCCAGACACTTGCAGATAATACGAATAATGGACAATCTGGGAAGATTTTCTTACCCGATCCTAGGAAAACCAAGGGGATTTCTGAACCAAATTCTCTCACAAGTTCTGTGTCTACGCTTCAAAACATTACAGGAAACATTCCCCCTACCGCATCTAATTCCCACACCATCTCTCCATTTCCATCCGGCAAGGAAGGCTCTGTTACATCGGAAATTACCACAGCCTCATATAAATCCCACCGCAAAGCGTACCCTCCGGCAAGGGGAAGTGACGCTCTTTCAAAGAAAACAAAGTCTACATTGATTGCTCTTGGGTTGCCTGATCCTGACACTACTGTCAAAGCAAACAGACGGTCAAGACGTCCTTTTTCGCAGGCGGAAGACGAAGCACTTCTCAAAGGCTACGCAGTCCATGGCTTCCAATGGACACTAATACGCCAGGACAAGCATCTTAATCTAATGCATCGAAAAGCTACGGACCTTAGAGACAGGTTTAGAACTAAGTTTCCTAACGCTTACCGGGAAGGAGGATCAGCGACAGCAAAAATTATACCAGCCCCCAGCAGCAATACCAATGTGCCAAGTACTGCATCTGACACTGCTGAGGGCGAGAAACAAGGACCGTCTTTAACTGCCCTGACCGGCTCAACCACAAGAGAACACTTACAACGGTCTAATTTTGACTCGCCTGTTGCAGAATCCCGACTTGGCAAAGGAAATCTTCGGCGGCCAAGTAATAGTGGCACAGGTACAAATACCACAGCATGCGAACAAAATGCAAAAACGAAACCATCATCCACACCTGCAAATGACATTTTCCTGTCTACTATGACTGCGGGTGCAATGCCTATCGACCCTGCAATGTTGCCTCCAGCACCACCATTGAGCACTGCTTTCGCCTTTACAACTACAGATGACGGTACAAGTGCCAGTGCTAGTGAATCTACCTTAGGGCGATCTGACGACGTCACTTTACCCCCGTTAGTATGGGAAGAGTTAGGGTGATAGCAATTTCATCCCATTTGTGACGCTTGTCCCTAGCTCTATAACCAATTATATACTACCATAATCATGAATATTACGAGAGAGAGAATTACCTATATATATTTCATAATATTGACAGATTTTACAGCCACGCTTCTAGTTCTCTGCTACGAAACTATAACTCTTCGGAGGACGAAATAATTATAAGTCAAGGTAGACCGGTTTCTCTCCGAGTTATTGGCAAATGGTGAATCGCTCGATCTATGCTGTAGTAAAGGCGCAAAAAAGGAACGCTTAAAGAAACAAGATAAGACCGGTTGTTGACCGCCTTGCTTAGCTTTAAAAATGTTTATGGATTATTAACGGTACGGAGATAAGGAGATTAGAATCACTTGGCTAGCTGCGAGATTTTCAGTGCTCCTCAGCCTGAGAGCAAATGAAACATGGATATATGTTTAGCTAGCACCAGTAACGCCTTGTAGCAGTAGCAGCTCCTAGATTGAAAATAAAAAGGGACTAAAATAAGAAAGATAGATCATATGGTCGAGACATAAGGCTGGAGTTCATGTTAAATTAGAATGGAAAAAGGACGGGATTCGTAAAAATTAAGACATTTATTGATTGCATCACCAGGCATTACGGTCCCAGTTTGGATCTAAAGATGTAGAGTATTAGTCTAGGGCGTATATTGTATAGATAAGGCTAGATATTTACCTTGTACAAAGCTAGCCAGCACTTTGCTTCCAGTCTGAAGTAGGGGGTGACCGACAACTATTTGCAAAAACCGCTGAAGTCCTTCCCTACGGTGTTCGATCACATCGTCGCTGAAGCGGTTTGTGAACACTTTTCCTGGAAGTGGCGGTATTGTGACTCGTGCGCTCTCCCTTTCCAGTATATCTCGGAAGTATTCGAAATCTGAGTATCGGCGACGAACGACAGAGTGTTTCAGCTTAAACGCTGGGATGTTGGTCCGACAGACAATTTCATACGATGTATACATATTGCGAGATGTGCCGTGCGTCTGAGGATTCCTCACCTGTAAATGCGCCAGGGCCAGTAAGTCAGCAAAAGAAAAACAAACCATGGCCAAAAAAAAAAAAAACACGGGCAGCTCATACTTCGATCTCCAAAAAGTTCTCGGGAGGCCCATAGATCTCCTCAAACGTCTGATGACGGGCATCTGGTATGGCCTGCATTTTGCTACCGCTTATCTGCTGGTGATGGGTGCTGAAGAATTTGGTATCAAACTTGCGGGCTTGTATGACGGGCGGCAAGAGAGCTAAGGCGGGGGTAGATGTCCAAGGTCACAAGGCTCAGAGGAGCTCAGTCGGAAGTCAGGTATTTCTTCTGTTAGCTGGCGGCTCTTCTTCTTCTGCTGCTGCGGCTTCTCGCTGCTGCGGTCTTCCTGTGGCGTCTGGTGCTCTGCGATGTTGGCGTTGGAAATGATAATGGCCTCCTCGACGTCCTTCGGCGGCTTCACTGCCAACCCCGAAAGCGGAAGTGGGTGGGTCCGTCCTGTTTCGGTAATATATTATTCCGTGCCGTTCCAAAAATAAACTAGCGTAACCTTATCTATCATTACTAATAACTTGGCTTTTGCACGTGACAGCGCTGGAGCTTAAAACGAAACGTCAAAGCTTCCGTTTGCGGCCGCTGAAAAGCAAGCAGAAAAACATCGAGAGACGAGGAAGAAACGGCCATATCAGACATCTGATACTCGCTGCCAGAGCGCGTCGATCTCGGTTTCTGGGTTCCCAAGGACGCGTTGCTAGTCATTGTCGGATATAGGAGATAGCAAAACCTAACGCCACGTCCCGATGACGCTACCAGTTGGCGGGTTTTGCGGAGTAACTAGCTAGTGACCTACAGGATACCTATCCGACCATTCATCCACCACGGCCGTTCGGACGTCGGGGCGGAGGACATAACTACTTATCCGCGAGTCCAGGCCGCTTTTGCACATTGAATGAGCCATTATTGCCCACTTTTCAGTGGTGTATGATACATTTTACAGATCGCTTGGCTATATCATGTCTGGTCGTCCCTCAAACCGCCAGGAAGCGGTGTCGCCTGCGGAACCGGACTCCATATACCATCTAGCCCATGAATGGGGTAGCGTTGATGCAGTTGGGAATACAGGTAGCCAGATTGATGCAGGTTCTGGCAACGCTGGTCACTGGGATCCATCAGCTGGAGACCTAGAGGATATGGATGATGCTGATATGGATGATGATGATGATGATGACGACGATGGGGATGGGGAAGAAGAAGATGGTGATGATGATGAGTACGATGACGAAGACGACGGATTTAATAACGATGATAGTGATGAGGACGGGCACAGTGTAGAACTTCAGTTCTCAGTCCATCCGGCGCAAGGCGACGCAACTGCGGCAACAGCAACAGGACCTAGCGGGGACGGGCGGCCTCAAAATCCAGAGCGTGTAAGAAGTATGGGCAGCAATATCTCCCTCGCATGGAATCTTCAAATTTCTTTCCCTTTTGGCTTGCTGATCGGACTGTTGTTAGTAACCACTGCACAATTATTTCGCCTGATTGGAGCCACTGAACTCCATCGTATTCTACAAGGTCATGGAGTCCTGCGCTCGCGATCAAACGAAAATGGCCAAGGTTATGATACTTATGGCGTACAGGCAACCCGTCGCACCAGAAGGACAGGGCCTAGTAGATATCCGAAACCTCCAAGCCAGACGGGGAGAGAGCTCATGATTTCCGGAGACTATGGCAGTAATCCGTACTATGTCGACAGACTGAAGGGCCGGAAGAAGAAGCTGGCAACAAGTCTGATGTATAGAGAGCTGGGGGCAGGGCCCCGAGGGACCGAGATTAGATCCTCTCGTGAACTATCCCAGGTAAGAGACTCTTGATCTACACGATTAGCCCTTATCTTCTCTTCTTGATGTTCATGATGCTTGAATTACTCTACGTGCCTGCTGACAACAAATCAATTGCTAGGGCCTAATTCCCGGAACAGCTGCTGATACCATCATACATTATGAGAATCCATGTTACTCGGGACAGTTTTCCGACGATGGTAATTTTTTCTTCGTGACTTCTCAAGACTTCAATGTTCGGATGTATGACACCTCCAACCCATATATCTGGAAACATTACAAGACAGTGGAATACCCCATCGGCCAGTGGACGATAACAGATGCAACACTGAGCCCAGACAATAAGTTTTTGGCATACAGCTCCATAAGAAACATCGTTTGCCTGGCTGGAACAGACCCTTCTTCATCAACAGACCCTATTCTTTTGAGTTTTGAACATGGGCCACAGGGTGCCGCGTTTAACTCGATGTTTGGAACTCGCTTTGGGGTGCGTTATTCACTTACATTTCCTTGTTCATCATATGCTATTAGATATCCAACTGACGTAATGACTAGATATGGTCGGTCCGCTTCTCTGGTGACGGCCGAGAGATAGTAGCTGGAACTTCTGGCAACTCTGTCCTTGTTTACGACTTAGAAACGCAGCGGACAATACTCCAGCTACGCAAACATTCAGATGACGTCAATGCTGTTTGCTATGGTGATAAAATGTCACCCCATATCCTCTACTCAGGTTCTGACGATTCTACCATTCGCGTATGGGATCGTCGATCAATGGCGGATGGCCGAGAAGCCGGTGTTTTCGTCGGTCACACAGAAGGCATAACATTTGTTGACAGCAAAGGAGATGGCCGTTATGTACTATCAAACAGTAAAGACCAAACAATGAAGCTCTGGGACTTGAGGAAGATGATGACAACAGCCAAATTTGACGGGGTGAGCCATATCAGATATTCAACGGGCTTTGACTATCGATTCAGTCCGTACCTGGAATCAGATTATACCCCTCATCCCCATGATTGTTCCGTTGTTACGTTCCACGGTCATGGTGTACTTCGGACTCTAATACGCTGTCACTTTTCACCCCCGGGAAGCACAGATTCAAGATACGTATACACAGGAAGCCATGATGGGAAAGTATACGTGTATAATCTGGATGCTACTTTGGCAAAAGTGATCGATGTCGGAGGAACCACTCGTCACTCCTGGTCACCTAGAGGCACTCCTCGTTCCTATGAACTGGATTCTAAGGAGATTAGGACCTGTGTGAGAGATGTTAGCTGGCACCCCAACGCCCCAGTAATAGCAGGTATGTTCTACGCCTAGCACCTTATATTTCTAATTCTGGTACATTACTCAGGAATAAATTTCTAACTAAGACTTAATTTTAGCTACTTCGTGGAATGGCTGGGGTATGTCTGAAGGAACATGTACAGTTCACTCCTGGACTGACGATGCAGAAGATGATGAAGGGCTTCCTTCAATGGGTTGGCATTTGGAATCCGAACTCCAACTACCAGCTGGCCAGGATTCGGTTGTTCTGGGGTCTGAATACGAAGACTATTAATCCGTTAAGAAACAGGAAAAAGCATCTGATGGGACTTAAGGCCGTATCGGATATCTATTAATGAATGAATGAGAATTTCTTTCTTTCGGTCACGAGCAGGAGTTGATGTCGCTCTTAATCCTTGGGCTTATGCTTGAGACAAATGCCCACTGTTACTGTTGAATGTGGATAGATAGTTAACCAGGCGAACTGTCTCTTCATGTCTATAACTATTTCTTACTAATAAAACATTCCGTCTTTTATATCTCCTTATGGTGTGAGAAGGATAAAATTACGAACAGTCTTCCATTCCCAATGAGCGAGTATTCAAAAACAATGGATTACTGCTTGACTGGCAGGATAAATGTGCATTATCAAAAGACAAAAGAATCCCATTTCGAATACCTAAAACTAAATCCTATAAAAACTCCGTGTGATAGGGCACACTAAGATTGAGCCATTTAAACCGCAGAGACAGAGACACCGTTTGCTCATTAATAAGGCAGAAGAGAAAAGATAATAACAAAAAATAAGAAAATCCATGCCTTCAACAAATTAGGGAAAAAATTGGAAAAAAAAAAAAAATTGAGACGGTGAGGAGCCTTTCGCCTGGATGATAAAAAGGAATAACACCGTATTTCCCATCAGATCGGGTAGTCGAGCGAGAGTCGGGGCCATTGCCAACACCTTTTCATGACTTGGGTGGAAGAGATATATTTGGTTATTCAATACAGAGAGAACACATCATCGGCAAGATGATTCAAGTACGAGTCCAGCTGGAAAGACCCGTTAGTGGGCTCGTCAATGGCATCGAGTGCTCTTGTGGGTAGATAGCAATGATAGAAGATGAACAGGCTCGCTGCTCTCTCCGCATTGTTTTACTCCTGTCGAGTTCGCTTGACTCCATGAGGATTCCAAGCACCACCGTCGTTGCCACCGCCGCCAAAGAAGGCCGGGTTGAAATGCGGATTCTGGTTTTGAAAGCCTTGTCCTGAATAGTTCTGGTTAGAGAAGAAAGACTACGGGGACAGACGCAATATACGGTGAATAGGGTTTTGCCAACACTCACCTTGCATGCCCATGTTGCCTCCTTGCATTCCGCCCATCATATTCCCCATTTGGTTTGGCATCCCTCCCATGGGCATACCTCCCATACCACCCATACCTCCCATGCCTCCAACGCCTCCCATGTTGCCAACGGGTCCGCCAACGGGCATCATGGGGCTGGCCATGCCACCCATGCCTCCGCGACCACGCATGTTAGGATTACCTCTCATGTTGTTCATCATACCTCCACGGTTGTTGAAACCTCCATAGTTCTGCATGCCGCCTATAGGGCCGCCTTGAAAGCCTCCGACTGCTCCACCCTGGAAGCCACCACCCATAGGAGCGAAGTTCCTGTTATTGTAGCCCATGTTTTGGTTCATTCCACCACGATTATTGAACCCACCACGGCCGCCACGGAATCCAACGGCGTTGTTCATGCCGAAGTTACCCTGACCAGCATTGAAACCTGGGGGTGTGGCTCTGGGAGTTCGATCGTCTTTTCCACCACGCATGGGATTCTCCTTTGGTAGGGTTTTAAATGGATTGATGTTAGGTTGGGTATAAGTGACAGAATACTTACGCCCACCTTGCTGGGCATTGTTCATCTCTTCGATCTTATGCTTGGCTATTGTAGCGGCTTGGGCTGATGTAAATTCGACAAACGCTTGACTGTGAAGGATTAGTACATGTTATGAGTACACTAGGATTAAAATAAGAATAGGCATGTACGCATACCCTTTACTCTTTCCGTTCACTTTATGTTCACTGAATGTGACATCTTTAAGATCTGCTTCCACACCAGCCTTGTTTACCCAACCGCGAACCTCATCGTCCGTTGTCCACCAATGCAGATCTGAGACGTACAGGGCGGATGTGGCGTCAGGGTCGGCTTCTTTTCGTTTGACTCCCTGCTGGGGCAGTTGTTGCTGTTGCTGTTGCTGTTGCTGCGCTGGAGGCTGCTGCGGTAGACTGTTGCCTGATTGCGGTGCCTCCGATGGAGACTTCTCTGTTTTGAATATCTTATGGCTCTCATTGTCCACATTGTTATTACTGTTGCCATACTTCTCGTCGGATCCATCTGCGTTCCCGCCACCTTGCTGCGTGTCAGGGCCATCGAGTACTAGGTCTGGTTCCTCGGTCTTAAAAGTCGTGTCCTGACCTTCGTCGATTAATCCACTTCCATCTCCGTAGATATCAATATCAAAGTTATCATCTTCAGTCGCCATTGCAATTTATTGTCTGGGAAGCCTGTTTTTTTTCTGAGAGGGGTTGCTTTCTCTTATAAGCTGAGAGCAATAAATTGATTTCTGTTCTTGTTATTTCGTTATGCACAGCTTTTCTGGGGGTAGTTGTCTTGATTCGACGGATTTGAAGAGTACAGGTCTGTGGATCAGGGAGCCAGATTAGCAAGGAAATGTACATCAATAGAGGTGAGTTTGATGGTGTTGTAGTAGAAGCTGTCATGGTCTGCGGCTGTCCATATGGCTTCCTGGACAACAAAAAACCGGGGTATCGAGATGCCATGAGAGGTAAGAATAAAAAAACAATGAGAATCAAAAAAGAGATACGTACAAATCCCGTCGGTTATAGTGGTTTTGGTTTCAAAGAATGGGCACACACAAGACAAGATGATGGGCAGAAGCGAGGTCTTCTTCGTTCAGCCAGATATAAAGCCCGACTGCCTTCGATGGCAAGTACAGGACAGAGGATGTTTTTTTTTTTTTTTTTTTTTTTTTTTTCTTTTTAGAATTAACCACAGCGGTTATTGTTTGTCACAAGTAAGGATTCCAACAGGATTAGCGCCTGATCCTCCACCGAGGAAACGAGTGAAAGAGCAACGGGAGACACCCTAACGAGATATAAGATGGGCAGAACAGGCTGTTAGATATTCAGGGGCAGTGAGAAAGGGGGTGGATTGGTTAGCTGTATGAGCTTCTCTTCCGTCTGCCTATCCGACTCTCTCTGTCGGCTGTAGCTCAAGCTCTGAGATGGCCGGGAATGCGTGGCGAAGGAGAGCAAAAGAACCGGCGCCTCAGCAAGAGTCCGGCGCGCGCAACAGAGAAGCTAGTACGGTATCCTGGCGATGAAGAGCGCAGCTGCGAGAAGGCGTTCGACTGTGCGTGTGTTTGATGTCGTCGTTGAGATTTCGAACTGAACGCGAAAACAAACGACGAAGGGACGTTGCGCCGCCGAAAGAGGTTTAGCGTTATTAGTCACGTGGACGGGATGGAACAATGTGTTTCCGAAAAGACACCTCAACCTTTCCGATACGCGAGAGATGGAGGATGGACGAGAATACACATCGAGGACGAGGACGCCGAAGAGGTTCGAACGACAGCGAGGCCATAGACCACTCCTAAAGTGAAAAATAGATATACCGATATCCTACGCACTCCCGCCGGCTTACAAGCTACACGCCAATTTGGACCAGTCGCCATGTCGGACGCCTTCCAGGAGCTCGCTGATATCCCCAAGGACTTTGTCAAGGATGGCATGCTCTTTGTGAACCGATGCACAAAGCGTACGTCCCGTTTGTCGAAGTTGTGTCTAGTCGTTAAGACCGCCAGATGATATAGCACCGACTGACAGCTCGTTTGAATTTTAGCCGATAAGCGCGAGTTCCTCAAGATCAGCCAGGCCGTAGGATTCGGCTTCCTCATCATGGGAGCCATTGGATACTTTATCAAGCTGAGTTAGTCTTTCACTTGATACCGGCAATTATAATAGAAAATATAGGATGCTGACTGATTATCTTACCTCGCAGTACACATTCCCGTTAACAACATTCTTGTTGGAGGCGCATAGTCGCCCCTTTCGAACATCTCACCATCAAGCCACATAATCAAACGAGAAACTGCAGCACACCGGTTCATTCATATGTGAATGGCCAATTCTCCACAGCCCACTTCTATCTTTCCAATTCCTTTCTTCGTCATCGACATGAACATATGTCTTACTGTTTGCAGCGAGAAAAACAACAACCCATTGGCGTGTTACGGGTGGATGGTAAAAGAGTATGGTGGCTATTCTGAGGTTGAGGAGGTTTCAACCACTGCTTGGCACTATGTCATCTCTATCCTCTTTCGGGGGACTTATCTCATTACATTTTTTACTTTCCATGTAAATTATACGAATATACCTCCTTTTCCTTTTCCAATGGACATGGCTACTTGCCCAACTGGGCCATTCAATTCCCTATTGCAATCTCCGACTGATCTGACAGCTGTACCTGCTGATCCAGTGCGAAACTGCTTTGCTTCAAGACACGGGCTAGTGCAAAAGAAGTAAAGGTGTGTGCATATACTGACGTCGCTTGGACCGTGTGTCAACTCTCGGTTTGTTCACCTGAGCGTTCTCTTACTAAACTAACTAGTTTTTGATATGCGTTTCCTCAGCTGGGCAGCGAAGATATTATATCCTTGTTTGGCTCTAACCTCATCCAGTCAATACAAGCTCCCTCTGCTTAGTAAATAATCGGTCCACTTGGACTGAAGTACATAGTGTTGGACAAACTATTGGCTGATATACACGCACAATTTCCACATTGACGCCCCCTTTGTTTCTTAATTAACAGATACCAGATCCCGCCTCTTCCAGAATACTACCAAGACTCTGCTAGAAGGAAGGGAGGTGTATCCAAATGTTCCACAGAGTGTCACGATGGACAGAGCCGTTGGCGACGCTTTCCAGAGCAGTTTGGCTGGATTGCGCCCGCCTGCGAGCCGTCAAGATACACACTGACAAGGTAGTTATGTATGTCAATCAAATAGCGCCATTGATTTTAGATCAGTTGACCATAGAGAGGCAAGACTTGTCGACTCTTCCTTCAGATTTTTCCGGCTATTGATTGTTGTCGAGTCTAATCCGTAGCGGGCATACCCGGTCTCTCAAAATGGCTGCCTCTCGCAATGTCACTAAATTTAAATTCGTAAGTGGAAGATTCTTCGTCCCATTCCACCGGTTGGGATGGTCAATGAGTGGCGTAGCTGGTCTCAGCGAGGTGAACTGAGCACATCCGCATTCCAGCGGACTCAAATTCGGGGGGGCCTCCCGCTAGAAATCTCACTTTGGGACCCGTCTAGCCTGGGGTATGTTGTCGAGCCAGGCCATCGGGTGACAGACTAACGCAGCCATTTCCGTTTACTGCTGGCAATACTGTCGATCCATGGCCATGTCGAACCATTGAACAACGCAGAATACGGGATTGCCAATGGCCACCGCCTGCCTGGCTGTCAGCAGCATGTCTTGCAGCCAGCTTCTCTTGCTAGCAGGGGGTATCATTTCGCGCAGAAGAAACTATTCCTCTTCAGAGTGATAGTCGGTCCTCGAGCGAGGCTGTCCCTGTCTCAGGAACCAGCAGATGTGGTGGAGTCTCAGGCCAAAACATCGCGATCGGCAATCCAAACGAATAGGGCAGAAGGCGGCTCCACCGAAACAAGGTTTATCTTCCGTCCTCCACAGCGGAAGTTTAATCCGATGTTCATCTTTCGCGATCGACTTACGTTCCTGTTTGCTTGTCTCTGTGTGGTGCATATAATAGCAGTCGGCAGCCAGCAGACATGGGTGAGGGATGAAGAAGTGAGAGGTTTAGTTATACCTGCGCAGATCGCGAGGGGCGAAAAGGCGGTTGTGAGTCGCCGGAAAGCGAGGTTTGCCGGTGTCTCAGCTCTGTGGCTACGGTACGTTGCACACTGCACCAGCTAGCTAACCTGCTAGTGACAGGCCGAGAAAAGACGACTATGCGAGAAAAGCAAAGGCCGGGTTAGTTCTCTCCCTTCTAGCCAAATGTATAACTCCTCATCTCCCAGCGGGCTTTGGAGGCGGTCGAATTTCCCGAGTGAGACACGGATCGGTGGCCCGATCAGTGGCCCGGTATACTCAACCAAAGCGCCGATAACATCTCGATTGGCTCTGACGGGACAAAGCAAACTAAGTATAGATTGGCTGGCTGCAGCCCTAGAAAGTGAGAGGTGAACGATCTCCTCCAGGGTGCGAGGGACAGGCAAGGGGGGGAAGGTGGGTGGTTGGGGCAGGGATGAGATGCGAGCTGGGCTTCCAACCTAGCAATGCACGGCATTTGCAAATAAAAAATCCTCCATCACGACGGCGTTAGATCCGTAAATACGGTTTAACGAACAACCTCACCTCAGCAGCATCAACAGCGGGAAAAGACAAGAATAGGAACAAGCCGAGCCGTGGGGGGATAAAGGATAAAAGAAAAGGCCTGATGAGCAGTCTATTACTGGCTGTCGAGGACACCGGCGAGTCGAATCCGAAAGCCGATGACCCAAGGAATCGACTCTGAACGACGCTGTTTGGCAGATGGGAAATAAACGTCGAGACTAAGGAAGAAGAAAAGACTGAGCAAGATATCGCTGTCGAATAGGGGGTGAGCGCACCATACGGGGAATTAGTAAGACGAGCTAATGATAGAAGTCATATTCCAAGAGATGAACCTGGATGGCTCACTAAAAAAAAACTCCACAGCAGATTTATGAAGGCGTGAGGGCTAAAAAAAGAAGAGCCTTCTTTAACTATCTTGGCTTTTTTCATAAGCCATGCTTCCCTTTTCTTTTTCCCTCATTCTTGGATGGGGGTTGGAGATGCAAGTCTGAGAGTTAATTGTTTTGCTAATCCTGGTGGTAGATGCCTTTGCCCTGCCTGGGTCTGCAATTGACGCTTGTGATCCGCTGGATTTTCCCACAGAGCAAGAACCTATCTCACTAGTGGAAGTGAAATGACACGATGAAACGACCGCCCAAGGCGCCGAGGTGCCCGGCCAGCTACGACTGGCTAGGGGAGCAGATTTAGTGAGTGAACCAAGCAGTAATATCACAGAGAGATTGTTATAGTTAGAGTGCATCAAATGAGCACTGGCTGCCGTGCGCCGCCCGAGGACTCGGATCGAAGTCAGATCCAAGAGAAGACCCCCATTCTGCATCTTTGACCTCTTCGAACTAACTGCTCAACTAGTTAACTGAGCTAATTAGAGTGATGCAGGTGCTCGATGTCGAAGGCAGCTGAACTTGTCAACCATCCATCAGCAGGCGGAACTCGGGATATATATCCGTCAACCCTCTTTGCTCTGCCCATGGGTCACTCTTTCACAAAGTGAAGCAAAATGTTTCATCTGGATGCGATTCGTTCGTTCTGTAGGTTGGCTGCGAGATTGCACATTCTACCTCGGCTGTTACCTCGATACTGGGTGTAACAGGAGCTGATTTCCTAGCTTGCTGGGTTATGAACCAGCATTCCCATAGGCTCGTCAGAGCAGCAGAAGAGCATCAGGGGAGATCAAATCAAATGGATTGAGAAGTAGCCTCATAACGTGACGCTTGTCCATTTTCTTTTTCTGTCCTTTTGCCTCCATTGTCCTCATCATCTTGCTCGTCTCCTTTCTTTTTCAACCTTTGCCCTGGACGGCGGTTGGTAAGTGTTTTAGCTTGTTGACTGACCTCAGTAACTAACCGACACTAGTATAGGGTCCGCTGGGAAATGCTGGATGGAATGGAGCTGCCAGCGCACACGCGTCCTTCTGCCTTTGTCATGAGATGCTGTGGCTCTGTGGAGAGATAAGATGAAGCAAGGGGGTATCATGCAGCTCCGAGGGCTCGGTATCGTCATTCTACAGTAGTGAGTTAATTATACGAGTTTCTATATACAGTCTACATCGAATTTCTAGCGGAGATCTCATGGCTTCGTCGCTCCATTGGGAAGATTGAGCATGGCGTAGTTGGCGGGCTTCCGCGGTTGGTGAGTTAGTCCTTGCTTTTTTCCTCATGGCATCTTTACTAATATATTTATCTAGTTAAAGGTTTTTTGGCCCCTTGGGCTTGTTCTTCGGTCGGCCTTCTTTCTTTTTCTTCAAGAGTGAGACGGCGCTCGCGAGATTGACAAGAGGTGATGCTCATGCGCAGGAAGGAAAAATAAAAGCAAAAAAAGAAAGACAAAAAGAACCAAGCTAAAAGAAAACTCGAGTTCGTCCAAGTATCTCTAGAAGTTATCGGCCTCAAGACCAGGGATCCCATCGTGAAAAATTTTTTACTTGAGTTAACTGCAGTTCAGGAATACGTAGCTCTCACAACATGCAGTCTTGCGATTAACAGATGAAAGAAAACAATAAAACCTCTGCGAACCACCAGGGGGCAATTCCGCACACACATGGATGGCCCTGTTTCATTCAACCAACGCCGAGGCGGCTCATTGTCCGACGCGAGCCCTCAGATAGACGTCATTGTGGTATACGTATACTCACTGCACACCCAAGAAGCCAGAGGGTACGACTGGAATGTGAAATGCAGGAGATTGAGTCACGACTTGAGCAGAAGAAGAATGGGGAGTTAGAAAAACTCTGTCACGGCAAGGCTCGCGGCATCAATTTCTAGCTATGCACTGCCGTGATCTGTACTTGATATGTCCGCGCTTTGACACTTGATTTAGCTGACAGGCTGTACGGATAAGAAAGGACACTTTTCTTTCCAGAACACACAACATGGGAGAAATGGTCGATTTTCCGAATAATACCAACTGGATAGGTCCAGTTCAGACTCTCTACCGACCGTGACGACGAAGGAAAAAGCAATGTCCTTTGAAGAAAAAGCAAAGCTGAAAACAGGCCAGACATGACAGCTGATTGGAAAGCTTAATGGTTGCTTTTTCACAATTTTACGAAGGTTTGAGTGGAGGGGAGGGGGGGGGGGGGGTTGGGCATTTTAATCACCCATGGATGCACAGAGTCAGTACTCCGTAGTATGGAGTATGGAGATATTTGAGGGTCACACGGCGAAGCTGCAAAATTAATGAGGGTTCTTGCAATCGTTGGCCTGCTTCGGTATGCATGCAGCCCACCTGGAAGGATGGGTTGAGGGTGTGAAGGAAAAGGGGGACTCCCAGCCGTGGGACCTATGACACCACCGGAGCTCCCACGTCAGGGCCAGGACGGGTACGGCAGTGGAGGCTCCGGGGAGAGGTTGACCAGCATAATGGAGGACCGTTACAACTGTTTGATACGAGCCCAAGGGGGCAAAAAGACAGATGCATACAACCAACTCATGATTCCCCCTATACACCGTATGTACGGCCGCTATAGCATACATCGTGACGGAACAGAAGAGACAGAAAAATAATTGAGAGTGAAGAACAAGATGTAGAGCAGACGGATACAAAAGAGGTAAAAAAAAAAAAAAAAAAAAAGGAGTATAAAAAGGCCTGTTTTCCATGTTATGCCAATTCCGACCAAGAAATGAAGCTCACAAGATGAGGTGAATGTTAGTACACAGCAGAACTCTTTTCCCATCCCAGACAAATGCACGGCAGAAGAACTCCAGGCTAATAGTAAAGGGAAAGAAACGAAGTAAGAGAAAATCAAGTCGGAAAAAAAAAAAAAAATGAGCAGGGAAATGACTGTCTCCATGTCAAAGAAGCATATAGACCTGTACCATACCGTATAATATAATACCTGTCAATCAACGAAAAAGCAAAAATGAAAAAAAAAAAGAAGTGAGCAGAAGAGAAGAGAAGTAGAGAAGATCCAGCTATTGCGTGACGGAATCATGATGCTCATGCTGCTTCGTATGCGGGTGGTTGTATGCTTGTATACCGGTGGTTGTGTATAGGAAGATAAGATGAATGTCCGCTCGACTCGACTCAGGAAGAGGAGGAGCGGGAGGAAGAAGACGACGAGGCGCCGAACCTCATGGTGTAGGCCGACCAGTGATCGTCGCGGGCATGCTGCTGAACAAACTGCTGCAGGGCATCAGAATCGATGGAGCTGCCGGAGCTTGAACTGCTGGAGGTTGTGCCACTGAAGCGATAACATGTTAGCACGGCGGCTTCAGGGTGAATGTAGCAGCAGATGTAGGTAGACGAGACGTACATGAAAGAGGAAGATGGCGGCGGCGCAGAGCTGTTTTCCGTGGCGTGAGGCATGGTGGAAGCAGCAGGTGGCAGTTGTGGTTTGGGCTTAGCAAGTGATTGTGCAGGCAGATGGTGGTGATATGTGATGTTTGATGAAAAATGCGAGAGCCAGCAGGCGGAACAGGATGGTTTATATACCTTTGGTGTGCCTGGAGTAGTTGTACTGCTCAACACCAGCGAGCGGCGACATGCTTTATATACTCGAGAGAGAGAGTGAGAGAGTGAGAGATGCCACGCCGGACTTTCTTTTGAGTTTCCTTCTAGCTAGCTGTCTCTTTTTTTGTAGTTCGACATTATTTTTAATTTGGACTTTGTTTTTTCTTCGCCTTTTATTTTTCTTTTCACTGTTTCTTCCGTCATCGGATTTTTCGATGCCTGCGAGTGCTCAATCCTTGACCAGCGTCCCCAAGATTTCTTACTTTCTTTTCTTTTCTTTTTTTTTTTTTTTTTTTTCTCCCTCTGATCGGGGCCAGGGATAGTTAACTACTCCGTACTTTTACTTTTCATCATAGATGCCGTCCGATGCTTCTGTAGCTGGTCACCGACTTTGGGGCGTAATTCACGAGCTATTCAGGGGGAGAGAAGAAAGGCGATAATGAAGTCATAGTTATCTACTACGGAGTATGGACAAACTCTACACCGCACAGAGTAGCGTATCTTCCGTGTCTGCAACCCTTTCCTGGAGGAATCTCCTCCCTAGCATCTCTCCCCTGCTAGGCTTAGATCTTCCCCCTAACCCCCTGCATGGTAAACATTCCGGAGCGGCAGCCGTGGCTCAGCAATGAACTTTTTGAGTGCTGCAACAAAACACCCTCAAAAACAGGAAGAAACAAAAAGGAACCCGTTAGAACCACGAGTAACCAGATCTTGCATCCCTTTAATATAAATTAATATAATTCTCGATGATCACCAGCCACTAGTCACTAGTCACTAGCCACAACTCTCAGGCAGGACGAGAGAAGCAAAAAGGCAGCAGCCAAACGGAGGACGGCTATAGGCCAGAGTCACGAAGGCAGCCAGAGGAGAGCAGCTCGTCTTTTTAACCTTCCACCAGCGGAGCCGATCCTGGAGAATTCATGTCCAGAAGATGGTGGCAGATGGTGGCGCATGGTTCGTGTGTGTCTCCTGCATCAGGGCCCCATCATATATCGATCGTTGATTTGGTCGGTGCCTTGCCGCGTCCGACGGACCTGGTTTACGATAGGCTAACTACTACGAGTGTGTCATGGTTTCTTCGTGGGAGTATCAACGATGATCCTCCACACGCAGCTGCCTCCCATCTCACATGTCGGGGCGCCAGCAGGAGGCGGGGAGGCTGGTGCTCGACAGCAGTCCTCTATCGCCAGACAAAGATAGCTTTCCCACCAATAGTACGAACGCGATCCCGAGTGTATTCTCAGCGTTTCACCGTGTCACCGTTACCCAGAGCGGCAGGTGTTATGTCGTTAAGGAGTGGCTACACATATCAAGGCGAAGGAGGGTGCAGAGGTGATAGGTTGGGGCATCAGTGAGATCAGTGATGGTCTCGACTCATGGCCCTCTCGACTGGCCGGCCGGGCTTCTGTCTGCCTAGATCTCTGCCAGAGCCCAAAACACCTCGCCTGCAGGGAAATCGGCTGCTGGCACATTTCACACATCCCAGACTCTGCAGGCTGTGGCTGTGGATGGACCTCACGATGCCGCTTCGGTGGATCTAGACCCGAAGTCATCGTCCCCCCCTGTGCATAAGCCTTCCGACTCGCAGATCCACAGTAGCGACAATTTGACATTGAGTCTTGAGTGACTTGAAGGGCACATAGAGAAGCGACGCACCCCTCTTCAACATCTTACGGTCGATGGCATGCGATGCCTGGTCCAGGAACAAGATGTGGCGAGGAGGTCGACTTGCTCCAGCCTCATGGTGGGTCCTCGCGGGCGGCTTAAAGGCGTTAAACTCGCGCAGGGGCCAAGGGGGGCCGGCCCGCCGCTTAACCTAATCCAGGTCCCGCTGGCCCCGTTTTGCAGACTAGGGACTCACAATAATGGGAGATAGCGGAGAGGACAAGGGCGGGATGAGAGAAAGAAAGGATGATCAGATCATTAGCTACCTAGCTATATTCTATGCAAAACAAAATCTGAAGTTGAAATAGAGAAGACAGTGGACAGGAAACATGTCGTACAGCGGCCTTCGGTGGCGTAGCGGCAGCCATCCTACTGGCGAACAGTATATGTATGGGTATCGAACAACACGAAGAGCAAAAGCTCATCGCTTGGGAGGTGGAACCGTTGTAGCTTTCTTCTTTACCGTGGAACCAGGAGGAGTAGACGAAGAAGAGTAGCTCGTGTTGTATACAGACCATGGATCGGAGACAGGCTTGATGTATTTGTTCAGGCCAAAGGGGTCGCTGTCTGAGTTTCTTGTGGAAGAGTCGCTGAAAGATGTTAGCTGTTGCAGGTATGGTCAAGGATGCCGATGGGATCACTTACTGTGGAGACTGAGACTGAGTCTGGTCGTTGTTGCTTTCCTGGTTCGTGGATGAGCTAGATCTATCCGCCATGGTGGGTGATGGATCGATGGATCGAGGAATGATATAGTAAAGCAAAACAGCAGTTGTAGTGATGAGAACGAAGGTGGGCAAATGTCGAATTTATTGAGTGAAAAACGCCGGGCTATACAGTGGCGCTTTGCGGTTTCGTTCCGGTACGTACGGGTTACCACTGACGGCCAAGCGGTTTCGTATCTAAGGTTATGTTGAATCAAAATACACGGGATGCCATATTTTTTTTTTTTCATACATTGAGGCAGTGAGCTGTACTTTATAATGAGACTCAAAGGAAATAGAGGGCCTTTTTGGACGCGTATGTTGAGTCGCCTATCATCGTACTTGAATGCCTGCGAGATGGCTCCGACTGCGCCATGCGAATTTTGCCTTTATAGGCGCCCGACGCTAGGGAAGCCTGGCCATGGCTGGAGTGAAGGCGGATCGTAATTTGTTCAGATAGGCGTCAGAACAAAATCCCCTGTTATACACGCTGAAGGAGGTCAGAACCCTAACTTTTTATGTCGTTATTGATGGTGGGTCGCTTGACTCTTGATGAGGGACCAAGGCATCCATATGTGTACGGGGTCGACGCGGAACAGGCGGAGAGGCAGCGAGACAAACAACGTATAGCAAGGGATTGAACGAACAACAGCAACATCAATAATAATATGGTATTCGTACAGGCATCTGATATCGACAGCGTTTCCACTCCAAATAGCGCCAAAATGGGATAAAAAGAAAAGAGACCGAAAGAACTCCGAGTCCATGTATAGGTAGAAGTACATGTGATTTCTGTATTTCCCACTTCCCAGCCCCAAAACGCCTGTCCCCAGAATGTAGAGGAAAGATTCAGTGGTAATAATACATAGGCAGATAAAGATACTTTCACGCCGTTGTACCACACAGTCGCAGGATCAGTTCATACCTACACCTCGTATCAGTATCGCTTCACTTCAGTAGAGGAGAGAAAGGGTGTGAGAGAGACTTACATCCCGAACATGATGGCTGCGCTAGGCACCACTCTAAGCAAATGAGGCGTGAGGCCACCATACATACCCGCCATGCCTTCTTCCTTCCAGACGACCTTGAAACACTGCGCTAGGCCGGTGTACTTCAGCTGGGCTTTCCCTGAGCCTACCGGGACGGTCGGCGCCTGACGCAACCGCGTCCGTACCACTTCGTGCGGATAAGTCGCTACAGCAGCCACCAGTTTCGCGGATCCAGCCGCCACAAGCTTGCCGCCCCACGATATCACATCGTCCGTCCAACCGGGTACATGCGTTGGATCAGCAGCCAGTCGGGCTTCTCTTTGCGCCAATACACGCTTCATTTGCTCGTACAACACCCACTGCAGCGCACTCTCGGACACACCCAGGTACGAAGCTGACAGGCCGCGATACAAGCCCTGGATGCCTTCGTGACGAACAGTCTGGCGTATACAGTCCAGAGAGTTGGCGTACTGCCTTTTCCTCACTGCCTGGCCGCCTCCTTGCTGTTGAGAGGCATTTTTGTCCAGCTGCATTCTCGTCTTGACGAGCCAGATGGGGTTTGTAGCTGTCCCCGTAGCTATGCCTGCTATCGCTGCGGCACCTAGGTGAATGGCGACGGGGGACTCATTCGGATCATATCGGAAGTAGTCGTTCAGTATCCTCTTGCCATTGCCGTAGACGTAGAAGTTGATGGCTCGTGCTGGCACAACGCCCGTCAAGTTCGGCCCTAGACCTTTGAACAGCGCCCGCCACCCTTCATGGACGTGTATTGAACGAAGCATCTGTATCGTCTCGCTGAAATGAACTACTGCACTGCGGGTAAGGGCGGTAATCGACGAAGAGGCCGGGGGCAACGGGTGCTGCGCGCGAAGCTGTTGCAGCTGCGCCTGGTAGAAGTCCGACTGTAGACGAGTCTTGAGCACATCCAGCGGCGACGTAAGTATCGCAGCGGTCATTCCGCCGAGTCTTATTCTCTTTGTCAGTGTAGTTCTCATTATCAAGCCCGTTAAATGTCATTCACTTGTTGGTGACATACCCGCCAGCAAGGAAATGAGCCCATGGCTTAACGGCCGGCTTCTCGACTTTCTCTCGCCCGGGGGCAACATCAACATCATCTATCTCGCCAGACTGAACGAGCACACTTCTGTTCGTATGTATTCTATCGCTGCCGCTGCCGTCACTGCCGTTGCCTTTCAGGCGGGCGCCGCCATGCATTCCGGACGCAGTAGAGATGGAGGCCATAATCGCGCTGGGCGCTGAAGCTGACGCTGACGCTGACGTTGACGTCTCTAGGAGACCGACAGTGCCATCTAGCCTATACGGAGGCAGATGCAAGTACCAAACGTTTTGCAGACTGAAGCTGGAAGATGCAAGATGAAAGATGGGATGTTTTTTTCTAGGAGAAGCAAAAGAGGATTTTTTTTCTTGCTTTTCGACGTCGTTGATTCGCTGGTTTTCAGCCGCAGTGGCGATTTTCCTATTGGCTGATTTATTTCTATATTTTTACTATTATTTTACTGTTAAAATACTTTGAATTCTACGAGAGTGACTGCGGACTGTAAGAAGAGTAGTAAAGATTAGGATTAATCTGCATTGAGGTCCGAGAGGAAGGGAAGCATACAAAGGAAACGCGGGACAGTGGCAGCAGTCAAGCATGAGTGAGAAAACTTGGTAGAATTGACATCGACAGACAAGGTGATAGTAAGTATAAGACAAGGAAGAAGAAAAGAAGAAGAGAAGAAGAGAAGAGTAAAGTAGAAGAAGAATGTGACAACGCTCTCAGTCCAGGATGGAAAAGGAGTAGGGAAAAGGTATCAAGTAGTAGGTATCATTCAACCGTAGAATCGAAAGAGGAGAGACACGAAACAAAACAGAAGAGAAGTGATAACGGGTGTGCGTGTATCCAGTAGACCGGTCTGCCATACTGTATCCTATACAGTGAATGATAGACTCGTTGACACCAGCGATGCAATGCTCTGCATGTCTAAGCGAAAAGGTGGGAGTAAAAAGGGGGTGGGATTTAAGAATCAAAAAAAAAAAAAAAAAAAAGAACTAAAGGGAATCAAGGGTAGTACTTGGTGTGACAGTTGATGCGTTGAGCGAGGATATCACCTCGTCATTCGTCCGCTGTTGGGATAGGGATGCTGCTGGCGCTGCTGGAGATGTTTTCTGGCCGTTCGGTTAAGACGGGTGGTTCTCCATCTCTCATACCAGACTTCACGGCTGGCTTCACGCAGGTCTCCTCGCCACTCGCTGAAGACGTTGTCCTTCAGCTTGACAAAGTCGCAGTGCTCTGGGTTGTACGGGTCAGCAAAGCCCCAGGGGAAACGACGGCCGACCTTTTCGTTCTTGTTGTTCAGCGAGTGTGGGTCGGGGGAGAGGATGGAGAGAGGGAAGATCTGGTCGATGGCCGATTCTTCTTCTCGCTCCTTTGCTGCTGCGCGGGCAGACTTCTGTGCTTCCTCTGCATGTCACCGGCGGTCTCGGCAGTGTCTTCTTTGCCGCCGTTGTCAGCAGCCGGATCTTCCATCTGTCTGAGCAATTCGTCTTCGTCGTGCTCGTCAAACTCCTCGGAGGCGGTGTCATCTTGCTCGTCCAGCGCCAGCACCTCCAAGGGGTTGATACCGGCCTGCTTCAAGCTGTTTCGGACCGTCTTCTTCAGAAAAGACATGTGGGCAGACGTAATGGTGTCGGCCTTGCTGATGATTGGGATGACAGTGGTCATGCCCTGCATCGTGCGGATAACCTGTATATCCAGCTCGACGTCGAGTCCGCCGATGTACTGGCTGGCGTCCTTCGTCTGGCCACGGGTGATGGCCTTCTTCGCAGCCTCGATGTTTGCATCAAGCCTGACCGGGTCGAGGATGAGAAAGGCGCAGTGGATGTGGGTGTCACGGACACCGGGTGCACGAACGACCTTCATCTCCTCGGCAAAGGTGTCTTCGAACTTGCTCTCCAAGAAGCCGGTGATCTCACGCAGCTGCAGGTCGACAATGTTCTTCTGCAGGCCCTCCGAGTCCCACAGCGTCAGCCCTATGCGTTCATTGTCGATCTCGGACTCGAGATAGTGGGAGGTGAAAGGGGTTCCGGGCGACTGCGGACGAGACTCCTCTTCCTCCACCGGCTTCGTCGGCCGCTTGCTCGGTGGCAGGGCCAGAGAGGTGCGCAGGAACTCGAGGAACGAGGTCTTGCCGCAGTTCTTCCCTCCAACCACAAGGATACTAAATATGTTAGCCTTGACCAGCAACCCAAAACAAATAGATAATTATCTATACTCACTTGTATGGAGTAGGATCCTTTCGTCTCCTGACCCGCCTGGGGCTGTTGATCGTGCTCACGGCGCTGCTGGCATAGCTGTACCGTCCACGGTGCGCCATGCTGTCCGAAGCAGCGTATGGGTCCCTCGACAAGGCGGCTCTGGCGCCTGGCGGCAACGGGGGAACCGGCGGGGCATCCATGACGGATCTCATCTGGCTCGTCGACATGCTCTGCTGCTGCTGCTGGAGATGCTGGTACGAGGCAGCCATCCGCTCGCCGCCGAAGGAGTTCAGCTGCGGCGTCGGCGAGAGGTCCGGCAGGCGCGGCGCATGTTTCGACACAGCGGCGGCTTCTCGCTGGCGGCGCGCTTCTTCCTCCCTGGCCTGCTCCCGCAGCATTTTCTTGCTGATCTTGTTGGACGACTTGCGTTCCGCGACGTGCTCGGTCGACTTCGAGCGGCGCAGGAAGCCGAGCGAGGGCCGTCGGGGTCCCGCGGCTGGCCTGTTGGTTGTTGCTGTGGTGGTGGTGGTGGTATTTGTATGGGTGACGCCGTTGGAGTCGCTGGGAGTCCGCGGCCGCGAGGGAAGAGAGGCCTGCATGGCTGCGCGTCTGTCTTTCTTCTTATACAGCTGGCTTTGTTCCTTAGTTTGCCCTTCAGTAAGCAATATCAGATCTCGGTTCGGGCTCCGGCGTCCTGGTCGGTGGTTGCACTGTGTGATGATGCCCTGTGGTATCGATATCTACATCCAACGGCCAGTCAGTATCAACGTCGCCAGCAGCGTCAGCCGGGGGAGGCAGCAGACTGCTCAATTCAGCTCGGCCAGGCGTACCACTGCTGTATCCAGAGAATGCCAGCTGCTGATCCTCGTTTTCGCCCGCCGTTTCTGCGCTGCTGGAAGAGCGTCCTGTCCTGTCCTGTCCTGTCCTATGTAGATGCCGAAGCCAGCGTCGGACAGCCAGACACTGATAGGCCGCTGCGATGGGTCGCGCGATGCAATGCACACTTGCAATCGGCTAGAAGGAAGCAGGAGACCCAGGCTCCCTGGCCTGGCGACAGCGCTGAAGCTGTGGCTGTTTTGTGTGTATGGCGTAGTACGTCAAGGTCAATTGACGAGAGAGCGAGTGACAGAAGATCCGGCCGGCAGAAGTGCAGCGAAGGAGAGAAGAGAAGAAAGGAAAACGAGAGGACGGCGAGGAAGATAAAGCAGAGAGAGGCCGCAGCAGAGACGAAGAAGAAGAAGAAGAAGAAGAAGAAGAAGAAAAGTCCAGGGGCGAGATGAAGGGGCTCCAAGGCGAACCCGCTAGATGCCGTCTAGTGCCCTTTTTGCGCAGTTGGGATGTTGATAATAATATACTAATTACGAAGGAGGCGACATCCACTGGGCGGTTACATGTTATTCCATCTTCTTTTGCCGCCGGTCGTCTATTCTGCAAGAGGCCTTAGTTATCGTCTCTATTATTATTACGCTGTTATTGCTCTGCTCTATCGCGGCGGTGGATGTTTGGAGGAGAAAAAAACGGGGGCTCGCTCAGGGGTAAAAACGCAGGATATCAACACACGCTCGCAGCCACGGGTCATGGAGTTCGAGACACCCATCGGCAGGCCAACCAGGCGCAGGAACGCCAGAAGACAAGCTGGAGAGAGGCTCCGCAGCTCTGTCCGCTAGCACTGATTCGTCCAGGCCGCGGTGTGCTGGTGAGAGTGGCATCTCCTCTTTTAGCTTCGATCCCGGCTCGACCTGAAACGCACTAACAGTGACAGCTCAGGGGCATCTTCGGCCACGTCGTTCCGGAGAAAGCATGGTCTTGTGAAGAGAATAATGCTTGGAAGAGTCGTTGAAGATTGAGGGCTGCAGTTTGCAAGCTGCAGGTTAAACAGAAGACAAAAGTGGCAGCACATTGGGATGGGGGTATAGGAAACATTAATATCAACGTCACAGCATGAACATGAACAACATGAAGGGAAAACGAGAAAAGGAATCATTCGAGAGGCTTGGAGTGCTTCTTGCTCTCGCGTTCGAGCTCCTCCTTGACGAGATCGGCCAGCATCTGCTTCCTCTCCTCTTCCTTTACAGCAGTCACCCACGGCAGGACGAGACACAGCTTCACGCCGCTCGGACATACCTTCTCCCTCACGAGCTCCTTGAACATTGGCCCATCGGGTCCGGTCGAGTACTTGCGCTGGCCAAATAGCTCGATCTGGCCGGGCGCATCGTCCGGCAGCTGCTCGTCGCCCCAGCGGCCCTGGAAGTATAGCCAGTTGGTAGGCGTGTTGGGATCATAAGGAGTGAACAAGCCGGTTGTCGAGGAGTAGGAGTAGACATATGCGCTTAGAGTGGGATCCCATAGCGTGCCTTCGTCCGTCTCGTCCTCGAGAAACCCGGCGGGTAGATCTAACCCAGGAATTGTGTGGTCGTGGGTTCTACCAAGGTTAGCACACATGGTTTCCTGCTGGGCAAGAAAAGCTTGTGATGATGGGAGGATAAGTAAGAGTTACCCGGCAGTGGCGTAGACGGCGTGGGTACCGTTACCGCTGAAGCCAATTGGCCTCACTCCGCGCTTGTCCGTTGCGCTGTACTGGAAGGCCTGGCCAGCAGCGTGCTGGCTGTACCAAATGGCCTCCGGCTTGCCGTCGCGGAAGCGGATCATATTGTGTTCCCTACCCGTCGTTATTATTATCTAACAGTCTACAGTGTATGTTCGTACATATACGTACCAGTCACCAACATGATCGCCGAATTCTATGCCCAGCACCGTGTTGCCCTGGTTGTACCTGTATTTACCCATTCACGTCAGCACCGGCTTTTGGCTTCGCAGGTCCACTGGCATGCAGTTAATAGTATGTCCGTTACTTACGCATAAAAGTAGAAATAAAATGCATCAACGGTCTTGCCCTCGTCTCCGTGTTCCCGAACAACGATCGCAGACGAAACCGCTCCCTCGGTTTTACCGTCCTTGTTCGGCTTGACGCCTCTGAACCAGGCTGGCAGAGCCTGGATGCCCTCTTTCGACGTGAGACACACCTTGTTCCCGCCCAGCTTGTTGAGCTGGTCAAGATTATTGAGTGCGATGTCTGTCGGGACATTGGGAATGGCAACATGGTTAATCATGGGAATCGAGTTCTTCAGCTGTGCTCCGATATCTGACGGCTGGTACGGATCTTGCGAGTGTATCCATATCAACGGAGCTATCCTTTTGGTCAGCCAGACGGCACCAGATGGGGCAAAAAAAAAAAAAAAAAAAAAAAAAAAATATCGGACGAAAAAGGGGACCTAGGATCCTACCATATTTCATGACATAGTCCGGCACAGTAGCAGAGGGTGCTGGGGCAAGACACTGCTCTGCAGCGATGTAGACCGACGCAGCCGAGATGTTCCCTATTCCCAGGCCGAGTATCAACGCTGCCAGTGCGGGCCAAGCGCAATGCGACGGGCCACATTTACCCATCCTTATCGATAGTTAGCTAGCTAGTTATCGTCGCTCGTCCTTATATCGATCCGTTCGATCTCTTTGCTTTTCAGCGAGCCCAGAGGCAGCCGTCTTGTCGTCAAAAGTACACAGAACGGAGTAGCAGGCTATAAGTATGTTGCCCGCGGTGGCCGCAGGATGGGTCGTGATGCCCTCAGCAGATCAGCCACGGCGGACAGGCAAGGACAAGGCCGGACTCGCTCACGTTAACCATCGCATCACGTTGTGCCGGGCGCCGCCCTCTATGGCAGCGTGATAGATCGACTTTTGGGCCAGCGATCCGTTCGTACGCCAGCACCGGCCATCGTGGTTGTGGCATCCTTGCTTGTCTCGGGGCTTGCGTCTAAATCCCTTGGGATCGCGGGTCCGGCTGACGGCCTCGGGGGGCGGTTCCAACTGTAAAATCTTTTGTGCCTGGGCCGGCGCATCGCCACCATCAGCACCACCCGAACTGGCCTTTCTTATCGACTTTTTCGCATGAAAAACGGCCTGGAAGAAGAAAATCGTCAGTCAATTCGATTTCAACGATGAAATTCCGGAGTTTTTTTTCGACTTTTTATGTAGATAAAATTTCCTCTTTGGGACATCAGGATATTGATTATGTAAGGGAAAGATGACAAATATCAAATATCACATGATAGAGGATAATAGTTGTTCCCTCCGAAGGAAATGATGACTAAATGATGACTCATTGTGATTATTCAGCATCTTCCTTGGGACAAAAAAAGACGAAGCGACGGGAAGTTGAAGAAGACAAGAAGAAAGATGAAAAGATGAAAAGATGAAAAGATGCGAGAACGGGAAGAGAGGGAGGCAGACACAAAGGGCGAACGGG